CCCAACTGTTTGAATGACTGAAAGACAAAACTTTGGCATTTAATTGGCTGAGATTTTCGAAACTAACGTGTGTTACGTTTATTCATTGTTATCATTTTTTTTCTTTAATTCTTTAAACAACGCGCACTTAATGTTTTTCATCATAAGCACAACGATAAGTTTGCAGTGTGTTCTGCGTGAAATGTTAAGGCAGTAAGTCTGGGTGCGACTAAATTATTATATTACATGTGTGTTAATATTTTCAAAATATTTCAAATGATTTCAAAAATCATAGTTGACTTGGGTATAGGTACAAATATGAAATATTTAGTGACAAGCAATAGGAATAACATAAAAGATAAAAAAATACTTTATCACAATGAGCGGATATGCCAGTTATGAAAATCTGGCCATAGCTTTCGCAGAAGCGGTGGGTCTACCGGTGCGGCGATGGAGAATTCGTCGCAGAAGCGGTGGAAAAACATGGCTGTCGGATAGTTTTTTGCTGGTGTCGGTAAGTTTATGACTTATTTTTACGTTATGTTTTTATGTTTAACTGATAACACCTAGTGAGACTGGAGCCCACATATCAACTCTTCCAACTAATTACAAGCATGGGATGCAAATCCTGACCAGTTATGCAAACACTTCTGTACAGTTTGACGAGGGGACGCCACTTTTGCCTAATTTTGGTAATAACACGTACAAATGTATTCAAAACGACACATTAATACATTGGCATCGCATCGTATGTATGATACTTTCACAAAACATATATAATTGAAATTTTGTCAATTGTCCCTGACTATTTGTAAAATAATTGATCGAAAATGATTACAACGCAGACGGCGGTGGATTTGATTGCAACGCAGTGCGGTGGGCCGACACCATTAATGTCTAATTTGAGGGTTTATGTTGACACAACGCACTTTTAATGAAGTACAACTTTTTAGTTTTCTTTGACTTCAGAGAAACGTGTTTATTTGGTGTTTAAAACAGTATTATTAAATACAAATAGATGTCCGAGTGTATATATAAATATATATACAGTGTAACTTCTTAATTCCGGAATTTCTAAAATCCGTAAAATCCGGAAACTTCTGAAATCCGAACATTTTTCAGGGTCCCGAAATTTCTCCTTCTGTTTTCTATGTAATCAAAACCTCTGCATTACGGAACTTCTGAATTCCGAACGATTTTCTGGTAAAATTTTGGTTATATAAACTAAAATTTACTTCCAAAATCCGGAAATTAAAAAAGGTGTGAAGGAATATTATACTTGTCATTGAAAAACCTTCAAAATGTCAGTATCTTCCAATTAACAGCACCCATTTATCTTGACATCTATTAGAATTACAACCTGTCAAGCATACCAAACACTTGTTTAAATTGTGAAAATTAAGAAATTGAGAAAAATAATGTGATGAAATGAAAAAATACAGGTAAATAGCAGGTACTACATACTAAAGGATGAATTGTTACAATCAACATTATGCTATTGTATCAGCAAATTCAGTTATAGGTGATAATGAAATTTAAAATGGTAAAAGTCCTATTAATTTGCTATTTTATTAATTTAATCAGCTTCATATATTTGTCCTTTTTTACTAGACATAGAAATATTGTGAAAAAGTGAAGAATTCGCGCATCTGAAAGTTTTCTTAGTACATCATTATCACAGCAAATTTCCAGAAACTGTTTTTCTTCCGTTTTTGTGTCATTTTTGTCATCAGGAATATCGAATAAAACGTCCATTTCTGTTTCCTTTTGATTGTTAATCCGTTCTTTATATTTAGAAGGTGTTTTAATCAGCTGTATTTTTGCTTTCTTGGCGCTAGAAGTTGGAGTAAGAATTCTTTTATATTTTTGCGGCGTTGTCAATGTTCTGATGGATGCTATTTTGTAGGGTGACTTTACTTTATTTTTTTTGTTGACCGTTTCATGAATTTCTGACTTTCTTTTTTGTGAAGCATAATTGTTTCTTCTTTTATGTTTTAGAGATGAAACATAAAACCTCAATTTCTTCCGTGACATTATGATGTGCAGGTACAATTTCTGAAGAAAAAAAAGAAACGATTGATAAGAATTTGCTGATTAAAACATCAAAAGTTTATCAGTCTTCCGAGGGGCTAAACCCTTCTTTATCATGGACTCTGCTCTTTATTTTATAAATCATACACATGTATTCACCCTCTTATATCTTACGCTATGTCACGTAGAAAATAAGATAAAAGTGTTTAAACTCCTCGTAACGTTGGAGGTTTATAATTATTATAATTATTTATTAATTGTTTCCACAGTGATTTAAAAAAAACATATCAAAAAGGTACATTTAAGTTTCGAAATATAAAGGTCATTGTTAGTATCTATTTTAATTAGTATAAATATCTTGATTTATACTTTAATCTCAGACACTTTGGAGCTGCAAAAGCCTTAAAGCTGGAAACCATCAGATGAGCCAAAATATTTCAAGAACATCAATAGTTAGAAAATATACCACGATTTTAAAATAGTTAGAAACATTCAAGATCCAAGTTATATTTTACACGTTATATGCGGTTAAAGTCTAATTTTGCAGTGTTTTATCACCATATTTCTACTGCGTTACTCACGCAGTAAGAACTGTTTTTGCATATGTTGACCACTTTTTTGGTATTGTTTGTAGATTGTAAGTGCCGTTTGCAATATGTTAATTAATTTATTTGTTCACACCACAATATTTTACTTTTAAATACATTTCCAAACTTTTCATGAAAATAAACATGAATATTGAGGTGTGCTGCTTTAAAATCCAAATAAATGTATATTTATTAATTCCAGCACATAAACTTATCATATATTTCATTAAAACTTACATATATGCTGTTTTGAAGAAAAAGTAAATATTTATACGTCAAAAATATATAAAAGATAAAAAAAAATGTTAGAAAAAAATCGCACATCCTTCAAATCACCAATTTATTCTATTTCCAATATTTTCACATTATCCTTTTGTCCACAGACGACACGAGTCATCTATTAAACATATATTACTGGTACTTATTATATATTTTCATCATATTTTTCTTTTTCAACAATATCAAACTTCATCTTCAATATACAAACACACTATGTGAAAAAATTAAAACTATCGCCGTTTTATTTATTTACAAAATATTTCAACAAATTCAAGCGTGGCACACAGCTCTGTCGTATTTAAATGCGGTGCGCTATGAATGTGAGAACCCGCATTATCTCAGTTCAAAGCGCATTTATATACAGCATATCTGAGAGTCATTTTGTTTTCAAAAAAGCGTATATTTACTTTCATTGAAATATATAACATCTATATGTGTAAGGATTAACAAATATATATTTCATTTGTATTTTAAGGCGTTTGGAGCTCAACTCCTAAGTGTCTGTGACTTTAACGTTAAAAAAAAAGACATAAATGAAATCGGGCCCACCGCACTGCGTTGCAATCGAATCCACCGCCGTCTGCGTTGTAATCAATTTTTGTCAATTCTTTTATGAAAATGGGAATATCAATTTCCAAAAGTTCCAAAATATGGTTGTTTTTGTGTAATTATCATACATACGATGCGATGCCAGTGTATCTAGGGGTAGTTTTGAGTACATTTGTAGTGTTATAAACAAAATAAGACAAAAGTGGCGTCCCCTCGTCAAACTGTACAGAAGTGTTTGCATAACTGGTCATGATTTGCATCCCATGCTTGTAATAAGTTGGAAGAGTACATATGTGGGCTCCAGTCTCACTAGGTGTTATCAGTTAAACATAAAAACATAACGTAAAAATAAGTCATAAACTTACCGACACCAGCAAAAAACTATCCGACAGCCATGTTTTTCCACCAGTTCTGCGACGAATTCTCCATCACCGCACCGGTAGACCCACCGCTTCTGCGAAAGCTATGGCCAGTGTGAAGATGCCCTTTAAAGGCTACAGAACAGATTTCGGAACATTCTGGAACATATATGAGGGGATCAAATAAATTACAATGGGATCATCTATATGTACATAAACTCTTTTTTTATTATGGAACAGATATAAGGGGATCACGTAAGAATACAAGGGGAATATCTAGATGTACTTATACTATAGTATCCATTGAAAAGAAATAAGGGGATCACGTAAGATGACAAGGGGATCATGTAGATGTACATTTAATATAGTTTTAATTGCACAGAAAGAAATAAGGGGATCACGTACGATGACCAGGGGATCATCTAGATGTACATACTCTTTTTCGTTATGGAACAGATATGAGGGCATCGCGTAAAATGACAAGGGAATCACCTAGATGTTCATATACTATAGTTTTCATTGAACAGAAATAAGGAGACCACGTAAGATAACCAGGTGATCATCTAGATGTACATATAATATTTCTTATTATGGAACAAATACATTGTTTAAGGGGATCACATAAAAAGAAAGAATAAGAAGTATACCAGTTGTAGCGGCGTAATTTTATCAGACAACTTAGTTAAATGTGTAATTTCTTTGTACATAAGGTTAGTACGTAGGTGAAATTTTCATTGGTTAATATTAAAGTTTTGTATGTGTTTAGATAGGTTTTTATTTATTTGTTTTCTTTTCGTCTTCTAATTTTGTTATTGCACTATAATAATTAATTTACTTTCTTCCTCACTCAGTGCAAGAATGTTAAAATCTGTTTCTTGCGTATATATAATAATACAAAATAAATTAATAAATAAAGAAAAATAAAAAGATAAATAAATGAATAAAAAAATATAAAAAAATAGTTATTATTATGATAAAGAATGATTACAGGATTACGGATGCTGAAAGGTTATTGCGGAATCTAAAATAAAAGAAATTGATTTTTTCTCTTTTTTTTTGTTTTATTTTGTTCTATTATCTTGCACCCGCGAGATAACGTAAGGTATTATGTGTTTCCTCTGTGTCATATTTAACAATAAAACAACAATGGCAACAACAAAAACAACAATAATAACATTAACAACAACTAGCTAAACAACACATTTATATCTTACAGATCTAATAAAAAAAAGTAAAAATGGACGTGTACGGGGAATATGGCGAATACGGGAATTTCGACGAGGCCTTTGATCCTAAATATGGCGACCCACATCCTGTCCCAATCGTCATGGCAACAGAACGGACGCTGGTTGGATACGGAAATATTGTTTCGGACTTTGACGCTGAGGAAATAGATATAACACCATGGCCGGTTAAAGGTACTCTTCAATTCTTCTAGTGAAGCACCCAATATGTAAGCTGAACATAATCATTTTTGAAAACATTCCATATATTTTCAATTTGTTGCATTATCGTAATGTCTTTATTTCTTTATCAAATATGTTCATATCTTTTCAATAATTTATAGAAATTGTCCGTTTTGAAAACTTTACTGATGCTAACATAACTTTCAGGATGGCGGAAACTCTGGCCTAAGACTGGATCACTCGGTGGCATACGTAGCGGTGACTTCAAGTATAAGTGGTTCGGAGACGTTTGTACAGCAGTTAACGAGGCTGTGGTCGACGGAGATTACGTCACTGGCAAACTACCACGCAATGTTTCGCCTAATAACCGCACTCATGTCCTTGTGAAGGACGCAAATTATCACCCGGACGGAAGTCAGGTCTTCTATCCGAAGAATAACGACCCGTTTGTTATGCTTCTAGCGAAACCTGGAGACGATATTGATTTGAATAGTTTTGTTGCTTTCTACTGTGACGGAAGTTTTGGAGTCCACGTGCATACAGGTGTGTGGCATCAACCTGTTTATCCAATCAACGACGAGGCGGAGTTTTATGGTAAACAAGGGGCGGTACACGCATGCATAGGTGTCGATACAGTCATGGAATTTCAGAAGTTCCTATTGGTGCCACTTACAAAGCCTTAGTGAACGTTTAAGTCAAAATGAGCCTCTAACAAATGAAATAATTCATTGCAGCGTATTGTGCTTTCTGACGACAAAAAAAATCTATCTACAGGAATTTATTTATAAAGTGTTTATAGTTACTTCAGATAACTCTATTGGTTAAATTGTCTTTAAATAGATGTAAAAAACGATTACGCAAAAATGAATTTTCATGTTGTTTGGTCAATATTTTAGAATAAAACGAAAAAAAATATCTACAAGTTTCCGTATGGTAACCTTTTCCTCAAACGTCGATTGTTACTTCCCCTTATACAAATAAACACCATTTATATACAGAGCGCCATTTGCAATGGAAGCTACAATCGTTACACCTCTGCATCAAAATAATTTCTTTTCCGAAAGCCGAGAAGATGCGATTTTGAAAGCTATATCGTGTATAACGTGAAGGTCATAATTATTTAAAATAAGTCTCTACATAGTCGCTCATCTGACAGTGCTTCCAAACTGAATACAAAGGTATAGTTGAAAAAAGAGGCTACATTAATATTTGACATGAATTATAACAACTCTATAAAACGCACTGTAAAGAACTTCTTTCATGAAATAGTTTATTTTCTTCAGTTTACGAAACGCTGTAGATCCATAATATTTCATAAACAGATAGGCAAGCATATCATGACTGACTTTGTAGACCCGACTTTAAACAGACACTAAATAATTTTAAGATTACACACGATAGAAAATTAGTTAGTTCAATATAAGTTAACACCCTTGCTACTCAATGGGTAAATTTCGTTTCTTCGGTAATTTTTGATGAAATGCCTTCATTTGTAGAAACAATAAAAATTGGCATTGAAGTCTAAAAATATCTATCGCGTGCCATGGAGAAATTTTTATATTTAGCTGAAGTTCGACTTCATGAATTGTTATCGATTTATAGCTAACGTGACAGGAACTTGGCTCGCTGGCTGAATTCATTCTATGCATATATACGTATATTAGGACGTATAGGTAAATCAATTTATTTAAATAAACAAATCGACTTCTTTTAGTCATTGTAAGTATCATTGTAACCTAACTAGATTGTATATAAGAAGCACTTGCATATACATGTACATGTACTGCATTTTAGAGAAATATCTAATGCAATATGTGAACAATTGCTATCAATTTCAGCAGCGCTTTTCTAGTTACTTTCCTGCACTGCTTTCTTTTCCTGCAGCATTCTATTGTACACGTTATACATCTTTTCAAAGGCTCAATTCTGAACACTGCTTACCCATTAAGAGAAGGGAAGGCCGGGTTAAAGAGAAACACTTTTCCGATTATTAATATCATTTTAAGTATGACTGGCTAAGATTTTGATTTTCATGTCTATATTCTGTTACACAGCTCAGTAAGTAAGTAAGTAAGTAAGGTAAGTAAGTAAGGTAAGTAAGTAAGTAAGTAAGTAAGTAAGTAAGTAAGTAAGTAAGTAAGTAAGTAAGTAAGTAAGTAAGTAAGTAAGTAAGTAAGTAAGTAAGTAAGTAAGTAAGTAAGTAAGTAAGTAAGTAAGTAAGTAAGTAAGTAAGTAAGTAAGTAAGTAAGTAAGTAAGTAAGTAAAGTAAAGTAAAGTAAAGTAAAGTAAAGTAAAGTAAAGTAAAGTAAGGTAAAGTAAGGTAAGGTAAGGTAAGGTAAGGTAAGGTAAGGTAAGGTAAGGTAAGGTAAGGTAAGGAAGTAAGTAAGGTAAGTAAGTAAGTAATTAAAAACACAATACATATTCAAAATACATGTACAATGCATGAACACACATTACCTTACACTAAATCTATGTAAGATCAAGGTACTTAAGAGAGATTCCAACTGATATAGGACGCTTGGAATTTTCCAACAGTTTCAGATTTACGAATGGAGAGAGGGATATTATTCCATAGTTTGGGGCCCGAGTAAATCAGAGATTTTCTAAAAATTTCTTTTTTTGGTTGAGGTATAAATAAATCTGAATTTTTTGCTGACCTAAGGTTACGTTCATGTCTTTGGTGAATAAATTGAAATTTGTTTTTCATGTACTTTGGAAATGAAGCATTGTTTAATGATTTATACATAATGACAGCTTTCTTGTATCTTATTCTTTCATCAATTTTTATCCAATTTAATTCATTAAATAATTCAGTAGATGGGGCATCATAACTTTTGTCAAGAATGATTCTTGCAGCTCTTTTCTGAAAGTTTATTATATCCACAATCTGTTCATTGCTACAGTTTCCCCAGACTGTACAACAATAATCTAAATGTGGTAAGATATAAGCATTAAAGAACAGTTTTCTTGCGTTTACATCAAGGTATTGTTTTATTCTTAGAAGAAGGTACAACTGAGTATTGCATTTCTTTAACGTCTTATCTACTTGGGTTTTCCACTTAAGGTTATTGTCAATATGTACACCTAATAACTTTTCAGTTTCAGTAAATTCAATTTCATGTTCTTGCAGGTGTAGTGGTTGTAATTGTTGTTTATTTTTATTGGATGACAGGTTCATTGCTTTTGTTTTCTTTGAGTTTAGCATCATTGCATTCTGTTTGCACCTCAGATTTACATTGTCAAGGTCAGCTTGGAGTTTATCATGTAAATCTTGTATAGAGAGACCTGCTGCTGTAAGAGTAGTGTCATCAGCAAAAAGATCTGCCTCTGAGGTTTTCAAATGGAGTGGTAGATCATTTATATATATGATGAAAAGCAAAGGTCCAAGGACAGATCCTTGATGCATATAGTAAATACAAATAAAAACTAGTTAAAATTTAGCCTATAAAATATCCTGTGTTTACCCTGGTTTTCTGCTAGAAAAATTACTGACTGATCGATTTCCTTTTAAAACGTATCCCATATGTCTTTGTTATGAATTTGTTGTATCACAGTCAAAACATTAAATTACAACTGCCATGTATGCCTTTACAAAGTGTCTCTTCTGAATTTTAGAGACCTTTAATTATGCCCCCATTTCGAAGAAAAGGGGGTATATTGCTTTGCACTTGTCGGTCCGTCGGTCCGTCGGTCCGTAGACCAAATGGTTTCCGAGTGATAACTAAAGAACCCTTAGGCCTAGGAACTTCAAACTTGGTATGGTGATTGGTCATGACCAGTAGATGAACCCTATTGATTTTGGGGTCAAGGGGTCAAAGGTCAAGGTCACATTGACCTTGTAAGCAAAAACGGTTTCCGATCAATAACTAAAGAACCTTAAGGCCTAGGAACTTCAAACTTGGTATGGTGATTGGTCATGATCAGTAGATGACCCCTATTGATTTTGGGGTCAAGGGGTCAAAGGTCAAGGTCACATTGACCTTGTAAGGAAAAACGGTTTCCGATCAATAACTAAAGAACTTTAAGGCCTAGGACTTCAAACTTGGTATGGTGATTGGTCATGATCAGTAGATGACCCCTATTAATTTTGGGGTCAAGGTGTCAAAGGTCAAGGTCACATTGACCTTGTAAGCAAAAACGGTTTCCAATCAATAACTAAAGAACTTTAAGGCCTAGGAACTTCAAACTTGGTATGGTGATTGGTCATGATCAGTAGATAACCCCTATTGATTTTGGAGTCAAGGTGTCAAAGGTCAAGGTCACATTGACCTCTTGGGTAAAAACGGTTTCTGATCAATAACAAAAGAACCCTTAGGCCTAGGAACTTCAAACTTGGTATGGTGATTGGTTATGACCAGCAGATGACCCCTATTGATTTTGGGGTTAAGGGGTCAAAGGTCAAGGTCACATTGACCTTGTAGGTAAAAACGGTTTCCGATCAATAACGAAAGAACCCTTAGGCCTAGGGACTTCAAACTTGATATGGTGATTGGTCATGATCAGTAGATGACCCCTATTGATTTTGGGGTCAAGGGTTCAAAGGTCAAGGTCACATTGACCTCTTAGGTAAAAACGGTTTCTGATCAATACTAAAGAACCCTTAGGCCTAGGAACTTCAAACTTGGTATGGTGATTGGTCATGACCAGCAGATGACCCCTATTGATATTGGGGTTATGGGGTCAAAGGGCAAGGTCACATTGACCTTGTAGGTAAAAATGCTTTCCAATCAATAACTTAAGAACCCTTAGGCCTAGGAACTTCAAACTTGGTATGGTGATTGGTCATGACCAGCAGATGACCTATTGATTTTTGGGTCAAGGGGTCAAAGGTCAAGGTCACATGGACCTTGTAGGTAAAAACGGTTTCCGATCAATTAACTAAAAAGGCTTAGGCCTAGGAACTTCAAACTTTGTATGATGATTGGTCGTGACCAGCAGATGACCCCTATTGAGTTTTGGGTCAAGGGTCAAAGGTCAAGGTCACATTGACCTTGTAAGTAAAAACGGTTTCTGATCAATAATTTAAGAACGCTTAGGCCTAGGAACTTCAAACTTGGTATGGTGATTTGTCATGACCAGCAGATTACCCCTATTGATTTTGGGATCAAGGGGTCAAAGGTCAAGGTCACATTGACATTGTAAGTAAAAACGGTTTCTGATCAATAACTAAAGAACGCTTTGGCCTAGGAACTTCAAACTTGGTATGGTGATTGGTCATGATAAGTAGATGACCCCTATTGATTTTGGGGTCAAGTGGTCAAAGGTCAAGGTCACATTGACCTTGTAAGGAAAAACGGTTTCCGATCAATAACTAAAGAACTTTAAGGCCTAGGAACTTCAAACTTGGTATGGTGATTGGTCATGATCAGTAGATGACCCCTATTAATTTTGGGGTCAAGGTGTCAAAGGTCAAGGTCACATTGACCTTGTAAGCAAAAACGGTTTCCAATCAATAACTAAAGAACTTTAAGGCCTAGGAACTTCAAACTTGGTATGGTGATTGGTCATGATCAGTAGATAACCCCTATTGATTTTGGAGTCAAGGGGTCAAAGGTCAAGGTCACATTGACCTTGTAAGGAAAAACGGTTTCCGATCAATAACTAAAGAACTTTAAGGCCTAGGAACTTCAAACTTGGTATGGTGATTGGTCATGATCAGTAGATAACCCCTATTGATTTTGGAGTCAAGGGGTCAAAGGTCACATTGACCTTGTATGTTAAAACGGTTTCCGATCAATAACTAAAGAACCCTTAGGCCTAGGAACTTCAAACTTGGTATGGTGATTGGTCATGACCAGCAGATGACCTATTGATTTTGGGGTCAAGGGGTCAAAGGTCAAGGTCACGTTGACCTTGTAGGTAAAAACGGTTTCTGATCAATTAACTAAAAACGCTTAGGCCTAGGAACTTCAAACTTTGTATGATGATTGGTCGTGACCAGCAGATGACCCCTATTGAGTTTTGGGTCAAGGGGTCAAAGGTTAAGGTCATGACCAGTAGATACTTGATAACCCTTATTAATTGTTTGATCACTGGGTCAGAAGTCATGCATAATAACCTTATCACATGACTAATTGGCTGCTGATAGGGGGCATACATGTTTTACAAACATATCTTGTTTTTTTAAGCGCTACTAAATTCGCCTTTGTCTATTTTGAATATCTTCCAACGGTCTATTTTGAATAACATTCCATGTTTTTGAATTATGTACCGCCATGGATTTACCAAAAAAAAAAAAATAAATAAAAAATAAAAATAAAAAAATAAAAATAAAAAGAGAAACAACACCCAACTGTTTGAATGACTGAAAGACAAAACTTTGGCATTTAATTGGCTGCGATTTTCGAAACTAACGTGTGAACGTGTGTTACGTTTATTCATTTTTATCAAATAATACAATGTAGTCTTTTTTTCTTTAAACAACGCGCACTTTATGTTTTTATCATAAGCACAACGATAAGTTTGCAGTGTGTTCCACGTGAAATGTTAAGGCAGTAAGTCTGGGTGCCCCTATTACATGTGTGTTGATATTTCCAAAATGGTTTAAATGATTTCAAAAATCACAGTTGACTTGGGTAAAGGTACAAATATGAAATATTTAGTGACAAGCAATAGGAATATAATAACATAAAAGATAAAAAAATAATACTTTCTGTTTACATTGAAGAATCACAAACCTGTATTCTTAAAAGTTAGAAATCACAATGAGCGGACATTCATGTTGCCTTACATCATTATATTTTTCCACAAACATTGATCCAACCTCTGTCGTAAAGAAGCATTAAAGAGACAAATCCAGATGTTACAAATTACAAATATCTTAATTTTAGGTCATCGCAAACTGTGTGCAGGTATTGAAGTAATGGCTGGCGAATGCAGTGGAGACTTTTCGTATAAGTGGGTTGGGGACCAATGCACGGCTATAATAACGCAGTAGACGGACACTATGTAACAGGCAGACTACCAGTAAATTTGTCTCCGTCAAACCGGACGCACATGCTCGTTTCTTTCCAAAGAATAGAGATCCTTTGATAGCTTTACCTGCCTTGCCTTATGACAATATTAAAATGGATAATTTCGTTGCCTTTATTTCGACGGAAGTTTTGGTCTGGCATCACCCCGTGCATCCATTAAACGACGAGGCAGTGTTTCTAGGAAAACAAGGCGCGGTTTACGCATGTATTGATGTTGATACAGTTGACTAATTTGCTTGTTCCACTAAAACCATCTTATTGATTCTAAATGACCTACAAATGCTAATGATACCAAAGATTTTAATGTAAGCTTTATTATTAGTGTTACAGATCTTGACAATATGATTTTTTTCGTGATTGCCAATATCATTATACCGAGGGCTCCTTCACATAGACAAATAGACGGAGCAAAAGCGCATATAAAGTGTTGTATGCAATAATTTTAATTGGGAGGGTGCATAAAGTGGTTAGATTCCATTGCAAAAAGACAGAACTGTCAATGGAAAGTTTTGCAAGAGCTTTGTGCTGAAGAATATTTAACAATTCTACAACAGACTACGTCCATCTGGAGCAAATTTGTACAATATTTTCTAAACATGCCCGTCCTCCACATTTGTCAGACAACATGTGAATTTTTACTGCTATGATTGGAAAAGCGTAAGGGTCGACAGGTCATTATCATATTTGTGCCTAAATATTTTCGGATCAAAGCATACGAGGTTGTGTCAAACACGTCGTAAAACTTAATTAAATGTCGTCGAATTTGGACATTTTCGACGATCAACAACAACAAAATGTCTTAAGTTACGAATTTTATTCTGGTCGACTTACAAGTACACGTATACAATTCATATCAAAGTGTGTTATTTACAATGGAACTAGCAGAACTTTAAAATTTATAGCTGATAAAAATGAATCCTATACCTATTTAACATTTATAAAAATGGTACATATGTAGTTTTTAAAAGTCTATTTCGCGCAAGAGATACCTAATTTCTATAATAAATTTGATGAGTTTCTTCAGTCAATACTAAATAAATACTAAATGCTGCAGGTCCATTTTACATTTGCCAAAAAAACCCTAACAATCTGCCATATGACCCGAAAAGTGTCGACCCAACTTTAAACAGACAAAATAGATCGGGCGTTAGAACTTTAAAAATATTTCGGGTCATTCAACGATAATAACACGATTGAAACCTCGTTAGTTCAATATTAGTTTTCTCCCTTGCTAATAAACCGTACTTTGTACCCGATTTGTGTTGACTGGACGGATTAAGGTAAAAAAGTTACTTTGACAATTATATTGTTGTCTTGCCTTCATTTGTGTTAGATATGACTTTTTTGAATAAATATAAATAACACTAAAAGACACTTTTTTGGATCTAGCCAAAGTTCATGTTGTGTCACATGGTCATATTGGTTTAACAGATAATTAATGTGATAGATCTATAATTATATTGCTGTATAAGTTGTAACTTATTATACCTGTTTATACAAAACGTCCTGATATACATGCATTATCAATTAAACTTTAATACAAGTGGACTTTATGTATAGGTTAGCGTTCATTATCACGGGGGAGGAAGTGTTACACGAAGGATGGAGTTCTTATGATAACTTGTTCAGGAGTTCTTGTGATAACTGTCACGGAGTTCATCGGAAAACATCTGTATATACTACAAAAACACTCGTTAAAAATGGTTATTTTCATCTTTCAAAAATGAGTTTTAGGTGCTAAATTAAACTTAATGATTAAGCTTGTCTTACATCTTGTATTATGTATCAAAAAGTTACAAAATCTAATTCACAGGCCATTTTTCATCGCCTCTTGCATCAAATCTGGTAGTTTTCAGTAAAATTTCCAAACTATTTGCCAATTCACAAGTATTGACCGGTTTATTTCTGGTCTTCATCCTTGCCAGACATAATTACCTAATAATTATTGTAATGCAAAATTGCAAACATAAAGCACCGGCTAACAGATTTATACCCGATTTTTCAAATGTCCCGGAGTTCTTGTGATAACTCTGAAGATGTCACAGAGTTCTTATGATAACTTTTGTTATTGACATTGTGTTTTTGCGCTAAATCACGGCACGTTTTAGCGTTTTTTTATTATTCAATGAGATTATAAATCATTATCAAATGTAGTACGCTCATCCTTTGCGCAAAAAATAGGATATATAACGTTGGTTTTGAGTGAATTTTAGTTCAAGAGATATTATTTCTTACTCCCGTTTCTTTTTCATAGTATTTTTTTTTTGATTGACGCAGATTTCGTAGCCTGGAAAAAGGATTTATGTACTGTTTTCCTAGCAGTTTCCGGCTCCTAGCAGTATTCTGGTCCTCAAGGCATACAGTCTATTTTTTCTCAGTTAAGCATCTATGTTACTGCATCAATCAATGAAACATTTGTTTTCTATGTAAAACAGCAGTTATAATAGTACAGCGATTAATATGTTTTAAAGTTTTGTCTGTTGTTTTAAGTTACAGTAGAGAACTTGCGACACTTATAAGCAACACCTGGGGAATTCCAGTTTGAATGCCCATGCACAAGAACTGAAATCCCATTCTAGTTAAATCACTACTTTTAAACAATATATTTGAAGACGACACAGAAAAATTTGGGAAGTTATATCTATTTGAAAAACCCAGCTTAACATTGCTTATTGGTGACTGAATTCTATTCAAAATAATATAGGTCCGGAAAACTGCTATGAAATTTAGAAAAAAAATGTGAGCAAAGATGTTACATCTCAGGCCTTTATTCCATTAAAATGTAAAATAAAAGAGCAACATTAAAACAAGGTAATGCTGGACAGGAACCTAGCTTTGTTCTGTCAAAGTTTGCACTCTTCGGTAGACAGATTTTTATTTTATTTGTTAAAAAGTGCGATTTGTGGCAGGAATCTGCTATGAAACAAATAGGGCATTTATGTACGTGATAAAATGCGCTTTGAAATACTCAAATATGGTATTTTCATGTATATTTTTCTGTCGATGTTTGATGAGTATTTCCCCTTTGTAATCTTAGTGGAGGAAACTACTTTTGCTGTAATTGATAACAAAAATATATAGTCAAACTTAGTTCTTAAGAAAGGTGGTTGCTTAAAACATGTGAAACTGAGAACAACGTGTACGTTTTGAGACATTTTTGTTTTGTGGTTTAAGCCATTATACTGCTGAATATCAGTGGCCGCTGGTTCAATTTTTACTGTAGATGATAGCCTATCACCTATTTATCCTTTGCAGACACTTAAAACCAACGTTTTATCCACATTTTTGTGCAAAAGATGATCGTACTGCATTTCATAATGATTAACAATCTTATTGAATGATAATAAACGCCAAAACGTGCCGTGATTTAGCGCAAGGAACACAATGGCAATAACAAAAGTTATCATAAGAACTCTGTGACATCTTCAGAGTTATCACAAGAACAAGACATTTGAAAAATCGGGTATAAATCTGTAAGCCGGTGCTTTATGTTTGCAATTTTGCATTATAATTAGGTAATTATGTATGGCAAGGATGAAGGCCAGAAATAAACCGGTCAAAACTTGTGAATTGACAAGTAATTTGGAAATTTTACTCAAAACTACCAGATTTGAAGCAAGAGGCGATGAAAAATGGCCCGTGAATTAGTTTTTGACACATAATACAAAATGTAAGACAAGCTTAATCATTAAAGTTTAAATTAGCACCTAAACTCATTTTTGAACGATGAAAATAACCATTTTTGACGAGTTTTTTGTAGTAGATACAGATGTTTTCCGACGAACTCCGTGACAGTTATCATAAGAACTCCTGAACAAGTTATCATAAGAACTCCATCCTTTGTGTAACACTTTCTCCCCCGTGATTATTATGCATTTACAAAATTAACTTGGCCCTTTTAGATCAGTTTAATTCGGTAAAAGCTTGTAAACTTTTTTTTGCACCAAAACAGTTTAAGTCATGTGATTACTTATCTGCTTCTTTGGCGGTAGAAGACCTCGGCCGCCCTTCAATGCATTGTTTCAGGATCGAACAGGTACCCGATTAGAACCATTGACGTTCCTTTAGATAGCTAAATAGCTTCGTCACATGAAAGAATCCAAAGTTCCTGTCGGGATTCTAACCCACAGCGATAAGGGGGCAAGTGGTTTTAAGTGAACTACCCTAACCATTGGACCACTGACGCGCCTAAATATTTACTGATGAATGTTTGAACCTATCTTTTAACCAGTCGATTTACTTGGCTGTTAAATAGATAGCCGATTCATCAAAGTAAATGTGCTACTATTCATTTCAGTTAGAGTCTACTGCAATCCGTCGTTGTAACTTTTAGTTACTAGCTGTAGTTATGATAGCTAGATTGCATATTAGAAAACCCATTTATTGTGTCAGATGCACATCTTTTGTAATACAGACGAAGAATTTGCTAGGAATTTCTTTTAAGTTACTTTATTGTAATCACATTGCCTCGTCCCCGTCAAACTGCCTTATTGAAAGATTTTAATGAACTTATTCATTGTTTTGATGGTTGTGTATTCTAACAATTTTAGATTCACTACAAAAACAAATCAATTATAAGGCCTCGTGGTTTCTTAGCAACATAATTCTGCTCGGGCACTCCAAGAAGAAAACATTAGAAATAACATTTATTAACAAGATGTTACTCAATTTCATTTCATACCAGTTTTGATCTAAACAAACACGTGCTATAGTTTTAACATCAAATGAGTCCAACAATTTTCTTATTTAGTTTGCATTGTGTATGCCTTGCATGCAATGACTGTACCAAAGTTGTTCACAACTTTTAAAATAATTTTAGTAACCACATGAATAGGGCATATAATACAAATATCAAATTTATAGTGTAAAACAGTAAGAGTGAAATAAAGTAAATAAAGATTTTACTATTGATAATTTCTATTTTTGCTGAAGGAAACACAAACCTGTACTCGTAACAGCTATAGAAATCACAATGAGTGGATATGCCAGTTACGAAGATGCGCTTGATCCAAAATATGGAGAACCATTTCCAGTTCCTTTGGTAACTGCAACTGCAGAGACGCTGAAAGGTTACGGAACAATTGTCACAGATTTCGAGAATGAGAAAGTCGAGATTACACCCTGGCCGGTTAAAGGTTTGCACGCTTTATTAGTATAGATTCCATAGAATTTGGCGATTTTTTTTTCTCCGCTGACATGTAAAGTTGGTTTTGGAGGGCGGGGGTGGGTATTCAATGACTGAATGGTTCAGGTGGCTGACTTCGTGTTTTATGGTTTGGTTTTAAGTCACACCACAATCACCATATTTCGACCTGACTTCGTGTCACCTGCACCTAACCACTGTTTTTTTTTAAATGCATCTATGGACTTCGTTTTTTTTTCATGTGAGAAAACTATCCAGCTGGCCAACTGAAGGTCAGTAGTTCTATCCTCATGACGGCAATGATGAGTGTAAGGGCAGTTGATGTCTTAATGAAAACACCATTAAAGCTGAGATATCAGGATGTTGATGTGACTTAAGACTAACGAAAAGAAAGGGGAAAAAGTAATTGCTGATACTAAAACGTTTGTGTCGCTGTGTAGTCCGTTCCCTCTTCAAACGCGATGTTGTTAAAGAATAGAAACCGTCAACTGTGTATCTAGCCATTCCGTTGACAATAGGTTTATTTGGTTTTGTTTGGTTAAGTGCCAGTTTAGAAGTACTATGATCATATACCGCTGGACAGTTACCTTACGCATTTATATTCTTATCCACTAACTCGTTGCTTTCCAAATTTATATCTTCTCCAAAAATAGCATTAGAAACATTTGTGCAATGGACGTTTGATTTTAGAACTGAATCGCCGGGAATAACATTTGCCGCGCCTAGACTCGGAACTTGCATTGCGAATCACGAAGAATGTAGGTCTAATGCTTTACGTACTGAGGTTAATTTCTATTTTGCGACTTAACTAATAGTATGGATTATAAGTTTGGATGACAAGCATGCATCTTCTCATTCTGCTGGTTTTTTTTAAACTTGCTTTAGGAGGGGTTATTAAGTATGGCCAGGCAAGAACCATTATACCTTACTGCAACCACCTTACCCATAACCGAACTGTTTTATCCGTACATTTTGAGGTCGTTTAAATTCTTTTTAAAACCAACCACACGGAAGATAATACGTAGTTCCTAAAAATTCTTTACATATTTTAATGATCTTTCCACAATCTTCTTTCATTCGAGTCTACATTATAAAGTCTAGCCGTTGCTGAATATAGATTCTTGTAGGCGGATAAACTTCCACTGTGAAGATATGTAAGTGGTCGGAAATAATCTGGTTATATATTAAGTTTCATCATGATGAAAGAGACCTAGTTCTTCTCAGGGAAAGTTTGTTAATCCTTATGTGCTGCAATTTCTTAATTTCTAGGTCATCGCAAACTGTGTCCTGGCACTGGAGCAATGGGTGGTGAATGCAGTGGTGACTTCTCGTATAAGTGGGTCGGGGATCAGTGCACGGCTATAAATAACGCAGTAGGAGGAGACTATGTCACTGGCAGGCTGCCAGCTAATGTGTCCCCATCAAACCGGACGCACGTGCTCGTGAGGGAAGCCAATTATCACCCGGATGGCGGTCAAGTATTCTTTCCAAAGAATAGAGACCCCTTTATAGCTTTACTTGCCCTACCTGGTGACGATATTAAAATGGATAATTTTGTTGCCTTTTATTTTGACGGAAGTTTTGGTGTACAGATTCACGCTGACATTTGGCACCAACCAGTTTATCCAATAAACGACGAGGCGGTGTTTCTTGGAAAACAAGGGGCTGTACACGCATGCGTAGCGGTTGACACAGTTGATGAATTTGGGAAATACCTTCTTGTTCCACTGCAGCCAACTCGATGATTCTTAACCAAAGTTAGCAAAGATTTTTATTTAGCTGTATACTTGACAATATGAACATTTTCTTCGTGCTTACCAATAGAATTAATGATAATAAATAATACCGGAGCGAGACGATTGCATATAACATTGAATATGATTCTCCATTGCTTTTGATAAAAAGCTAAACGGGAGAAGTAAATTGATAGGTGTTTTAAACTATAAGTGATTTTAAATAAATTTTGAATTGCACTTAATTTGTTTGTCCTTTCGGCAAATGACCGATCAAGTATTAACAAATCTTGTTGCAAGGGACGATTAAAGTTGTTTCTCCTCATAAATGTTTTCTTGGATAAACAGATTTTGACATCTTTAACAGTAATGTCCTTTGTTAGTTATGTGGTCACTTAAATATAATTCTTCTTATAAGAAGTACTTGTTCAAAGCAACAGCTGTCAGAAAAATCCTCAGTATTATTATACTATTACTCGCACGTCGTTTATTTTTCCGCGTAACTATTTCAAACGTTCATTCATTTCCATATGTTTTAGTTAGCTCCTTTTATCTAATGTCATACGGATTTCCAACGTAAATTAAGGGGCGTCCGTGGCCGAGTGGTTAAGGTCGTTGACTTCAAACCACTTGCCCCTCACCGCTGTGGGTTCGAGTCCCGACAGGGACTTTGGATTCTTTCATGTGGGGAAGCTATCCAGCTAGCTTACGGAACGTCGGTGGTTCTACTCAGGTGCCCGTTCGTGCCTGAAATAATGCACCGAAGGGCACCTGAGGTCTTCCTCCACCAGTAAAGCTGGAACGTCGCGATATGACCTATACTGTGTCGATGTGACGTAAAGCCCTAAAAAACAAAAACAAAAAACAAACAGGTGAACGAACAAAACTTACATCATCATATCATAATTTCCTTCTCATACCTTCTGTAATCTTCATCATTTTACGTGTATGTTCTCTATTTGAAAAGTGATGATTTTACAAGATAATGATGACCGGAGTTATAAACGACTGGTGTATTAAAACCTTTTTTCAACTATAGCTCATTGAAAGAAGGTTTTTACAGTATCGGATAAGTAATCCAGCGGTGGCTGCTACGATTCTCGGGCTAGGCTTAATATGACTCAAAATATGTTAAAAGACGTTAAAACAGAAAAACAATTTCCAGCCAAATATATAGCGAGAATGATATACCTATGCTATTAGTGTGTGAGGAGTCTTCAAACAAGAAAACCTGCAAGAACCTGTCAGATCAGTCTATGTCTAATATGCTGCTGTTTTTTTATAAACATTTCAATAAGAAAATTGCTAAAATAAGAACAGAACAGAACAGAAACTTTATTTCTTGGTTTAAGCATAAAAAGCTCATCACCATATTAAATATACAAATACAACATATAATACATAAATGACACATGACATGAATATATATAATTACAAAATAATGGTTTATGTGATGTGAGAATGTTTAATTTGAGATACGAAATTACTTAAAAAGCATATGAATACATGTATATAATACACAAGAATTTGCCTATCTTTACCAAACATTATCAATTTAAGCTACAATACATTATACAAATCAAAGCACTGCAAGCACTGAGGTATACATTGCTTGACATCAAGACCATGTGATTTTAATCTACTGAACTCAATAGAAGTCATCTTCTGGTTACAATCAATTTCGAACACAAATCTAGGCTTATTTCTTCTCAAGTTATTATCTATACATGTTTATACATTTAAGGAAAACCTATGACACCCTGGTGCTATTTCACTAGGGGCAACATTTGAACAACTTTGGTAAAAGACGTACTTATGATATTATTTACCAAGTATCTAAGCTCTAAGCCTTAAACCTTCTGATAAAAAGATTTTTTAAAAAGTTTTTGCTATATACATATAAGGAAAACCTTAATATATGACCCCAGGGGTGAGGCTAATTTTGACCCTTGGGCTGTAACGTGAATAATCTTGGTAGAGGTTAACTACCAAATGTTTCATGACAAATATCTAACCTCTAGTCTTTGTCAATTCAGAGGAGAAGATTTTAAGTTTTAACTACATACATATCAGGAAAATCTATGAACCCTAGTGCAGGGCTAATTTGACACCCAGGGTATAATGTGAAAATCTTGTGAATGTCTACCAGACAATGCCTTTTTGCAAAATATCTATGCTCTAGGCCTCATTTAAGTCTTTGAACAACTTTGGAAGCCCTTTACTCATGGAAACAACCCTGTCAAGTTTGGTTGAAATTTGGACAAGATGTTTTCAAAAAAGATGTTAACTATATAATGTATAAAACACACACACATGCACGCATGCATGCACACACACACAAAACAGGGGAATCGCTATATGCCAACACAGCGTCTACATGCATCAGACCAGCAGTCCAACACATTTTCAAAAAATAAAATGACAATTACATTGTTGATGTGTTGAAAGCCTTGTGAAATTTAATAAAATTAAGCTTTATAATATCTAGAATAAACTTTCATTTCTTTATTCCAAACTGTAAACAAACAATATGAGGTATGGTACATGTTATGGTCAACCAAGTGGATCTCATTGGAGCTAGGTGGAGAGGAGTGTGGGAATCCAAAGATTAGTAAATCGTGTTTGCTTACTGAGTTCATCAGAAAGTATTTAAGCACTAAGTTGAAATTTATATGGCATAATGCACTTTATGTGTGTTAATATGTTATATATCAAAATTAAATACTCAGTAATCTTTTTTTTTGTTAACTATAAACTTAAAGAATTAATAAATTTCTTTTTATAATAATCTATTGAATTCTGATTATAGTATCTTTTTTTTGGTTTGACTTTTATCACAGTCTGTTGCTTTTTGTGATACCATACTATTGTTTCCGGCACCTTTACTCCAAGTAAGCAAATGAAGTAATTGAAGACCAGGACCTTGAGTGTAGTAACTTCCTTTCTGAGTGGGAGATCTGAACATCACTGTCTGTCCTGTCCCACCATGTCTCGATATTGGATTTGTCTTGGTACAGACCACCTGTCTCATGGTCTGCAAGGTCCTGCATGTATGGCCAGCTGGGACTGTTTAATGTCACCGAGGAGAACTCCATATAGTTTTTGACAATCAATAAATATTTTACAATCCAATAGGAAAAAAAAGATTCATGTAGTATCTTTTTTAAGCTAAATCCTTTCAAGCTATCATCAATCGTGTACAATAAAACTTACTGGTAAGGAGTTAATTAAGGGCTTCTCCCCCAATACAAAAAAGGTCAAATTAAGAAGTAGTACTGTTACAATGCCTTATCAAAAATAAAGTCACATGCATATATAGACAATAACTAAATATTTAACAATATTGATTTAATACAAATAAATCATTAATATATGCAGTCCAGCCAATAATGAGCTGAAAATATTTATCAATATCAAAGAGTGAGAAAATGAAATGCAGCCTGACTAAAACTCAAACCAGAGACACTCAGAATACCATACCTCAGCACTACCAAAAAACCCAGAACCCTTGGAATACCATACAGCAGCTCTACAGCTTAATTTCCTTTTTCATTGGCACACTTAAGTAACAAAGTGAATTGACTTATGACTCAGTTATGTACCATCATAAACATATATTGGACCCTAAAAGTAACAGGGTGAAAATATCATAGGGTGAGAAAAATGTGCAGTTTGCTGGAATCAAACCTGAATCAGAATATTATACATGTATGTGGGCTGTACTGACTCACTCAGCTGAGCTATCTAGCTGGCAATGTCAATAATCTATTACACATTGGCAATAGAAGTCAAAGAAAACATTCATTGATAATGACCCATTATTTAAAGTAAATCATATCAGAAACATCCCTTGAAAATGATATCATTTTCATTTTTGACCCACAGTTATTACCACTACCTCCTAATGGGCCTAAGTAAACTGAGCCTGCAGAATTTTTATATTTGCTGTCTGTCAGACATGGCAATTTCTTATGGGTTTCACCTTTATCTCCATTTGAAGGGATGTAACTCATGTTTACTAAATAGTTTGTTCTTATCTGTCTATCTTAAGCTACAGTCTCACTAACATCCCGGCAGAACCCCGGCAGAGCCCCGGTAGACGTCCGGGGTGATTCGGGGTACGACCGGGAACAACCGGGGTACATCCGTAACTCTGCCGGCAACGTCCTGGATGATCCGGGATGATCCGGGAACATCCGGCATTCGACCCCAGATGGAATAAAATATTTAATATCACCGGGGTGGTCCGGGATGATCCGGGAAGGTATAGCTTTGCCGGCTTCATCCTTAACTCTGCCGGGAACGACCGGGGTTATACCGGGAAAGCACCGTAGCTCTGCCGGCACAAACCGGGGATGATCCGGGGTATGATATTGCCGGTAGAGCTACGGTAGAGCTACGGTAGAACCCCGGTATATGCCGGCAGAGCCCCGGTAACTACAGGCAGAGCCCGGAGGATAAAGGTAGAGCTACGGTTGATCCCGGTAGAGCCCCGGCAAAGCCCGGATCATTTCAAAAGAATAAGGACAATTTGCGATGATTGAACTTGCTTGTATTAAAAGCCTTCCCATTTCCCTTCTATCCAGTATGGCATAAGGATTTTTCAGAAAATCATCATGAATTACTATTCTGGAACAATAGATATTATATTAAATAAAAATTATGTATCAAAGTTATCATTTTCGGGCGTTTTCAATCCACCGGGGTTCTACCGGGGCTCTGCCTGGATTGTCCTGGGCTCTGCCGGGGCTCTGCCTGGATCGACCGGGGCTCTGCCTGGGTCAACCGGGGCTCTTCCGGCGTCATCCGGGAACGACCGGGGAAGCACCGGCATGAACCGTAGCTTCACCTGGGCTCTGCCTGGATGATCCGGAGCGCATCCTGGATGGATAGTATGGAACTACCGTAGTGCTGCCGGGGTAAGTGTGACCGCAACAATAATTTCATCCCGGATCGTCCCGGTAACTTACCGGGATGGTCCTGGGCTCTGCCGGGAGTAAGTGAGACCGAGGCTTTAGCCATTACAGACTATTCTAGCTGTATATAAACATAAAAAATCTTTTATATTAACAAACAAAACATAATAAGATGAAAAATTTACCAGTTGGAGAAATTCATCAAATGGATGGAGGTCCAGGAATGATGAATATGGATAGAAATATTTTTTTTGACTGGCTTTATGTACCTTCTAGTTATCAGTGTGGCAAGGAATTTTTATAATTCTTCAGTTAAACCTGGTTTTTCAGTTAAGATTTCATCATAAAAAAGATCTTCAGGACTCTAAATAAATTCATATTTGTGGTATCAGGGGAAATTAAATTACTATTTGTGCTAAATCTGATCATAAACATCAATCTAAATATTTAGAATGTACCTGTGTTGAGTGTCATAGTTCACTCTTCACTTTGGTTATCCCAGGTCAATCCTTTTTTTACTAATGGCTTTAATTTAAAAACTGACCACATCTGCAATCATAAGCTCATATATGGGCTAATAATTTTACCTTATATATATATATATATATATATCAATAGTCTAAGGAGTTATGTAAAAAAAATGTTAAGGGTGGCTCAGCCTGACTGAGTGATTTGATTGTAAATAACATATTTCAAAATATATTTCTGGACTCAACATGCTTTCAAAACTCTGTAAGAAAACTGTCAAATGATGAATAATTATCTGGATCTGTTACCCAAAAATCTGTGTGATTCTAGCACTTCATTTTTTCTAGGATTGCAATAGCTTTCTATTTTGTCAAATATTTTTTTCACTTTCAGTTTATGTTCTGCATTTGCCCATGTAAAATTGATAACTTTAGGTCCAGCACAGTGTAATAGGATATTTACTTGTATCTTTTCATCTTTCTCAGCATTTCCCACTGGCAGTCAACACTGGTAAAGTAAATTTCATTTGCACTTTCCATTTGATAAAGTTATGTGATATGTTACCATTTTCAACATCTAAATGTCTAGGGGGTCTAAACATATCTGCCATGATTGTCAGTTCGAATAATACCGATTACGAAAAGGCTAAATTCGAATAAATATTGAGTACAAATCCTTAGTTCGAATAATATTGAGTACGAATCTTCCTCTTCCCGAAAATGGCTTTTGGACGATATATTTCACTAAAGTTGCAGAAATACTTCACACTGCAGGTGTGAAACAAATAATTGCATACTCCTCCGATGCCACCACGTTGATAGGGTTCTATTATATGCAATTATATGACAATACGTCAGAACGTAAACTTTAATCCATTCATACAGACGCTTACAATGTTACATACATGTAATACTAAATAAGACATATATATCTGTATATGCTCGTTTTCTAAAACAGTTTGAAATAGAAAAAGTATGCAAATCTATATTTAAAAGTAAATAAGGTTTATTTGTTTGATTTAATATTAATTTTGGGTGTTGGACATATTTTTATACAGAGTCTGTCGTAATTCATTCATTCTTGCACGCGCATGCGTGGATACGAAGTTTGAAGCGTAGGTTTACACAATGCTTTTATGAATGAAATAAAAATTTTCATATTTTTTGCTTTCATGTTTAGAAAATGTTTATTTGAACTGAAAGTGCATAGTTTTGAACTTTCAAAGCTTATTGACCACTATGCAAACAGTATAATTAATAAAAAGTGATCTTAATGTGACAATCCTGCAAAATGAGGATCTACTTTTATCGAGGTTTCATCCAAAGGTGGATGTTGTTCAGCAAAACACGTTAGGTGTACTAAATCTGAAATACAGCTATAACTCTGTATACATTGCAAGCAATGTATACAAAAAAGCAAACTGCGACAAATGAAGGGGGATAACTTAGGTAACTTTACATAACCAGTATTTTAACATTTACTTCCCCTTAATAATTCATGATCAATATTAATAGAATTCATTTCTATATGAAATGAATACATTTACTGATTTTGCTAAAATAAGACTGACCTTCTTTTACTACGCTTAGTTCCTTAAATGGTCTGTCACTCAGTCTGTCCGTCCGTAATATTTTCGTGTCTGTCCCATAACTTTTTAACTTAGCCATGATACGTTTTTGAAATAACTTCGCATATAATGATAACAACAATTAGACGATGTGTAGAGTTAAGGTCGCTACCCCAAGGCTTTTCTTTGTCTCCATGATTTGCAAGTATAAAATCTGTTGTCCCCAGGAAGATAAGAGATAGAACAAGTTAGTTATAAAAAAAGACGATCTTTATCAATTTATGGGTAGCTAGATGAAATGAACAACCATAGCAATACTATTGGATCATTTCAGTAAAATTGGCATCTTAAAAAACCGGACAGGTTGTATTGAAAGACCAAAATATCTGCATATTGGCAATATCTCGTGTAGGTGTGACAAAGTTCTCTGCCTTTATCAGAAATAAAATTAAGTGCATGTATGAGTTATGTGCATAATCGTATAATTTATATGTAGCAATCCTTGATTTAACTACAATGAATTGAAATAATCCACCTAATATTTAGAGTCCTGTGACGTCAATTACAGAATTTACAGCAAAAGTCTACGACTTTTCTGGTCATCCCTCGTATGTGACTTCGTACCACGAGTGGCAAACCGCTTTTGACCCTAATTGACACGTAATGAATATGAATTTATTAATAATTTAAAGTGACCAGTCATTCAACTGACCAGATTTTAGACTGATAACTGATCCAAGGTGAAGTTAAACAAAACTTGTGACAATAACCGTGAAATCTATTGACTGAAACAATGACATTGTTCTAAAGGACAACAGAAAATGCAAGTGTCCACTATCCAACTGCTTTTACAACAAAACCGTATTTTATGAATTCATTATGGAATTGTAACTAAAACATTCATAAGCTTCCGATTTGAATAAAAGCTGGTTTTGAAAAATTAAAACCTGCTAACAAGATGGCCTCCAAAGAAATTTAAAATTGAAGTAGAATTTTGTAATGACTATTTTAGCCCGGTCTTTAGAAATGTCCAGTCTTACAGGATGTTTATATATTTTAATTGCTAAATACCTTGCTACTTAAGCAAACAGCGCATCTCATCATGTTGTAAAGCTTACAGTGAGCCGCAGTTGTTAACGTTTACAGCGTGCCGTAGATAGCGTTTGCAACGCGCCCCAGATGTAACGTTGAAAGAGCGCAGCATATAGCGTTTACAGCATACCGCAGATGGTAAGGTTTACAGCACACCGCAGATAGCGATTACAGAAAACCTAATGGTATAATGAAAAAATTAACAGCGCGCCACAGATAACGCTTACAGCAAAAACAGGTATAAATGTGTACAGCGTGCTGCAGATGTTAATATTACAGCGTGCCGCAGATAGTGTTTACAGCAAGCCGCATATGTTCACGTTTACAGGTACTGCTTATAACATTTAAAGCAAGCCGCAGATGGTAACGCTAACAGCACGCTGCAGATAAAGCTTACAGTAAGCCTCGGGTATTAATGTGTACAACGTGATGCAGATGTTTACGTTTACACAGTTAGCGCTTACAGCAAGCGGCATACGTTAACGTTTTTACAGCTACTGCATATAGCGTTTAGCGTTTACAATACAGCGCGTCGCAGTTGTTTACGCTAACATCGCACCGCAGATAACGCTTACCGTAAGCCTTAATGTGTGTAACGTGCTGCAGATGTTTATGTTTACGCAGTTTATCATTTACAGCAAGCCGCATATATTAACGTTACGGCTCCTGCAGATAGCATTTACAGCAACTGCAGATGGTTACGTTTACAACACGCCGTAGGTAGTGCAGCAAGCCGCAGATATACAGCGCGTCGCAGTTGTTTACGCCAACAACGCACCGCAGATAACGCTTACCGTAAGCCTAGGGTATTAATGTGTGTAACGTGCTGCAGATGTTTATGTTTACGCAGTTTATCATTTACAGCAAGCCGCATATATTAACGTTACGGCTCCTGCAGATAGCATTTACAGCAACTGCAGATGGTTACGTTTACAACACGCCGTAGATAGTGTTTACAGCAAGCCGCAGATGTTAACGTTTACAGCACGCCGCAGATAACGTTTGCAGCAAGTCACAGATATTAATGTGTACAGTGTGCTGCAGATGTTAACATTAACAGCGCCCACAGAAAGCGTTTATAGCAAACCGTAGAGGTTTAAATTTACAGAAGACCGCAGGTATTTATGTGTACAGTGTGCCACATGTGTTTATCTTTACAGCAAGCCGCAGGTGTTTATGTTTACAGCAAGCCTCAGCCGCAGGTGTTTACAGCAAGCCGCAGGTCTTTATGTTTACAGCGTGTCATATATGTTTATGTTTACAGCGAGCCACAGGTGTTTATGTTTACAGCGAGTCACAGGTGTTTATGTTTACAGCGAGCCACGGTGTTTATGTTTACAGCGAGCCGCAGGTGTTTATGTTTACAGCGTGTCATATATGTTTATGTTTACAGCGAGCCACGGTGTTTATGTTTACAGCGTGCCACAGGTGTTTATGTTTACAGCGTGTCACAGTTTTTTATGTTTACAGCGAGTCGCAGGTGTTTATGTTTACAGCAAGCCGCAGGTGTTTATGTTAACATAGATTCGCAGATGTCAACGTTACATCGATGTTTACTTTTTCAGCAAATCGCAGATGTACACATTTACAGCGAGGAAGATATGCTTACGTTTACAGCGTACCACAGATGTTTGCATATAGTTCAGACGTTTACAGCGTGTCACATATGTTTACTAGTAGTTTAAACTATATTTGGCAGGAACCTACAGCAATTTATAATCACTTAAGATTCTGTTTCCTGGAACTAGTGGAGTACCGGTAATATTTCGGGAAAGATATTCACGAGACTCGAACCAATATTGCTTGCTTGAGAGACATACAATTTTACTATTATGACACCGTCATCTGAAGCACAAACTACAACATGACAACCACAAAAAGAGGATATCGTCATTTTTGTTAGAGTTGTAGACAATGAATAAGCATACTATTATGCAGTCTAGTTTTTTTATTGTTTAGATATATAAGATTTAATGAAATATTTTCATCATTTTCTAACACTGCATTCCTCTATTGGTAATGAAGAACATGTAAAGGGAAATTTTGTATTTTAAAAATTGAAACCGTACGTGATGATGGTCAGTAACTTTGTGGTTGAAGCCGGTTGAAAAGTCATACCAGGTCGGACATTGTCCTCAATATAAAACAAAGAAAAACTTGCATAATAAATATTATAATATAATGTATCATCACAAACTAAACGGTCAGCGATCATTCTAATTAAATAGTTTAAGTTTAAATTGAAGAGAAGAGAAATATATTTTAACAGATGCTGGTAGGTCATGAACACTTTTATTTACTTATATTTATAATTATTTTATGACCTAATTTATTTATATATTGTTCTTTAAACACCACACTCCTTTATATTTTGTAATAAATTCTAAATATGAATGACTTTATTAAACCAGGCAAGCTTCCTTATTTCCTTTCTTTAATCAAAATTGTAAAAATGCTTTGCTCGAATTATTTTTAAGTACATGTGTCGCTCCTATAGTCCTTATATTTTTGTATGGCACGGAAATATACGACCGTTTCCAAATTTTCACGAACTCTCTCTATATATATATATTTATTGTATTTGGCAGCTTTGTAGTACTACATGATTTAATACACTTGTTTGACAAGAAAACCCCACATCTTAAAGCTTTAACTGCAGCGTTTAAATGAAATATTTACTTTTTGTGTTACCATTTTAGAAGATGAGTCGGGTTCCAGACCTGTCTAGCGTAAAAGCTGACCATTATGAAATTCCTATCGTCATGGCAACAGAGGCATCCTTAAGGGGTTACGCTTCCATTGTGACAGACTTTACGACTGTCAAGGTCGAAAAAACGCCATGGCCACTGAAAGGTAATGTTTCTCTGAAAACTTTGCAGTGGTAAAAATGTTTTAAGACTTTGCATTTTAGTTAGCCATACTTACTAATTCATGTTTTGGTTTATTTTCTTAATTTTTAACAGATTTTTTAAAAAGTTTGTTGTATTAATTCTTGGCACTTTTTTTTGCTTATAAGGTTGGCGTAAGGCAAGTGACGATACAGACATTATACAAGGAGAGGACACCGGAGAAATTTATTACAAATGGGAAAATAACATATACATTGCCGACAAAGTGCATGGTCGAAAGAACGAAATTGGTGTCATAAACAACAACAACAACAACATCTCATTACTTGGCAACGCCGACCAAAAATTATCAAGAACGCACGTTCTAGCTTGGGAAAGTACGTATCATCCGGATTGCGGCGAAGTTTTCTTTCCGAAAAATGGCGACGAGTTTGTTGTTGTTGTTGCGTTGCCAGGCGACGACATAAAACCGGAAGACTTCATAGCGTTCTTTTGTGATGGTTCATTCGGAATTCAGACTCACCCATTTGTATGGCATATTGGAATGTTTTCAGCGAAAGACAATGTTACGTTTCTAGGGAAACAAGGCCTGTTACACGCGTGCGTGTCTGTAAACTTTGTTAAAGAGTTTGGTCGTTTAATTTCCGTGCCCTTAGTGAAACCAGAGGAGTAGAAAAAAACTATTTAACATTTTATCAACAAGCTATTAAATCATACATGTTAACGTTATGTTTATTACATGAAATGCACAGACGTGAAATGAACGTTATATATATTGTGTAAAATTGCGAGAAATTATTTTTGAACAGATGTTTTAGGAACAAAATATTAAAGCATTAAATGTATTTTTCTTTAAAAAATCTATGATATTTTGACAGTATTTGTTCAGGTAAAAGACAAGCAGAATAGTTGACGTTATTTTTTTAACATAAAGTTCAGTAAAATCAGTAACACTCTTTAAATGATGACATCATACAATGTCATACAGTAATGGTATTTCAGTGTCATAATATCTCAAAAATGTGTTATATAATATGTGTTAAATACAACTATATATCTAATTTGTCAGACACAGCTCTTTTTCTTTCGAGCGCTGTATCATGTAAAAAAACTTGTATTCGCATTAAATGGGTACATGATATCAAGAAGTTTTAATGAAGTGACTTGTATAATACAGAGGGAGATCAGTTCAACAAATGTAAATTAGCTTGTTATCAATTGAAGTTATTATACCTGTAAAAAGATTACTTTGAGCACCTTTGTGTTTGAGATAACTGTCTCTCGATCTAGGTGTAGTGGGTGCATCCCTTACTTGGGTAATGCCCGGGTGCGTCCCTTACTGGGGAAACGCCTGGGTTCGTCCCTTACTGGGATAACGTCCGGGTTCGTCCATTACTGGGATAAAGTTCGAGCTTGTCCCTTGCTAGGATAATACCCATGCTCGTCCCTTGCTAGGATAACGCCCGGGTTCGTCCCTTACTTGGGTAATGTCCTAGTTCTTTCCTTACTGGGGTGACGTCCGGGCTCGTCCCTTACTGGGGTGACGTCCGGGCTCGTCCATTGCTGGGGTAACGACCTTGTTTCTTTGTAAGATACCAAATTACCAGTACTTGTTGTTCCCATGAAGGAAAAAGAAACGCGACTGGTTTGTATAAGCGTCAGATTTTTATGCTAATCAGACTATTATAAGTGTGTTTGATATCATAAGTTTAGTAACCACATCTCAACGAGGACATCAGTATTTTCTTATACATGCTGAGTGGTCTTTGAAGGCAAGTTTTACTGTATTTTCTTGTTACAGATATAACAGATGTCACATATCGTCACCTAAGTGCAATAACTGATTAACTCCTATTAAATTTATATGGACTTATTCTGTTACTGCACTAAAGTGACGATATATGTTTACCTTTCTCATCATTGTTATCATCAGCCGTTATCTCGGTTTGAAAATTAAATTCAGACTCAATTTTTTTTTTTTTTTTTGCTTTTGAACTTTACAAGTATGTATATAGGATGCCGGTATTGTGAGTGTGAAATGAATGTTAAATAGCGACCTCCTTAACTATTAAATACAAATTAAGGTGACGGTGGTTTATTTCATTTCATTTCATTTATTTTATTTTTAAAGGAATCACAATTGTTCGTTGAGGGTAAGTCTGATTCACTATATACCTAACATATATACATGTAGACTGTATTTAATCTATTTACAATTGATACCAGAGGTGGTTAAGTGGGCGGGGCAAGGAGGGTGATGGGGATGGGATAGTAAAAAAAATTTAATATTAGTAGTTTTTATACAGGTCAATTTGATCGTTTCGGATCAGATTCTACTTATAGCTTAAATTAATTTTTTGATGTCTTTAACGGCATGATAAATGATAAACATACGATAGATACTCGGCAAACTTCGGTTCTTGAACAATGTCGTTACTGTTTCCGGTCTATTCTGTTCATATAATACATAAAGTAGCGACAGATACCGATTTCTGGAGTGTGTTTTATGGATGGGTACCTTAAACACGCCCCGATTCTCATATTTGCATGTTTTGCATATTATATTTACTGTAAACACTCTATGGGAAAACACACATTTTAAAATTTTGTACAGGTTTTGATTCACGAAATGATGAGTAAAGGACCTTTCAACGTCCCGATAGCATTGGCTTCTAAGGAATCTCTACAAGGATTTGGTACTATTGTGACGGATTTTGAAAATACCAGGGTAGAGAAACGTCCGTGGCCAGTTGAGGGTGAGTAGCTTTGCGATGTGTTTGAAAATGTAGGTGATGCCGCACGTGCAGAGGAGCGTCCGTGACCGAGTTGTTAAGGTCGTCGACTTCAAACGACTTACCCCTCATCAGTCCAGGTATTTCATCTGAGGAAGCTATCCAGCTAGCTTACGGAACGTCGGTGGTTCTATTAAGATGCCCGTTCGTGTCTGAAATAATTTTCCTCCACCAGTAAAGCTGGAAAGTCGCTAAATGACTTATGCTTTGTTGTTGCGACGTAAACCCAACAAAGTTATGGTGTGCTATTCTTTCCCAAACCCAGTCAAAAAAGTAAATTATTTAAGTGTTCTAGTAGTAAATAGAAAACTTTGGAACTCAGCAACCGGATTGTGTCTTAACGAAATGGCGGAAGTCCGGCAATTTGTAGCCTCTATAATTATTGCCATTCTTATTTATTGTATAAAGAATAAATTTATGAGTTGACAAATATAATTTTAATCGCTACAGGTTGGAGAAAGGCAAGAAAAGGGACAGATATTATTCCAGGAGAGGACGTCTTCGAAATAACATACGCACGTAATGAGCAAGGTATTACCATGAAGAAAGAACGCGGACGTTTGAACGAAATAGGTCGTCTTACGAAAACTTCTTGCTCTAATGAAGAAGTGACGTCCGTTTTAGTACAGGAAATGACGTATCATCCAGATTGTGGAGAGGTATTTTTCCCAAAGAATGGGGATGCATTCATAGGTCTTTTTGCTCCTCCAGGGGACGATTTTGACCCCGCAACAGTGAGGGCATTTTATTTTGACGGAAGTTTCGGTGTTCAATGTCATCCGAATGTTTGGCATCAAGGCATGTATATCCTACAAGATGAGGCCATCATGAAGGGGAAACAAGGGCCGCTTCATTTATGCATCACTATCGATGTTGTAGAAGAACTAGGACAATATTTGAGTGTACCTTTACAAAAACCTTGTCAATAAAAATAATATTGTATACGAAATTAACTGCTTCATAAGTTTCAGAAAATGAAAATATTTTATTGCTATCATATTTCACATTTTTCAGTAAGAAAAGATTAAAAAAAAGTGTTGTTGTCAAAATTATCTTAGCGTGTGTTGTCCTGTACATAATAGTAATTCATTATACTATGCTAATAGCCTTGAATACCCTAGTAAGCGTTTGTCAAAATATGACAAATTAAATAACTCCAGGTTAGCTCGGCATATTTCGCCTTTCTCGTAACAAATGTCCAGGATTATTAGCAGTATGTTCATAGCATCCAAACTCGTCCTGTATCGAATGCAAGTTCATTTATAACGGTTACCCACCATCGTCGTTTTGTTGGTGTTGTTGTTGTTTTTTCTATTGTATCAGGGCCTGTATAAATAATTAAATTTTATTTCATTTTCCTTTCAACGTCATTATATCAATTAAATCTCGAACAAACAATCTTCGATCGTCAAAGTTTATTGTAGATGAACGCACACAAAATCGACGATTAATTTTTTCCCCTCTTTATCGGGAATTTTTTATGTAGATTTTTATTACATTTAAAATGCATCGAGCACGGCATACCATGAACGCATGATTATATCACTAGGGAGGTGAACCAGTTTGTATAAGGACATCAGCGGGATTCATTCTCCTTAAGGTGTTCCACACATTACATGCTCGCGTATGTTCTTGAATATTTCGCATCATTCAGAGCTGTCAAAATATGGAATAAGCGTCTAAATTACTTAGAGCAAAATTTTCAACTCGCCGCTTTTTGCACAAAAATTGAAATCGGGCACTGACGGAGTAAGCCGAAATCACCCGAGCTGTTCAAAAATTCTGGAGGGAATACCTTAACTAAGTTGATGAGTCAACCTAGTTAAATTTATTCCTTTGTTGTTCAAAACATTTTAAAATTTAAATCACGACTTTGACATATCTTTGAAATATAAATTTGTTATCAGTGCAGAAAAGATTTTTTTTAAAATCTGTATCACAACAGGAGAAGTCACAGTTCATTGACATACATAAAATATGTCGTCTTCAACATCAAAAAGAAACATCATAAAAGAAATGAAACGCTTGATTTTTTTTATCCGCCTAAGTTTTTTTTTTTAATCATTTCCACTGGGGTTTATTTTTTACATGAATGGTCTGAAAATATATTTGATGTAGGTCTGGGATACTAGCTTGCGTGCAAAATTTCAGATCATTCCCTAAATCCCTTTTTTTTTTTTTTTACTTTTGTTAACGTTCTTAACGTTTTTCATTGTAACGTAGGTCTAACTTGATATAAAAGAGTAATCTGATAAAACGGAGTAAGCAAATGAATTGAAATTTTTCACAAAAATTACTTGCTCAGGTTGCAAGATACAGCATTGACTGCTGCTCCCATTTTCTTCCTCAGGTGGGTGCCATATTAATTGGACGTTTCTGCGCTTCCCATCACGCCCTCAAATATATGGTGCGCCGACTAGAGTGATATCAAGCTTTAGCCAGGAGATGGTAGGCTTTCTTTGGGGATTCTTATTTTCTCTATTTATCGCCACATCAGCGTTGTTTGTGCCATGTGGAGGCTGTAAAAAGTCGCCCCGTACATTAAATCATAGAAGTTATATTTTCGATCCTTAAAGATCGCTCAGTGTGTTTGTGGTATTTTAGTACTTTTTTTGGCATTTTCTAATTGGATGGTTTCAATATTCCTTCTTGAATAATGTTAAATCATTTGGATATGTTGTCTGCTCTTAAACTTTGTCTTTTGACGTAATATCTGTGATATGCAGGCTTCATAACCTCTGATTTCCTTTCAAAATTCCATTTTGTTTAGTTCCGCCGATTGTTTTCTCGTTTAGGGCATACGCTTTCTATAACTTGGGGACCATACGCCGCTTTTCATGGAATGGCACGGAAGTGCTACATTGAAGGTTCCATGATAACCGCTTTATGAACACATCTGCGGATTTTTCTAAATTCAAAATTTTACCATTTCATGTTTAAATGTTGAATTCTGCTCAAGCCGGTGCTAGGGGGCGTGGACGGTAGTTTGTACTTGACAGCATGTCCATGAACATGCTCAATCAAACCGAGCCTGCAACATTTTCAATTTTGCCGTTCTGGACTTTCTTTTGGAATTCTTATTTTCTCTATTTTGTGTTATTTCTGCTTCATTTGTCTAGAAGCGTGTACTGCCTACCTATTGGTCTTTCAACCCACTATCCATGGCTCTTCTTTCTTGGGCCAGATCCACAAGGAGACGGACTCTGCTTCATGTGCTATGGAAGATATGGCTTTGTTGCGCGCTTGTCCTGTCACACCAATACATACATCTAAATGCTTGCCATAGTGATCGCGCTAGGAAGCCCCATTCAACCAACTTCCACTGGAAAGCACGAATACCTCCAACCTCTTTCCTTACAGGTATCCACAAGAGGCTGATATTTTACCAATTTCCTTTCATAACTATCTTCGAATCTTTCTTCCCATGACACTGTGGGTTCAAGTAAAACAAATTGTTTGCTAGCTGAAGACCACAAAACAATATCTGGTCTTAGTTTGGTCACAATTATTCCTCAAGGAACTTCAGTTCCTTCTTTAGGTCAACATCTACCTGACAGTCATTAGCAGTATCCTCTTTCTAGAATTTCCTGCTCGTCCAGTTTGACCTTCTCTTACAAAAGGAATGAATGGAAATTACATTAAAACGTATAATAATGTCAAACTATTTCAAGTCCCATCATTAAAAAGATTCTCAGTGGAAGACCCTTTTACAGAAAATTGAAAAAAAAAACATTGAGAAATAACCATTGCTGACACAGAAACAATAAAATGGTTAAAAGAGCCAAAATATAGCCTTACGTAAAAAATGAAAATGTCGTAGGTTCGGTTAAGTAAACGATTCTACTAAGATAATTTGATAATATTTTTTCCAAGATTAATGTCTCATTTGTTGTAAGTCAGAACACAATGCTCATGTCTGTTTTTTTTCCAGATTAATTATTTTCAGTGTGAAAAATGACCCAAATTTAAACGCTTTTAACTCAAATCAGGCTAAGAATGTCACCAAAAAAACAACAGACATTTGCGCTTCATCCAACAAATCGGATCTGGCGCTTAACCCAACAATACGAAAAGTCGCGCACACAAACCTTGTGCTGAAACCTACAAAAAATCTTACGAGTATCGCAACAAAACAAAAACTTTACTTTAACGGCAACTAAACAAAAACTTGTGCTTAACCAAACAAAACAAATTTGCGCTGATATCAACAAAACAAACACCTACGCTTAAATCATCAAAACAAAAACTTGCGCTGATATTAACAAAACATAAACGTGTGCTTTATCAAACAAAACAAAAACTTGCGCTTTTAAAAATCATCAAAACAAAAACTTGCGCTGATATCAACAAAACAAAAACGTGTTCTTAATCCAACAAAGCAAATAAGGCGATGAATCCAACGAATTAAAACAACAAAAACTTGAAAACTTGCACTTAACCAAACCAAACAAACAAACATTCGTACATGAATTATAAATTATTAAATATTGAATTGACAATATTATTATTAAGCGATGAAGATTATGTTGTTATTATATTTCACGTAAAAGAAATATTTGTATCTATCAATAAAACGCACATTTCAATAAAAATATCTTTCAACAATTTATGGTGAACGACCGAAGTTGTTTTTCTAAACCTGAGATTTTCACATAATGACAATGTTGATTTTTAATTAGTATTGTATACAAATAACTCCTATATACTACCTATGTTCCTTTAGCAAATTTTAATTTTCCCATGCGAATTATATTTTATGTATTTTTACTATTAATCAATGACGTGGTTTTAAAATACGGTAAACATTGTTACATAAAAGCGCAAGTGGATTATGAATTTATGAAACCTTGAAGTGGACACTGACCCCACGAAAGAAAAATAATTCAAACGAAATCTTGGACGCTCTAGCTTACTGGCAGTACAGTCAAACATGTGAACAAAGGATAGACCAAATATGGCCTTTCTAGACAAGTGGTCCTAATTTGGAGGTTACAATGATCTACTGAACCCATGAAGTGTTGTGAATAGACTGGCTTTTATTCATAGGGAGGTCTTTGTTCGCAGATGTTCTTTGTCACAGGTTTGACAGTATATAAACAAAGTCACCCTGCTCATCAGTTTACATGCTGACGTATTTTTTTTAAAGATTTATTGTAAATCAATAATAGAGTTAGCTTCAGAATAAAAGTATTTCGATCACTCAGAATTCCCCGCTAAATACGACAGTGCCGAGAGCAAATAATGCATTAAAAACTAACGTCCTTTTCTATGCCATACTCTTTATCGGTTGATTGTTTTTTCATGGGCTAGATCAAGTACAGGGTCACTTCATCTTGTGTTGATTCCGTAAATGTCAAAGTTATTTATATGAAACATAAATATTATACAAAATAAATTCCCCTACAATGATATTGCATACAATAAATTAACCATATTATCATCTGGCATTTGTGTTGAAGGGCTTAGATTATCTTAGTCCTCAAATCAAACCCGGGGTATTAACATGTTAAAACGAGAGAAATGTCATGTTATGAAAGACAACATTAGCTTTATCTTTCATTTCGAGTGTTTCAATAAACAGCTGTCGTCAATATTAAAATTTTCATAACATCGGTATGCCATCTTCAAAGGGCTTTATTATATTGCTTATGATTGGTTTAGAGGTAATGCATGCAAATTATGCGTGTCTGTATAATGCTACTTTTACATCTAAGTCAATCAAGAGGTTGCCGGCTCGAATCATGCTTTCAAAATACTGTCTGTCTGCCTCTTTCGGCATTATCAGTTTTTATCAAAGGTTTCCTTTTAGACGATTTTCATTTTAATATAAATATAAAATATTGCATTGTTATCATTTATACACAAACACTTCCGGATATCGCAGTTGTATAACTCACTGTTTGGTAAACGGACTTAAGATGTTCGAGTTAAATTTTAGAGCGGCACATGTTTTTCCCCGTGATGATGATGTGTTAAAGGCTGTATTTCTAACACACTCCTCTCAGTACAGTGAAAGATGAAATGTGTTTCGTCCGGTTAGCTCAATAGCTGTGAAACGCGTGATCCGGGTTCGATTCCCGGATGGCGCAAGTCACTTTCGTTGTGATTGATCCTGATTTTTTTTCTACGGTCATTCGCACTGTACCTCTGCAGAAGTTTAAGTTCCTTGTGAAAGTGAAAGCAACTAGTACTTGTTAACTGCTTGACAGCCTACCCAGTAACGATGCGGTGGCTGAACTGTGCTATGGAAAATTCAATGTGGCTTAGTGGCGTGATTTGGAGTGAAAACTACCAACACCACCACCACCACCATATGTGTGTCATTAGTTGTGCGAGAAACTTTTGCTGCTGTATAAAAAATGAAGCTGATAAAGTTCTGGTAAATAGGAGTCACCATGGTCGAGATTTCAAGGTCACTGATTAACATTTACGTGCCCCTTAACGCCAGGGACTTTGATTTTCTTTTTTCATACAGCTGGTTTGAAGTCTCCTCCCGACAAACTCGTTATATGGCCATTTCGGGGTCAGAATAAATCGTCCCATGGTATATCCATGAAAAACGCCAAGAAATGACTCTAAAACAAACCATACATAATTCTGCACGGGCTACCAACATGTATGTATATTATTTTTTAGAAGGCCACTTTAAAATTAAGATATGTTATTTGTTTTCTACGAGGGTATATCTTCATGTATTACCTTCTTTAAATAACGATATTATTATTATTGTGATTATTATTATTATTATAATTATTATTATTATTATTATTATTGTGAATATACATGATGTTATTAAGGAAATCATACTCATTAATTTGAGAAAAGAGATAATTAAGTCACGTGCGAATTATATAGTTGTACAATATCTTTTATGATAAATTGTATGAGTTCCTGAATGCTTTATTCCTATTGAAAAAATATAAGCATGGTATGTCATATGAAAATCAATTAAGTCTGAAAGCATCGCGTGATATATATACACTTGAAGAGCGCCATCTCGTAAACATGACGTTTTTATCGTTCCATATAATGACTTTTGATTGGTCCATGGGGAATTTTGAAAATTACACTATCCTGTTATTAAATTATATAGATTTGATGAGTTCTTTGAACGGAACACTTGACACTGGTTTATAACAATACAGGTCTGTGGTAAATAATATAAAAAAGATGACATACACCGAATAGCGTGGTCGATTTTTTTGTGAATGGAACTCGGCGACTTTGGAAACGTTACGACGGAATATATGAGTAAGTCATATTATAACGTTTATTTTTAATTTGTTTTGCCAAAATTTTGACTGTTTTTTGGAACATGATAATATATATCGATACAATAATATTTCTTACATTCATTATTTTCTTATTTAAGCGTGCTTTCGTTATGTCAGTTTTGTATGTCCGTCCGTCTGTCCGTGAAAAGTTATCCAGTATATGTGCTGAATTTTTACTTTATAAATGCAATAAATAAGTAATATAACATGTTTAAGTATATCTAAGAAGAAGATAAATATCACATTTTATTCTAAGACTTTTATTCTAAGAGGTTATTAATTAAAAATATTAAATTTAAATAAAAGGATTAATGGAAGTGTTCAACAAGTTGTAAACTTATCATCTTTATTATTTGACGACATTTTTTATTAATTAAGTAAATTTTGTAAAGTTAATATTGTACTCAAGAACTCGTCTTTTTTTTTCGGAAAAGAAAGCTTAAGAGAAACATGTACATTTCATTTTACCCCTAATTGATTATAATGCATGTTAGATCTACCTATCTTTAGAGCTCATCCCGTTAAGAATAGATATATTTAATTAAATTTTCTTTATGACTGTATTAACAGGTCACATTACCGTGGCCGGACGGACAGACAGACAGACTGACATCCAAATATCAACTTTATAACAAATTTACACCGTGTATTATGGATACAAATTTGCTTTTTCTCAGTCTACCAGGTCACACAATGGAATTTCATTTACACCAATTGACCGCATATAATATCAAAGCCTTAAACAGATCAATCTACTTAAAGATTAGGCACACTTGGGGCTATTATACATGCATTATGCATAAGTTAAAACTGTTATTGAATTTTACAAAAAGATTATCATTTGTTATGACAAGCGTTTAGTTTATAACGCTTGTCTTTGGTTTTCGATGATTTTGTTCTTCTTAAAAATCATATACAATGTACAAATCTTAATAAAGTATCTGTTCTGTTCTGTTCTGTTCATATTCACAAAATGCTATGCCTACATGTTATAATAAAAGACAGATTCGTGGTTACGATAAAAGGCAGATTTGTGGGTAGATACTTCCTAAATTATAACTCGTTGATTATGTACAAGTACACAGTCTCTTGGTCCCGGAGCACCTTTCTTGTATAAATACCATATAAAAATAAAGGAACTCCACTGAGTTTCAAAAGACTAAAAACATAAAATTTGAATTTCTTAAAGTGATAAGCCGGTGTACTTAAAAGAGAAAGGTATTTAAAGATAATTAAATATCCTGTATTTTGTAATTTAGGTTGTATACCACATTTAAGTGAAATTATATATATGTGTGTGTGTATAGTATATAATTATGCTTTTAAAACAATTTTCAAACATCGAAGAATATGTTAAATATGTACTGCAAATATTTTATATGTAATCATTTAAATATATGGTTTCATTTCTTATTGAAAAATTTGACTTAGACTTTAAAGAAAATAATTTTAATTACCTCCCTTTATTTACATGAAATGATACATTCGGCAATATCTTTATAAATAATGCTTTTTGGAACTTACAAAATTGATAAATCTTAATTGGAGCATCATATTTATAATATAAAACTATAAAAAATTGTGTTACAGGATCTTTAAGCTACTTAAAAATGTTTTTTGTGCTATCTTTAGCCCGGTTTAAGTAAAAAGCGTTGAACGCTTTTCAATTATGGATCATTTTTCCCAATGAGAATGATTATTCTGAAGGGATGTAGTGAGCCAATGATCTGGAACTTTGCATACAAGCTACTGGTCCACACTTGCACCAAATGGAACATTAGTCTCAAGAAATTATTTCCAGTCCCGTGACGTCAAAATACCTCATTGGAGTCCCCATAATATAAATATAATAGATCGCTTTGAACGGAATGGCTCTCTATCCCATACACCCTCAGTTAGTGTGCAGACATATAAACCGCGATCCTATGTCACTATTAATATTTGATTAATATTTTTTTCTGTCTGTCACAAAGAAATAGATTTTAACTAAATGACAATTCCAGTGTTCAAATAAAAAAGAATTAATATGGCGTCCCAAAAGTGCTGCGTAATTTTCTATTTTCGTGAAAATTACAAGAAAAGCTACTAAACAATCGTTCATGTCAGCAAAAAAGCTTTTATTTGCTTATATAATCTTAATAGTTTTGTCTATAACTGTATGTACAATACATCGGACCTTTGTTTGAATGTCTGTCTACTTGATTAAACATTTTGTATATATTAAACTTTAATGGTTTTACATTTTTGTATGAAGATATATGACGTTTTTTACAAATTGGCCACTCCAAATCAATTATTTTGTTTTTTATATAATTCAATACACAGTACTTGTAAAAAGCAAATTTACATTTTCAAGTTTATTTGGTAAAAATCGTAAGTTGCTTGTTATTTCAACAATTTAAAAAAACTATTAAATACGAAATTTGAGATTTTCGGTTTTGGTTATAGCAGTGCACGAATTTTAATTTTGCACCTTGATAAAAAAAAATATTTTTCAATTTCAATTCAATTTTTTCATGGCTGGTTGGAGTTTAAGGTCTTACATATATAAGGATGACATGGAACACTTTGTCAAATTAATTTATTGTTTTTCTTAACTTATTTCTACCTAATGTAAGATGCGAAAAAAAAAGAAAAAAAAAGAAAGAACTCCCCTACAAAATTATTCTGATAGTAATTTTATACTTAATCCATCTTTTATGTGAAAAAATGACCGTATAAATACAAAATGAAATCTCATTTCTTTTAACATATATTTTTATTAAATACCAAAGTTTCCAATTAAAGCTTTTATTACAGGTTAAACTGCCAGGAATAATATGACAAAACCATTGAATTTTACAATCACAAAGTTTGATAGAAAATCACTATTTAGGAAGCTAAAAATAATCATTTAATCCCAAAATCAGCTTTATTAACAGTTATTTTAAAGTTTGGAGATTTCTTAATAATGAATAATAGATATTTTTAACAGTTTTAAGAGAACTTGGGCCCGCGCGTTATTGACACCAACATGTTGCTATGACAATCAAGGGGCTTCTATAACCTGATTGCACGTGAGAGCGGCATGTCGGTTTAACTTTTAAGATCTGTTAACCCAGAGGGATAGTTTTAAGACTTAAGATTGAAGTTTAGGTCACTAATACGTCTTAAGAGGTTAGTAGACTTACACGTAGAGATTCTACAAGTGGAATTTAATGAAATCTAAATTGAATGTTTAAAACGTTTCATATAATATTTGGCATTGTTTACTTATTTAGAAATATGCGTGTTGTTGGGACGGCGAGATAGATTTGAAGTCACTTGTGTGTTTGGACCCTCGTCTATTAGTAATGTAAGAGGTGCTACTTGTGTAAATACGTAAAAGGCGGTTTTATCATTTATTTAATAATGTGACAAGATTGTAAGAAGAAAATTCCCCTCGAAATGTCATACGTCATTTAAGTATAATACAAGTTCAGCGGATTCATTGAATAAAAGGAAATAACTGGACGTACTCTAGAAAAGGTAGTTAAAATTTCATAATGACTTTAACGCACTTTTAAAATATAGTGACTATTTCATTATGATTCAAACGTTCTTTATATTTTATCAAAGGCAGCTAATATTAAATTTCATCATGATTTTGACGTAGGTTTTATTTTAATGTAATTTTTATATATCTTTATTATCCACTTTTAAATGTATGAAAATATTTTTTATTTATCTGTTTAAAGAATACATCTTTCAACATTAGGGTTATATTTTATTTTCGATTTTAATTTTATGACTTCCCCCATCCCATTGACAATGTCTTAAGTCATAAATTTGAAATATAAGTTAAGGTCTCATATCATTTTTCCCATGATATCTGTACAGTTTTTTTAGGCCCAATAAGATTTTTCAACTCCGATTTGATGAAATTGTAACCATCACCGCGACTTTCCATTCTGTCAACCATGACACGCGGAATATCTAGTTAAAAAGCTAATTCTATCCAAGTTAAATATTATGTAACAACAACAAAAAAATCTAAAATTGAGAAAATAACAACAACACGATTTTCACGACATCTTCTATAATAATGACAAATTATATTTTGGGTTAATTTTATACAAATGTATTCATCAAAAATACAAAATATAAATAAAGAAAGGCGGCAAACATAACGGCATGACCAGAAGTAAGAAAAAAATCCTGAACACAAATGTAATGATATAAATATGCCTACTTTAAGTGATTTACTTTTAAATTTAGTTAAATGCTGATTATTCAGGAGTATATTTCCTGCATTTTGTAGTCGGGTTACACTGAATTACTTTGTCCTTCACAACTGTTTGCTCGACTGTCGGCAAGGGAGGATGAATTATTTAATGTAACTAGCGTGTTGTTGGTCGGGAATCTAGTCCAGTTCTACCAGAAAAAGAGTACGGATGGGACCCCAGAGTATTCTTTCCCCTGTTACAACCGGAAATTCCCGAGACTTCCACGCAGTGCATTAAGGTTATCTTTTGAACACAACAAAATAATCACCAGCCATCCCCTTAACATGAGAAATCCATTAGTACAGGGCCGTTATTACAGCCATTATGCTCTTATTATAGACAGATCTTGTAATTATGTTATCACTCGAGCTAAACACCCCGCCCCACCTTCCACTCCTTTCAACCCGCAAAAAAATGAATAAATAAATAAATTGCTTCTGATCATATTCAATGTACTTATGTTTACTTCTTTAATTAGAATTTTTGTAACAACATTAATCGTGAACGTCTCACGCTAATAAACGATACTCATGAATAATTCATGTACATATAGAATAAAACTTCAAAAATGTGGTCTACCTGTGAGTCAATGACGTTGTTCAGTCAAAATGCTGACGACCTTTAGGGGGATTTTCAAGATTCTGTTCGCCGTAATCATGCGGATATTTTGTTTATAAATGTATATAAAATAGTCAAATTAGGAAGGAATAAAGGTCATAATTATGAAATTAGGAACTTTTATTTTTTATAAGTTTTCGAACCCTGTCATATAAGTTCGAGAGAAAAAAAAGAATTTTTGGTCACCCTGACGAACTGTTACTTTTAGTTACATTTTATTAACCTTTGTCGGCAACTGCAATCTATACATACGACCAGTGAAGACCAAGTTCGGCACCCCCGTACGGTCTGACCACTGTCGACACTGTGTGCTATACAGTCAGTACATAATTTGAAATTTCCCCTAAGTGATGAATGGTCATGTAAAGATTGAAAGATGGACAAGTCCGTTTAAGATACATTGTGTTTAGAGTGGCAAGTGTTAAAGTAATAGATAAATCGACATTAACTTTCGTACTGAATAAAAGAAACGATCGATCCGTCAAGTTTTCCACAAAAGGGATGAAGTGCGGTCTTTGGCCGTATGGAAAACCGTCTATAGACCAAGATGTGTGTGTTGTTTGTTTTTTCAGACATTCCCGATCTTGTAACATTAAACAAAATGTTATCACTCGAGCAAAACTTCCCGCCCCACCTTCCACCCCTTTCAACCCGCAAAAAAATGAATAAATAAATAAATTGCTTCTGATCACGTTCAATGTACTTATGATTACTTTATTTAGAATTTTTGTAACAACATTAATCGTGAACATCTCACGCTAATAAACGATACTAATGAATAATTCATGTACATATGAGCCGCGTCATGACAAAACCAACATTATGGGTTTGCGACCAGCATGGATACAGACCAGCCTGCGCATCCGCGCAGTCTGATCAGGATCCATGCTGTTCGCTTTCAGTTTTTCTACTTGTAATAGAGTTGGTAAGCGAACAGCATGGATCCTGATCAGACTGCGCGGATGCGCAGGCTGGTCTGGATCCATGCTGGTCGCAAACGCACTATGTTGGTTTTGTCATGACACGGCTCATATAGAATAAAAATTCAAAAATGTGGTCTACCTGTGAGTCAATGACGTTGTTCAGTCAAAATGCTGACGACCTTTAGGGGGATTTTCAAGATTCTGTTAGCCGTAATCATGCGGATATTTTGTTTATAAATGTATATAAAATAGTCAAATTAGGAAGGAATAAAGGTCATAATTATGAAATTAGGAACTTTTATTTTTTATAAGTTTTCGAACCCTGTGGTCATATAAGTTCGAGAGAAAAAAATAATTTTTTGGTCACCCTGACGTTTTGGTTATAAAACTGTTACTTTTAGTTACATTTTATTAACCTTTGTCGGCAACTGCAATCTATACATACGACCAGTGAAGACCAAGTTCGGCACTCCCGTACGGTCTGACCACTGTCGACACTGTGTGCTATACAGTCAGTACATAATTTGAAATTTCCCCTAAGTGATGAATGGTCATGTAAAGATTGAAAGATGGACAAGTCCGTTTAAGATACATTGTGTTTAGAGTGGCAAGTGTTAAAGTAATAGATAAATCGACATTAACTTTCGTACTGAATAAAGAACCGATTGATCCGTCAAGTTTTCCACAAATGGGATGAAGTGCGGTCTTTTGCCGTATGGAAGTATGCTTTAAACAACCGTCTTTAGGCTAAGTTGTATATCTCTATAATTTAAATAATGCTGCCATTATGACGAAAGCATTTTTGTCACATCATATTTATTTGGTAAACCTAATTACATTTCGCATTCAATTTGCATGTTGAATGAGACAATTCATTCCGATAGAATTACAAAAGACTAATCAATACCGCAAGCAAGTGGAGCTTTTAAACACTTACTGGGTAATTTGAATCAAATTTCGCTCTTTATACGGTGAAGTAGGCAAAAATTACCCTCAATAGTTATTCTATTAAAACAAACACCGAAGTGCTCTTTAAGAACTTTTTAAAATTTAGTTAACCCAATTTTTAGTTAGCAGCGATTATAAAGGACTTGAAAAGTTATTAAAACCCTGACCTTAAATCGGGAGAGAGATTTGAACCGTTAATGACCGTTGAAGATAAACAATATAACATTTATAAGTCGCTTAATAAATCCGTCAAACCGCTCTCCAACACTTAAAAACGGTAAGCTATAAAAACTTACCGACATTGTATTTTTAGCGCGTTTCACTTCAACTTGGGATTAAAACTGAAATAAAATATTGACATGACTTTTAACGATCTCTTGCGAAGCGAAATTTTATATGTATTAACAAACAAAGTATAAATATAAGATGACAAGTGGTTTGAACCTCGGATAATTTGTCAGGTATAAGGTATTGTATGCAGGTGAATCTTTAAATGTTCATTTATTTGTACAGAATGAGTCAATTTGTAGACTAAAGAATTTGACACTCTAGAAAATAAACAGAAGCGCTATAAAACGCCGATTCACTCATTAACAGAACTTTTATAATATTATGTCAAGATTTTACAGATTTTAATGGAAGACCATTGTGTAAATAAATCTCTTAGACTATGATATTATGAGCACAATTAGCGAAAATATTTTATTCTTATAGATATTGATAATATGTAATCACGTTTGTGTTCCGATTTAATTATTTTATTTTTAAATTCACGTTGTCATCACTGTGATTAAAACGTAAGCCACCAGAGTATTTATCATCATCATCATCATCATCATCATGATCATCATCATTATCATCATCATCATCACCACCATCATCATCAGCATCATCATCATCATCACCACCACCACCACCATCATCATCAGCATCATCATCATCATCAGCATCATCATCATCATTATCATCAACGTCATCATCATCATCATCACCATCAACAAAAACAACAACACCATCTTTTAAAGTGTTTTTTTTTTCTCTGACGTTGTCGTCATCATGATAACCGCCATTTTTTTCGTCATTATCGATCATCATCATCGTCATTATTATCGTCGTGGCCTTTCCTTTTTTTTACAACATCATCATCATTATCATCATCACCATCATAATCATTATCATCATCACCATTATCATGTGTTAATGGAATTGGGGAAAAACGTTACGAGAATGATCATGATGATGATGAAAATAAATGTTTATTAGCTATTAAACAGACAAATGTTCTTTTCTTATGTTTCCTTGATAACGCTCTTTATTAATCATTCCTCCTTTGCCGCAAAAGAAAAATTAATACGGCGATTTTATTATCAACAAACAGAATCAAAACAATTTTACACTTGTTTATCAGGACTTAGTTTAGCTTTCTTTCTTTACTGTATATAGCGACAATGTCGTCATTCTAACAAATTATTCAAAATTAAAATCATAATTCACCCTGCTTAAACTGTTTTTCTGATTTCATCATTCCCTTTCAATTCAGATTCTTTAATGTTAAACGAACGCATTGTCAGCGTTAATCCGTTAGTCTCCCTCGATCTTTCAATTTATTTTCCAATAGATAAAACGTTCGACAGCTAGTGTTCTTTTCATGTGCTCTTATCAGGGAAATAAATGCAATAAAAGATTGAATTAATTTTCAAAACCATTCCTGTATCAGGGTTAAAGTATCGCAAAATTTCGACACGGTAGTTCTATATTTGGTAAGTAATAAAACAATTTGCTGTTACATATGAATTTGACGTTCGTGATCGGAATAATCAAAGAACAATGAATATTTGAATACCTTGAACTTTTTAACTTTTCGATGCTTTTAGAAAAACGGATTGTTACATACCGGTGGAGAAGGTATCGCTAATGCATACCTTTGTATAAATATTGATACATTGTATAGTTTTATTTATTTTGATAAAATGATTGGACGTGGTAAATATTTATGACCAATAAATCTAGTGTTTTCCATTATTTATGTAAAACTGGGTGTTTCGTGCGCACTTTCGTTAAGTAAAAATCTAATTTGTAATTTTCTGCGTTTATCCAAGCATTAATAAAACGGGATAACGTGCCATAGATTAATATTTACATTATTCGTTTTGATGTCTAGAAGGTGTGTAGGAAAATTGTCTTTTAATTTTAAGGGTTAAGCAATGAAACATTTTTTTTCTTGATGCGATGAACGAAATGGATATTATATTTCGTATGGTCTACACTAGCAAACATTTATGTCAAAAGCAAAAATGATATAAAATGTATTATGGTATTTTATGATTGTCATCATACGTAGTTTTTGTTTTTTGTTAGGGAATAAATCTGCAAATCTTCAAATCACCTCTGCAAAAATGATGGTGTTTACAAATTTGAACCCCGTTACGTGACTTTAAATGTAATTTGTTTTTTTTTTGTATATTCCAGGTACCTAGAAGTAAGTTGTAAACGACTTTAAACGGAAAGAAAATATTGCAGGTGTAGGATTTGCAAACAGTGTGATTTAGATGAATAACATAACTGCATACGTCAGCGAAGTTTAACAAAATGAGTAACCGGAAGTCGAACAAATCCAAAGATGCGTATGGGTCAAACGTGAAGCGTTCCGAATATGATGATGGAATTCTACGGAACAATCAAAGAACCGGAAATAGACATCGAGTTGACATGACTTACTATGACAGGGCACAAAAAGTGATAATGAAAGATTTAGGAAAAGAAAGTTTGTTGTTACAAAATAAAATAGACAATAATAACCGTACGTTGGCAATGGGACTGTACGGTTCTAAATTGGGCGTGACTTCCGCTAAAAACCGGAAGTACACACCAACGTCACCGATGGGAACAGTGACATCTAGCGGTGGTAGTTTTAAACCTACTTACCTAAGAGCCTCAAGTAAGACAGACACTAGATTTCCATGGGATAAGGCTGATCTATCCGATCCTGAAAATATTGTAGAAAAGGACAGTTCACCGACACGGGCGCCGTCTAAAAGTAGCATGCGCTTTAAAACGCCATCTTCATCCGCGTATCCCGCCTCGAGAATTCAAACAGATGACTTTTTACAAAGCATTTTAAACGAAGCAATGAATGACGAACTACTTTACACTCAGCGAACCGAACAACAAAACACACCAGCTCCAGAATCATCTAGACCACAACATTCTTCAAGACGCAAATCAAAAACGCCAAGAAATAGATCCCTGATTACACCAAATGAGTCCATTGTTAATTCCCTGGTTAACGCACAGGAAGCAGATGAGGTTATTTACTAAATTGTAAGTTGTAAAGAAGCAAAGAAAAACAATAACAATGCTCTTGGTAAACTTTGTGATTTCCAAAATAGGTACTTTTTTTATTCAAAACGTTAGCAACAAATATAAATGAACAACACAGACGATAGTTAACAACAGTTTCAATGTGCAATCTGTGTTAAAGCGTGTATTCATTTATTTATATCAATAACTGATTGCCAGGAAGAACTTATCACAACCAGATATCTTAACAGAATTAAATACAGAAAGAATGCCAAAAATAATCGGTGATTTTTTTCATTACTTCCGGCAGATAATTTATTTAGGGACATTAGAGCTATGGATCTGAATAGAAATAATTATAATTGTATTCAAATTCATGACTCCGTGTATGAAATTACAATGTATGTGAGATCTCGGAAATTTAAATGTAAAAAAAAATCATGAAACTTCATCTCTTGTTTGAGAAATAATTAAATAGACTGAAGGAAATGTTAAACATTCTGGTTGGTACGAACAGTATAGTGAAGCATCTGTAGTTTTAATAAAGGATTGCAAGCGCGATAAGGGAGTGGATGGGGTCATAAAATAACGATAGGGAATAATGCATATTACGAACAAAGGGTTTGAAATTTTACTATAGACTGCAGGATGGATCTTGCGTCAACTTTTTGCGTATTTTTTTTCACTAAACAAACGTATAACAAGACGTTTCTCGTTATTTTTGAATCTGTGACTGATTCCTTGAAGATTGTAAATGGTTCAAGCAATATATGTGACTGGTTACCTGCAATTCGTGATTGGTTCCGAACAATAAATGACTGGTACCCAGCAAAATGTGGTGTGGAGTCGTAAATTATCATTGTTATGTTTTGTTATTGGCAATATTTTCATCGTTAAGAAATGCTAGTATGTATATCAGTTTTATTGATGTTTTTTGTTTATATATGTGTTCATAATAAAATATATGCAGACGTTTTATTTTAATCGGTTATATATTCATATAACTAAGGACGAACACTTATATATAATACAAATGTTAACTAATAACCCTGTCAATACACATCCAAACAACACTCCTCAAGCATTCAAAACAAGATTCACCTTCACTTCCACCTCTTAAAGCTGCACGCCTCTAGATGAGCCAAAATATTTCAAGAAAAAATATTGAGAAAAATGTACTCACATTTAAAGAAAGGTAAAAACATTCAAGATCCAAGTTAAATTTTACATGTTATGTGCGGTTTACGGCTGATTTTGCGGTATTTTATCACCATATTTCTACTGCGTTACTAACGCAGTAAGGATTGTTTTTGCATATGTCGACCACTTTCTGGTTATTATTTACTTGGATTGTAAGTGCCGACTGCTATATGTTAATTACTTTATTTGTTCAACTCACATTATTTTACTTTTAAATGCATTCCTTAAATTTTCATAAAAATTGACATGAATCTGTGGGCGCGCTGCTTTAAGTCTCAAAACAAACTTCACTACGACACAATATCGAAAGCAAATGTACTAAATCAAAAACTCCAATCTAAGTTTAGTTGTAAGTACTGTAAATTGAAACCCCAGGACATGTATGATGCAAATCACCTGTCACCACCTGAAGTCAACAATGAGCAACGCCCAAGAATGGCCCACATCTTTTTAAGTGCAAATGGCAAGGAAAAGCATTTGGTCACCCTAAAACTCTCAATGCGAATAGCCCTAATAAGATAAAGCCATTTATCCTTAAAACACTGGCATCTGAACTCTTGTCTATCCTTGAGTTTCTCTTTAAGAAAGCCATAGATGAGGGCTAAATACCTCATCGATGACAACCTTCAGAATACTTCAATACCCTAAAAAGTGAGGAGTTGGATTGGGACATGGGACATAAAAATTATGTCAAGTAATCTACGACACAATGAGGAAACATTCTATACCAACTAATTATTCTCTGTTCATGGAACTACCTCAGGTCAAATATCTTCAGGCTTGGCGTGGTTATATCACAGGAACTTGATATTCTATCAATATTAACGATAATATCCAAAATATAGCCTCTATATAGTTTATTTATAATATATATGGGGTATTTTTTATATTATCATGAATATTGGTTATTTTGAATTTCAAGTTCCTGTGGATCTATCAAATGATCTATTATGGGGCGAGCTCTTAAATATGTCAAGCAAAAAGGCAACTCAAGATAAACTCAAAACATGTTAAGGCCATGGCTTTTAATAACCTTGTTTGACTATGTGTACAACTAGAATGTACATCTGAAGTTTGGTCCTGTGATAGTCCAACTTAAATTGATCACAAAGAATCTGGCCATATCAGATATGCGCGTTGGATATGATGTACAAAATCGCTTATGACATAGTCGCCACCCTCACCCCATTAGGGAAAGCCAAATACAAAATACAATAGGTTAGTCTAGGCAGCCGGGACAGAGCTAGTACTACAAATTCTAATTTTTCCAGAACTGTAGCTCCGTGTACATCCAGTAACGCAGGAATGTGCAAATAACGCTGGTGGAATTGTGCAAAGGTAACGCAGAATTGTGCAATTTAGTGGCTGAAATGAGCACCGCGATAAGAAAATGGACCAATATTTTTATTGTACACCAAACTGGAAGAAATGAGTTAGCACATACGGTTGCTGAGACATTATGCTTTAAACCTCATCAAAATTATTTCCTTGAAAATGTTACTATTTTTCAAGATAATTCGTGAAAATGACGACCTGACTAGCGTATTGATGGCGATTTTAGTCTTGTTGATATCTTTAAATACAATAACGTACATATTACTTTATAATCTTTTAAATTCGGTGTACCTGATACATTTTCCAATCTACTCGTGTCATATAATACGTAATTTAGCATATAAAACGTAATTGAAACCACTTTTACGAGGTAATGCCGAATTCGTGAATGAAGCACTGAAGCAACGTGAATGAAGCACTGAAGCAACGGAGGTTATCTCATTAAAAGTCGCTCAGCTTTTTGAATTGTTATACGACACTTGAAGTTTGACAAATGTCTTAGGTATACAGAATATGAAAAAAAAGTTTTAAATGTACATATTTATTTGACGAAACACAAAAGTCACATTCAAAACAGTAATCAGGTTGTTTTTCTCACGAATGATCTAAAAAAAAGTAAACATATTACTAACAAAAATTGTAATGCTGGTTAAAATATAATGTCGTAGCAGCCGTATGTGCCAATTCATTTCTTTAAATTTGATTTAGAATAAAATATTTTGGTTCGTTTACTTACTGTGTTATTCGTTGGCGATAGCGTTGCACAGATTCGGCGTTACTTTTACGTTAATTGCACATTCCAGCGTTACTGGATATGCACGGTGGTTACCCACTTGCAAGAATGGTCTACCCCCTTATAGTGTAATATTGTTTCATTGCACACACTTAATCAGTTCAATATGGCATAGCATTTGTCGTCATTGCTTTAACCTTTAATGAACTGTATGCATTTCCTACTGTTAAGTATGTAATATTTTGTATAAGTCTTTTTAATCACAGGAACTTGACATTTAATCAATAGATCACAAAATATGCGTGTATTAGTGATATAGCCCTTATCTCTATATAAAAAACACTATAGAGATAAGGGCTATATCACTAATACACGCATATTTTGTGATCTATTGATTAAATGTCAAGTTCCTGTGTTTTAATCAACATCTTAACTCTCTAAATGGCTTCACGCGCGGACTGTCTACGTCATCGTGAGGGCTTTGACAAAAAAGGACAGATACCTGAATTCATAAGGATAGTTCAAATTGTCGTACATTGATTGACACACAAGGTCAACGTATTTCATTTGCAACATTTTATCTATTCTATATTTGTTAGGAACCAGTGTATCAACATATTTTATTACACATTTATTTACAAGACTTAAGTGATCTAATTAAGCGACTTATCAATTTTGAAGGCGGAGTTGTATTCTAGAAGCTAGTGTCATGAGACTTTGTTCCCTAATAATTTTGAGGCGACCATGTGTTAAGGATATTGAAGCATTATTTTCCTATATTGAGATAAATACAATTATATTTCAAGAATAAGCTCCTACTATTACAAAAAACACGAGTCACTAGCTAGCACACACTTAATTTGGTTTACTAAATTTATTACGGTTTCGGAAATATCCCAAGCACATTGATCGTTTAAAAATGTCAGGGATTCTTGACAATGCCAAATATATGTTGGAAAGACAATTTTGCCACATTTAACAGAAACAACGCTGATTGTGTAGGAAAATAGCTTTATTTGGTGTATATTTAAATGTTTATTGTGCATGCATGGAAACAAAAACAAAAATAATCTACTGACTAAAAACTAATACGCAAATGGTGTAAGGTATAATAATTGATGATATATACTACATGTATAAAAGTTTTAAAATCTATACGCTTTAGTATTGTAGACCCTTCTGGTCATTTCTAACATGTTTTAACACCGAATGTTTGTGTTACTTTGCGCTCTTGAATATTTTAATACAAATGTAAATAAAAAGTACCCCAACAGAATATACTTTACCAACATCATGCTTTCATATTTTATAATTATGCATTTTAATAGGATTGTACTAGGATACAAACAATTTCTCTGTCAATTTCAGAAAATCTTAATATCTTTATACACATTAAACAAACATACATACGATCTCAACGCTATTGGTTATTATTAAAAATTAAAGATTCTTAGACACACTCTCAAATCTACTAGTATATTATTTACAAGGAGATGCATTTCATTTCCGTGCAAGAGACAATATAACGTGGACATTTGCAATATAATAAGTACACGACTTAAGACTAACCAGTTATAAAGTCACAATATGACATTAACTTACTCAGCGAGTTAAAACATATATAAAATGTCGTTGATGCAAAGTTATGTACAGGGGAAGTTACCCCAATGAGTATTTTATAAGAGTCAAATAAAGTTGTCTCCCATATGTTTGAGATGCCAATATTGATTTTCATTTCAGTGATATGCCACTCGATGTATATTTACACCTATTCATTACAAATCTATAACGTTCATTTGACAATCCGACGCCACCGTTAGGCCAAAACCTTGCTCTGCATATTGTTTTTTTTTTCTTTTTTTTTCATCCGCAATTTTTGCTTCCAATTCAATGAGTATAAAGATTCTATTCATCGCAGTGTAATTCAACTAGTTTCGTTTCAACGATTTATGAGTCACTTTGCAATAACGTGGGATATAAGTTCCTCTAAAGTCCTTTTCCACTTCGTTCGATTCATCGACATCTCGATCCGGGCATTTGTACCCGCTTGGGCATGCGCACATGAAATTGTAGCCCAGAATTAGCTCTTCGCCTGCCTCCCTATCAACGTAGATCTTTGCACATGGTGACATCTCTGCAGTACACTCGGGCTGTAAGGAGTACAAAATATATTTGTTTGAACTAAGAATTGAATCGGAATAAAACGCATTTTGTCATTTACATTGTTGTATGATTGTTAAGAATTATGCTAAATATGTGTATTTCTAACTATTTCTCAAAACAAAATTCTATGACAAGCGTCATATATTCCCAGTCACCATGACACCGTGTCACCACTAAACGGTGGCTCTTCTTCATTCTGGTGATATGTTTTAATGAGTGCTCTCGACAGTTCCGTTATAGTGTCTACACGCTAGAAAAAAGAAAGTAAAAGTGAACACCCGGCCGATATTTGGTACAATGTCCAGCAACGTAGTTTGGGACATTCGTTATGGAAATGACAGAAAAGCAGAAATTTCAGTTCCAATGTAGTAAGCACACGGATCCATTTTGCAAACTTTTCTATTGGATTTATTTATCTGTCCGGCAAATATCGGACGTAGGATAGATTTAACGGAAGTCAATGAGAAAACAAACATCATGCGGCCGAAAATTGCTTATTTAATAGATGGCACACATCGTCTGTAAGTGTTGCAAATGTCAATTAAAGTAATGCATATGGTACCTTTTTCATTATCCTTCTGATAATCAACATAACCTAATTGTCAATTAAGACTGTAAATAAATAAATTCTCTAAACCATCAACTCACCTTTTCACAGAAGTATTCGTATATCCACTGGCCCGTTCTGTTACTGTGATGTTTCTGTGCCGGGTGGCGCCACCATCCTAGAAGTTGATACAGGTTGTCTGGGCATGCGCAGCGAGCCTCTCTAATGTGAGGACTCCACTCACCAGCAGTTGTTCCCATAGTAATAGCAAGGTCACCGGGTTCACATTCTCGTTTTGGAAGAATAGGTGTACAAAACTTATATTGAATGGTTTTATCCGCTGAAGATGAAATACAAAAATAATAGAATTTTACATGGTTGGATATGATTAAAGTGATGCACTATTGCTTTTTGGTCTTGAAAAAATACCTCTTATAATACTGAAAGTTTTGTAATGTCAATAGATATCATTAAAAAACGGAAGCTGCTATTTTAACAATTATATTTTGCTTGAATTATAGAGAAATATTTACTATAAATTCGTTAAAACGACTATAGTATTTAGCCAATATCATTATGGATTTGTTACAATCGTTTATATAGGGTCATATAACCATATAACCTGTCAGCTGCAACCGTTAGTCATATAATCTGTCAAAAGGTCTATATATTAAGAAGGCCATACTGTTTAAATATTGAGCCAAGTGACATCACCTTTCTCCTTATTATACTTTAAAATTAAAACGGCGTCGTAGCCTTCATTTTGAAACCCGAGTGTCTTGTTTAATATAACTTTCATTTCATAAAATCGGTTTTCAAGTTACATAAAACAAATGAAATTGGAAAAAGAGGAGCGAGTTCATACGTGTATGTAAATTATTGTAACCATGTATTATAATTAGATAGTTCCAGCAGAAAAGTATTGTATAAAAACACAACTTTTAGTTTTTCTAAGATGTCATTTTTTTTTACAAAATGGAGGATTTGTCACAGTTTTAATAGATGAGGAACTAATTAATTAAGTAACCGATTCTGACCGATTCAATGCCATAATTATACAGTATATCAATAAATAGAAGAATATGCCTATAAAGCAATTCATAATGGTGAAAGATATCATAATTCTGGTCGTTCACGGTTTTGATTTTATAATCTCTCTCTCTATATATATTAACCGATTCAGCCAGGTTACATTATAAGAGAATACAATGCTGTAATTCATTCACATTTCATATATATTATATATTGAACAGATTTAAGTGAATGGATCGACATCAAGCATGCATTCAAATAATTGTAACTGAACAGGGGAAACTGCTAGTCTTAGAAAGGAAAACAAGCGCCATTAAGCACTTAACCTCTTTCGTAATGTGGCCATGATAGGGACTGGTCACTGCCTGCTTGCCACTTGGAACTACATCCGGGGCACCGACAATACGGCCCTTCGTCGAACTCGCTTCCATCCGGGTATCTCATCAGTGACGTACAGACATGCGCATTGGAACGACACATTGGCTTTTCTTCGTCATCCATCGTCTGAAAAAAGGAATCAATATGCATTTACTATTGATATTTATGTATGTATATCCTCATGGACCATTTGGTCCAATGGAATATTGAAAATAAACTTATTAACTTATCTGTATTATTATGTAAAAATTCTTTTTTTAAATGTTATCGAATGCAAGTCTTGAACATTAATGGTCAAGCATTATTAATCTCTAGTTTAATATACTTCTTTTACTTGCTCTCAAAAAATCGAAATACGAATAAGGCAATATTCGCATGCTTCGTAATGGTTGCTAATTGTAATATAAAGATTTATCATTAACGGCATCCTCAATTTGTGTTTTTGGAAATATAATAGCAGGGTTTTAAATAGGAGAAACTGCAAACACTGATTCCTTAATCACCTTAAGAAAGGCGAGAACTTGAGATGCATGTATATTTTTACATAAACGTGTACATGATTTCGCATTCATGAAAAAAATTATGATACACGATTGGTAATGATCTGAAGACAATTGAGTGTTTCGAAGTCAAATATGTTCTTATAGAAAGATAACCATCGACAGGAAAGCAATACTGGAGCATCTATGATTTTGGTTGACGTATTAGTTGTATTGGTCATTAGTATTGACTTTAACACATTGATCTATACATAAAATAAAAGTATCTGAATAAATGATCCAGGAGAAACATGAAAATATTTAACCAACGGTGGTATTTCAGAAATCTTGCAATCATAACCCTTTACAAGAGTATGACTTAAACATCTGCATGATATTATGCCACACAAAACTATGTTCCATGCAAAAAGCAATAACCAAAAGACCAAACAGTAGCATCAAATTATATATTTTCGTTTGTAATCCGCCGCTGACGAATCTACTAGCGAAAATGCCAATCAATTTGCCCGTTAGCAAATATACATGTATTATAATGAAAAAATGATTTGTTTTACTTACAACAACATTTTCGGCAGCAATTTTCCAGATCATAACTCTTGCGAAGAACGCGAAAGTTAATATGCTTTGTTTCATATTGAACTTGAACCCTCGGTTATATTTATGCCCCTTTTAAATCCAAAAAAGCACTGAGATGTTGTTGGATCGATTGTAAAAACGAATATTCTAAAATGTGTTTAAAAGTAAACAATCAAATGGTGAAAATAATGATAAAAATTTTATGAGAGATCATTTTACAGAATCCTGCGCTAGTATATCACTCCACAACTAAAACAATATTCCATTAATTTAGTCGGAACTTCAGTAATTACACGCACTTCAGAGGGAAATAAATCGATACAAGAGCATTTTCTGGAGAAATCGTCCATTTATAGAAGTTTTGCAGACGACACTCGCCTAGAGCGGGAACAAGGGAACGCGCGTGAATCAATACTATGAAATACTATAAATATACAAAATGTAATTATATCTTTTTAAGGATAAAATACTAATACGGTCGAAGCTGGTGGTCTTTGTCCGATTTCTAAACATTTGTATATCGTTGTAATATATGTCTGATTTAAAAGGAAATAAAAATTATATATTTCGAGTTAGTATCTAATCTTTTTCTTGCTTTGTCGGTTTGAACCGCCAAAATCCAATTTCTTCAAAGCAACATGAAATTTGGCCTATGTGTCCTCTTCAATTTCAATTGCAGACATAAGTAGAACTCGTACCTTGCAAATGCTTCAAGCCCTCGTACTTTTATAATATTCATGATTTCTTGTAATCTTTGTATGTATTCATTTCTTTGTCTAAGATAAAAAGTTAAAGTCATTTTTTCAAACTGTAAAAAAGAAGAAATCTTTATTAAAATGTGCATCGATTTGTTCAGTTGTATACATGTATGTATGTCATTCGGAATTCATCGCTAAAACGAAGCAAGTCGAGATGGAACTGTCTATATTTATATTGAAGCAAATTTAAGTCATCATGAATAAAATTCAAACTTTGATATCACGATTTTCATTTTTTTACACAGCAAAGATATTATTCTAGTTTCGAATACATGGACCTAAGATTCTTAAGCCTTTCTAGGCCTATGGCTATTTTTTTCAACTGGCGCTAAAACCTATGAAGTTTCATTTAAATATTTATGTACTTTGTTCTGTTTTGGATGTGCTTCAAAATCATCAGTGGAAAGCCTTGCTCTCAAGTCAGTTGTACATTTTCACAACGAGTTTATCGTTATTTTATTTTTCATAGTCAAACCGTTTTATGTATGCAGGAATCCGCCAATTAACAAAGTAATAATTTTAACAGTTAAAGCGATTATGCTGTAATTGATTACGAATTATATTCTTATTTTTAAAATCTACATAGAACAACTGTAAGAGTGCGTATTCGTATTAAAACTTACAAAAATTCGCCAAATCATGATAATTATTGATTTACATTAAGACTGTATTGCAGCATAAATACGACGGGCACGACATTATTCCGTTATTCAAAGTCCTTAACAAGACCAAGTCGGACATTTTCATAGATCTTACTTCATTTATCATAGATTAAGTCGGCTAATTATTGAATCTTAGAGATCAAATGTCAATAATCGATGTAACTTAGAAATAAATAAATCTGTTCATGAACACGGTCTATTCCGTGAGGACCTTTCTTTTCAATTCATAATCCCATTGGCTACGGCACATAACAGTTACTTTGTGTTTGTTGATTCCAGTGCAGTTTCCGTAGTTAAATTCCTTTCCACAGAACTGAAAAATCGTACAGATTAAAGGTGCTTTATATATTTATCAAATAGTACGCGCAGATACATAAAATATGACTTATAAATATACATAATATAGAGTGCACATGGGTAGTTATTCATACTTTCATGTCAATGGTTAATTTGAAAACCAATATATCAATGTGATGCCGTCAACATCATACATGTGCATACTCGTATATATTGCCTAAATGATATTGAAATGAAAGGAAGTGTAACTTATGTGGTTTATTGGAGGATGAATTTCATTTTGTAATTGAATGTTGTCTTTATAATGATTTAAGGAAAAAGTATATATGTTTAAGTTTTTAGAATTGATTAAATCTGATAACAAAACTGTAATTAGAAATTTAGGAATATATGTATACAACGCTTTTGCTATTAGAAATAACGTTATGTACGGGCAATGATACATGTAAAATAATGTATATATCTCTATATTTTTCTTCATCTTTTCGTTTGGTTGCCACAGCACAGTTGAAGTATTACTCATTTCAAGATATAAAATTCAATACTAAAAGTTTCAAAGAGAAAAGAATAAATGTACAGTTATTTTGATGATTAATGTTTCACGAATAGCCAATTAGTTGACCTTTTTATCTTTTGTTTCGATTTCGATAAAGGTTGACTAAAAATTGGAGTACTATTCCCATGATTACATATATATTATATTGTATTGTATTGAATAATCGTTTCTCCTCTACTGGAGAAGTTTTAAGGTCGAGTTTCAACCTTCTCCTATATTTCAAATATTTGAAAAAAGAGATGTATTATTATCATTATCATGCATTACTCTGTCATGTCATATATAGTATGTTTGTAATAGTTGTCCTCATGTGCTTATTAGCCTATTGGAAATGAAATAAATAAATTCAAAAAATATTTTTTCTTATTTTCTTTATGGACGTATCCAATCTACATAATTAAAACTTTTATAGATTTACAGAAAGTCCACTCCTAGATAATGCAACCTTAGCAATTTTACCGCGGTCGTTCACAACTCCTCCCTGCATTTCAAGTTATGTCGTTGTTTTTTGTAATCAGAAGATGTACATTATTAAACATAATTAAAGATTCAGTTTGCCCCAGAAATGCATTTATTTTTATTTCTCAAAGTTTTATAAATCTTTGATGTCCTGTTTAGTTTCCTAAAGGTTACTCATTGTTAAATTACCCGAACTATCCTTTGTCCATGTTGCCTTTAGGCAATTACTACAGTTGTAGTACGTGTATTATTTCATTTATTTACTATTTTGCATGGAAGTCAAAATACTACTTTGTTTTTTGTTGTTTTTTTTTAATGAAAAAGAATTTTACATTCATGGCTACTTTTTTATTGGATAAACATCTTTTATGCATGTTCTGTTATGTCCTGTTTTGAAACCATTATATATTTTAAAAGGGAAAATTTTAGGTATGCAGATCAGATTGCCATTGTCATGACATATGTAGAAAAATAGTAGGCGGTTGGAGAGGTGCATAAATTGCTGATGTTTGAAAGAAGAAACACTTTAAAACTGATACTCGGACGTGGTTAACCTGGTTCAAATATTTTGCATATTTATTACGGTACAAAAATAAAATAATGTTAATGCACAGAAAAGCTGCATTCATTTGGATTTTACAATGTAATTATTTCGTGTCCCAGATATGATATTGTTGTCGATGTATAAATATTTAAACTATATTTCATATATTTCTATTTAGAAAAACTGTACAATTTGTTTTAATAATGTGGATACACATTGTATTTGTTTGTCGATTTGCCATTAACATGAAATAAAATGTAGTCAAATTAGAGAACAGTTTTCTGTCTTCAAGATGAGTTTTCATATGTTTTATCATGAATTAATAAATCATTCATTGTGAAAATTTAAAGACATTACGTAAATGAGCTGTTCGTGGTGAGTACATCAGTTTTATATTACCAGGGACATATCTACATACACTTTGGTCGATTTTATTATTATTTTCTATCAGGAGTTTTAACAAAAGCTCATTAAGCAAATATATATCTAAATATCTTTCTTAGACATAAGTTTCGATTATATGTCAATTTTATATCAAAATAAATTTATCATTAGAAAGATATTTAATATTTATATATATAATTAATACATGTAGTCTTTTTACATACGAAGGTAAGTTTCAATCAGACATATAAAGCGATAGAAGCTTTCCATAAATTATTCATGTGCCAGTATCATCATTATATTTATTTTTGTTTTCCTTTAATTCATTATATTCATTTCAAATAATACAAACATAATGAAATATTTCATCATCTGTAGATTATAACTGTATACCTACTATCTTATAATATTTGATTTCGGTGAAATATGTGACATAGATTTCGGTTTCTAAGTACATGGGAATTGTACAGAATAATACATTTTAATCAATAACAGCACTTTTTGTTTATTTTTCTTTGTTTGTATGTCAAATTAAATCTTTATTCACAATAAAAATCAGAACAGGATTCACGTGAAATTATTGAACCTTGATTGCACAAGTCTATATCTGGATAGTAATATAGATTTAGGTTTGCATCAAGTAGTGTGAAACAGATATTAATTAAGTATTTAAAAAATTAAAATGAATTGGTTAATTGTAAATTAATGAGTTGGTTTTTGGCAATGAAAAGTTGATTTGGGTAAAAGTAATGAAATCAAGTTGCTTTCGGTATCGTAACGTACCGCTAATGGAACGGCACTGAACGGATTGTAGCGTCGTGAGCTGGGCATGCGCAATTAACGTCTAGAAAATCATAACAAGGTAGTAGAAATTCGCATTAAGAAATCAACCAAGAACAATGCCTTTATTTACAAGCAGTTCACCATTTGATGGTGATGTTGGTAAGTTCATTTGATGTCACATTTATCTCAGCCGATAATCTTCCGCTTTTTACTGATTTTAGCACTAAATCCTCGTTCTAATTTTAGGTAAATGTCAGAAATTTAGTGTGTCTTATGACACATCGTCACAATGATTTCTTTTGTCATGATTGTTGACATTGTGTGTACAAGCATGAAATAATACATAATGTTAACATTGCGAATGTTTGACAATTTTTACACATACATTGTACCTTGTACTCATTTTGTCAGTCTGTCTGCAATAAATAAAGTATAAATATCACTTTGAAGTCAACAGCAGACTGAAATTAACTTCTTTGTGGGAACTTGGTTCCAGCCACAAAGACCCGGCACAATGTTTATACTGTTAAAACAGTTCTTGAAGAAATACCTTATATACTACTCAACTTTTGCTAAGCATCATATGTTTGAGTGTGATTTTTTTTAAAATAATTTTATTAACACCGTGCAAAAGGTTTTAAATGTTGATTTACAGTTTTATCAGTTCAGCTGAAGGATGAATTTAAACCTCTTTAAACTTTAAAGATGTCAGAACATGCAGCATGTTTTCCAAATTTGTTTATTTGGATTTTTTGTTTACAGTTTTAGACTTAATACCGTGTGTGAGACCCGTGACTATCAATGACAGCTTGGCAGCGCCTTAATCATACTCCCTATTAGGTTTCTGATCATTCTAATGGGCATAGCTGTCCATTCTTGGACCAACATGGCTCCAAGCTCCTGGATGGTTCTGGGTTGTAGCTGACAATCTGAAACTAATTCCAAATGTGTCCTAATACTCCTATTGGATTTAAGCCAGGTGAGTGAGCTGGCCAGTCCATGAGCTCAATAGACTCCCTCTTAAGGTAGTTCTGGACCACCCTGGCCCTTTTGGGGCCAGCATTATCGTCCATTAGAATGAACTGATTGCCAACTGCTCCAGCATACAACCACACCTGGGTGTCTAAGATGTTGTCTGTATCGCTGACCTGTCAATGTGCCTCTCTTTAGCTCAACCAGGTCGGGTCATCCATCTCAGCTGATGCCTCCTTTAGTGAAGTCTATGCAGAACGTGGATTCATCAGTGAACAGAACGTGTCTCCAGTGTTGCATGGTATACTGTGTATACTTCATGGTCCATTCCAAAAGGGCATGGCAATGTCGGCTTGTGAAGGGGATATGTATGCAAGGTCTTCTCGACCACAAATTACCTTCATGCAGCCTTCTACGAACCCTCTGCATGGTAACAGATCCGGCAGCATTTAGTTGATTAACAATGTCATTTCGAGAAGAAGTTGCTGTCGAAACCTTGTATGACGTGCCTGAACGACCAAAAACGATCCTGAGCTGGTGTTGTGACCCTTTGTCGACCTCCAGCATGCCTCCTGGCGGGATACCATGTAGCGTATCTCTCCCAGGCTCTGGTGATGTTAGTGTGGTGTACACCAAGCACCGCATCAACCTGTCGGAAGGTGGCCCCCTGCTGCACTATCCCTACAGCCCTTCATAATTTTGCTCTCAAATGCTGCTTAAGGTTAGCATTTGCCACATCGGAGTGACAGATGTAAGAAATGTAAGCCACTTAATGCAATGAGCCGGTAATGTCGCCGTATAACAAAAGACATGTGACTGTACACCACTTCTTAACATAAAAATATTGTGGTGCATGCTTTCAATGCTACCTCGACTAGTTTTAATAAATAAGTCAAGACAGATTCATGTCAGGGGACTATCTCAAAAATAAAAGATTGGAAAGAAATCTGTTTTTTACTTGTGAAAATAAAAAAATTAACTTATGGTGCTTAGCAAAAGTTGAGTAGTATATTTATTATTTAGGGTTGAACCACAGGAACTTGAAAGTCTATCAAATAACCAATATTAATGATAATATCCAAAATTACCCCCTTCATAGTATAAATAAACACAAGGAATGAAAAGCCTTTTCTCCCACATCAACATAATTAACTCCAAAAATTCAGCAAATCAACAGATCAAAATTATCTGTCGGGCAATTTCGACAAACAGTACTTTATTTCATAGAACTTGAGTACCAAGAACTGGAAGACATCTTTGATATCATTGATCAATCCTGTTTGTGATTTCTTTGAAAATGAATATATCTCTTGATGAATAAAAGTCAATTAATAAAAATAATATTTTTTTTAGTGCTTTCATTACTTTGATGTTTTTATTTCCTTAGATAAAGCGACAAGTGAGATGAACACAGTCGAAAACTGGAGTGTCATTATGGATATATGTGACCAGGTCAAGACAAAAACTAATGGGTAAAGTTATATCTATTTTAATATCTTATCACAATATGACAAATCATATTTATAGCAATTTTACTGTTTTAGAAATTTGAGCATAGAAATAATTATAAACTTCTTCTATTTGGACTAAGTTTGAAGTGATATATGCATTCAGAAACAAAAGATTAAAATATATCACTTATCATTAAAACAAAAACTTAAGAAAATTTGAAAAATATATAGTAATAGAAATGCATTTATAAATATGTGATACATAGAATATAATATGTTGTATTTGTATAGCCAGAGGCTAGGGTAATATAAATGTATTCAACTGGTAATATAAATGTATTCAACTGGTAATATAAATGTATTCAACTGGTAATATAAATGTATTCAACTGGTTAAAGAAAGTCAGCATTAAACTTAGTCATTAAATATACTCTACTTAGCTTGATACATATCAAATTATTTTAGCTTGACTATTAGAAGAAAAGACAAAGCTATTGTACCCAGGTACCCTGCGTCACACTTCCATTAAGGTTTTCCATACAAGTTAATATCTCCAAAAGTACTGACACACTTATTTGAGAGTATGATAGAGGGTCAGTGTTTAAGGCCTATAACTCTAACATGTAATTTGACAGAATTATGGCCCTTTTTGAACTTGGGAAATTTTACACTGTCCAGGCTCATGTTTTACTATCAAGCTCGGAGAATATATGAGCAGTCTGTCCTACCAACAGCTCTTGTTTGTTGTTCTTGAAGTAAGCGATGGACCTTTCCGGTTTTTCGTAGTGGAACATTTAGCCACAACTTTTCCATTCTTTGCTAGATCAACTGCTCACAAACAGCATCACAAACATAAGCACATGCTCTTTTGTGCAAACCAGGTCAACCGGTGACTTTGTATTATCTCAGTGTAGCGATTGGATAACAAGTTAGCAAATTTACATAAAACTGTAAACACTGGAAAGGTCCATTTCATCTTGTTGCTGGTTAATGAATCACTGGGAGAGGAACTATATAAGTTTTCTTTCGTTCTAATCCCTTTTCAATTTTTGTAACAATTATACTATAAAATGTAATATATGTAAAATATTGAAATAAATATGTTTAAATTAATGAATCACTGAGAGAAAGTCAGCACCAATGTCTCTTCTACAGCAAAATTCTATGATTCTACTACTAAACTAAGTATTGATCTGTTGATAACTAGGATGAAAGTTTTTCAGGAGTATACCTTCAGAGTTCGTGAAAGCAATCATTTTCTTTTAAAAACTACAGAAAAATTGCTTAATTTAGGACTTTCGGGATTTTTAAAATTTCCACTTTACTTTACTTTCACCAAGTATTATACATGTACTTACATTGTAGTAGTAGCATTTGTGCACTTGCTATTAGCATTTGTGCACTTGCTTTAAGTGTTTGTCACAAAAAAATGTGACAATAGCCAACTGAAAATATATTTTCTGTTGTGTGTTTGTCTTGTGCAAAAAAATGTCAACAGACAATAGCCAACTGAAAATATATTTTCTGTTGATATACAACATAATGTTCAAGATTATATTTGTCTCAGTCTATGCTTATCATTTTGTGAATGTTATTACTAAAGTCAATGCTATAAAATAGATATTTTTACTTTGTTATTTTTGAATAATGAACATCATTCAATTTTTAGATAATAAATGATAATCACACTTTCAATTCTCTTGCAAAGTCTGCAAGTTTTATAGGCAGCAAAAAAAACTACTCTGATTTTTCTATTTTGTATTTTGCAAGTAAGCAAGTCATAAATTTTTGTCATTGAGATACCACTTCAAATAAATAAAATAGATTTATAGATAACAGATAACATTTAACTTTCTTTTCCTTGTTTAAAGATTAACCATTTTGCTGTGTGAAAGATATATAAATTTGGATTTAACGAAAAACATAATTTCTTTTTCAGACCAAAAGATTGCTTGAGGTCTATAGTGAAGAGGCTAAATCACAGAGTTCCTTTTGTATCTATGCAGGCTCTTACAGTAAGTTTATATTGTGTGATCTGCTGACTTAAGATATATATTCATAGAACAGTTGTTTGTAATTGAACTTATTGCACAAAAGTGTACAAAAATGGGATTAACCAAACATACTAATCTAAGTTCAGTTAGGGATAAAAATGAACAATTCTAAAAAAAAAATGTAATCTGAAAACTGTTTTAAGGAAAGTGCGAGAGTTGCTTCAAGTGTTTGATTACATACTATTTCTAACATATTTACTGCTTTATAAGGGTTTGTGATCCTTAGATTACATGTAGCAATTGGTTTATTGTATGATTATGATAATTTTGTCACAAATGTGTGTATCTTAATTAGTTTTTTTCATGTAATAAAATATGCACTGACAAAGTTTGGTTGTCGGTTACATGTGTACACAGGCAACTGTGGTAAAGTTCTTTGATTAAGCCATCAGTAATATTTTATTTTAAATTCTTAACTTGCTGAATTTATGTATTTGCACTGCTTTGGATTTGGAACAGTTCATTTAAAGTTTAAAGGCTTTCACAGTTAAAATATAAAAATAAAGGTACTAACAGTATAGAGCCTGGTCAGACTACATGGATATGCTGGCTGGTCCGGCTTCAAACTGGTGGCAAAGGCTAATTGCTTCTTGTTCAAGCTGAGTTAAAATCATGGGACATTGTCAACATTGGCTTATAGTTGATATGCTGTTAAAGGAACTCCACTGAGGTTTATAAGCCTAAAAACATTAAATTTTAATTTTTCATATAGATAAACAGGAACACTTAAAACAGAAATATAAATAAAATATAATCAAGACATATACAAGAAATACATTGAAAATCATATATTTGTGCTATTCTCAGTCCGATTTGATTGAAAAGCGTTTAAACGCTTTTCAATTTTGGGTCATTTTTCACTATTATATTAATTATTCTGGAAAAACGGAGCGCGCAAATGATCTGAAATTTTGCACATAAGTTATTAGTATAGATCTACATCAAATGGAGTAATAATCTCAAAAAATTATTTCCAGTCCCGTCATGTCAAAAAACCTCAGTGGAGTCCCTTTAAATAGAAATTTTTATTACATTTCAGCTATTGAATGCCTGCGTAAACAATTGTGGAAGGGATTTTCATCTTGAAATATGTTCCAGAGATTTTATCTCTGAATGCAGGACATTAATTGGACAAAAGGTTTGTACTTTTGTTATCTATGAAGTATGTTTTGTGCTATAAATGATTGTTTAAAACAGTCAATATAGGGCTTGATAACTTAATTAATAAAAAAGGTTTGGTTTTTTTTATTAAAATTCTGATTGGTAACAACTGAAATTTACTGACAGTAATACACATCAACACCACAACAAGTTTCCAAATAATTTTTCTACTTGTATTAGTTTTTGTCAGCAATTGTCCTTCACCGGGAAGTGGTTTGTTTTAGATTAGTGGGTAAAGCACCAGTATGTTAAAGTACGAATAAATTATAAGTATAATAAATAATGTCAGTAATCTCAGTAATGTTGATTTATGTTTATATTATAATTTCTTGTAATTTTCTTATCCAGGCTCATCCACGAGTTGCACAGAAATTAAAATTTATCATAAAATCCTGGGCAGATATGAAGGAATTTAAAGAAGACCCTGCTTTAAAGTAAGTGATACATTGATTCAGATAGGTGACCTAGTTAGTTAAAGTGTTGGTCTCTCTATGCAAGTGTCCTGATTTAAAAATTTTCCAAGGGTCACAACTCACACACATATATCCTCACATGACATGCATTTTTAGCCTAACATGGTGGACTTTATGGAGATTTATAAATTACATATGTAACTCTAAATGTCTTCACCATTAAACTTGACCCGTAACCTGCTGGAACCAGAAGGAATTGTTTTGATTGAATCTTTGTCATACATTGTCAAAGCTTTTATTTAGTTGTTATCTTAGACATGTTTGATGATAGGTCATCTGGGGTCAGAGTGTAGGTCACCAGGTCAAATCAAGGGAAAAACTTGTTAACAATGAAGAGACTTCTAAATCGAATTACAAAATTTGAATACAATGTATTCATTTTTCTTTTGGTTACTGGAAAAGTTCCTTGGAAAATCTCAATCTTGTGTCCTAGATTTTTACTTGCACTTCTGTCTGTTTAGTGTGTAATATAAGGTAGTGACTCACTGAGGTGAGCTTTAAAAAGTTTATAAATTATTATGGCAAGCTTAATAGCAAAATTGTTTTAATTCAACTTCCGATTAAGATTTATTTGTACATTTTCTGTCAAATATTGACAATAAACGGTATGTCAATTTTGTTACAGTTAACTTTCTTTTAATGAGATAACATCTTGAAATGTATATTTAAAATATACAAGGTTGTTGACCTTGAGCTTAAGTACTGATACTCTATTGTTATCAGATTGATAAATTAAACTTTACTTTGTGTTTGGTGTTATCTGTTCAAGTGTCAATATCATGATAACATAATAGTGAAAAGATTATTTATCTGTTATCATTTGACTTCTGGCCATGCTTTTATTTGCCAATATTTGTAAAGCCAAATGGATTTGTCCTGCTTTGAATTTAGAACAATCCATTAGTTTCTTAAGTAATGTATACCAGAATGAGATTGAAACTAAAATAAAGGATTAGTATTAAACTTGGAGCTTAACCAAAACAGACATAACATTAAAATTAAAAAAAAACAAAAAAACAACAAAAAAACTTATTAAGTTGTTATCATTTATATTTCAGTTTGATACCCTCATTTTATGACAGTTTAAAGAAAGAAGGGCATGAATTTACTGATCCAGACAGTACTGTAAGTGTAACAGTATACATGTATAAAGGATATTGAATGAGTGTAGGTTCAATACACAATTTATTGAACAAGTTGAATATAATTATATTAGGCGAGCTTCAGCCTTGATATTGTTTTATTCAAGAAGTTCAATAAATTCAGTAATGAATCTACACATATACAATATTCTGTATATCACATACCCAAAATAAAGACAGTTTAAAGTAAAAAATAATCATTTTTCACTGAGGTGTCTATAGTGTAATGCTAAGATTAAGTGCATCTTTACGCAATGTTTTGTATACCTTTTTTTTACGGGTAGCAAAAGGGGGCACAGTATCGATAAATTTTGATTAATTGTGATGGAATAGCAAAATATTTTTTAAAATTTTGAATAAGAAAAAGCCCCAAGAAATTTTAAACCCTTTCCCCCGAAGTTTATAAAGGGGGGGAAATAGCGGGGAAAAAGAGAAAGTTTTTTTTTGCCCATCCCTACCTGCTGTGTCGCTTGTTTAAAAGCCGGGGATACTTAAAATTTCCAGTTTTCGAGTTTGGCTTAAGCAGGGGTTTAAACCCATTCACACTCTGGGGGGGGGGGGGGGGGTCTTTTTCCGTTTTTTAGAGTAGAAATATGTAGCAAGTAGAAATAAGCAGCTTTTGCTGGACACCTGAGGCAGAATTTTTTTTGATCTCTGATAGCATAACTTGCTATTGTTCATACAACAATGTCTTCAGTTTTATAATGTAATCAAATATGACTTTTTGTGTCGCCTCTACGGAGTAGTGGCGACATATAGGGATCACTTCTCCGTCGTCTGTCTGTCCGTCACAAAACTTGTCCGGACTACTCCTCATAAACTACTAGTGCAATTTCATCAACTTTACAGGAATGATCAGTACCAAGTCAAGCTGTGCATTTTGTCAGCATTTTCAGGTTCAATGATTTTTGTCAGAGTTATGGCCCTTTAATAATTTTTATTTTTAAAGTTTGTCCGGACTACTTCTCTTATACCGCTAATGCAATTTCATTGAAACTTTACAGGATTGATCTGTAGCTCAAGTCCTTGCGCATATTGCACGGGTTTTCCGGTTGAATGATTTTTGGGCAAGTTATGACCCTTTGATAAAAAGGTGTTTTTTTCTGTGTGTTGCCAGATACACAAAAGCTTGTCTGGACTACTCCTCATAAACTACTGGTGCAATTTCATCCAAACTTTACAGGAATGATCAGTACCAAGTCTAGTTGTGCATATTGTCAGCATTTTCAGGTTCAATGATTTTTGTCAGAGTTATGGCCCTTTAATAATTTTTATTTTTAAAGTTTGTCTGGACTACTTCTCTTATACCACTAATGCAATTTCAATGAAATTTTACAGGATTTATCTGTAGCTCAAGTCCTTGCGCATATTGCACAGGTTTTCCGGTTGAATGATTTTTGGACGAGTTATGGCCCTTTGATAAAAAGGTGTTTTTTTCTGTGTGTTGCCAGATACACAAAAGCTTGTCCGGACTACTCCTCATAAACTACTGGTGCAATTTTATCCAAATTTTACAGGAAGATCTCCCAAGTCTATTTGGGCACGTCCTCTGTCCCAAAAACTTGCCCCAACAAAAATTGGCCATCATGGGGCGACACTGTAATTGGGTGCTCTTTTATTTTTATCGGGAAATGTGAAAGAAAATATTTTTTAAATGTGTTTAAAAATTTTAATTAAAAAAAAACTTGTTTTTTTTTTAAGTTGAATTAAAAATTTTTAATTTTCCCTAAAAAAACATGTTATGGTAAAAAACCCAATTAGCCCAAAACACAACAGGAAGAAAATGATCTAGCTAAGGTAGGTTTTCTTTTTAATTGGTTCCATGGTTACTTTGGTTGGGTTTCCCTCAAACTTGGGTAGGTTCTGGTTTCTTTTCTGGGTTTGAATGTTTAACCCCGGGGTTTCCCTGGTTTTCCTTGATGGGTTAGAAATTGAGACTTGGGTAGTTACCATTTTAACTTTTATATATAGCTATAAGTAGGTACAAGTTTTAGATATGCTTAAGAAAAACATTTAATGTGGACAATAATAACTAACGAAATGATCACAAGGAAAAATAACTAATACCATAAAAAAAATGTAGTTAACAAAAATTATAAGAAATTTTCCAATAATTATTAGTTAAAAAAACAATGTTAACAGACTTTGACTGATTCTAGAATATTTCTATTTCAAGCAATTGCATTGTCACTACAAGATGAAGACAAAGGTCCCAGTCAGAAAACAACCAGTCTGTATCCTACTGGGTTTTCTATGGGAGGGGCTTCAGGAGGCGGAGCTCCAAGAGTGAGGGAAGTGAGGAAGGTAAGAAAGAAATTGTTGACAAGCTATAAAATTATGCCTTAAAAAGTTATAAAGTTTAAAAATCATGATTACCAAAGGCTGTACAATGAAGGCTGAAAAAAGCTATGACATGGCTTAAAAAGGTTATAAAGAACATGGCAAATCAAGGCTAAAAAGCTATGAAATCATTGTTTGAAAACACTTCAATAGACTCTGAATTAACAAAATTAAAAAAGCTGTGAAATAGTGGTTTAAAAAGCTATGAAGTCGTGGCTTGAAAAGCTTAAAAATTAAGGTCAAAGAAAGATAAAGAATCAATGTTTGAAAAGTTAATAAAATCTTGGTGTAATAAACTATAAAAATATGGTTAATGAAAGCTTTAAAGTCAATGTTTCAAAAAGCTATAAAGTCCTCTCTTTGGAAAAAAAGCAATTATATCTCCATGATATATAAGTTAAAAAATGCTGACAACGACAAGTGATTACATTCCAGGAAGCCATTCAACTATCTAAGAGTGATAGGAAGAATTAATTTCTATTTTCATTCAGATAGCAAAAGCTAAAATAATCAGGTTTTAGAAAGAAGGGAAGGATTCTAGAAATGTGTATATACTTAACAAATTTTTTTAAGCTATATATTAACAAATTATGTTTCAGGTGAGGGCATTGTATGACTTTGAGGCAGTGGAGGATAATGAGTTAACCTTCCATGCTGGAGAACTTATCAGTGTACTTGATGACAGGTGAATATTGACAATATTTTATGTGGTTTGACCTTTTTATGTTTGATTGTATTATTAAAGTTAAAGAATTCTTCTTTTCAAAGATATTGATTATGTGATTGAAAGTGGTCTGCCAAAACATGTTTGTCATATTTGGCAATTAACACAGACTATTATTCTAAGGATTGCCGAATGCTAAGTCTGCTTGGGTTCAAATATTGTCAGGGGCAAGCCATTGTTTCTGTGAGCAAGAAACTTTTCACTCATTGCTTAGTACGGGTTGGTTTTCGCAACAGATTTGAGAGTGTTTTGATAAGCTTATAGATTCCAACACAGTCTATTAAAAATTCATATAAACTAATTATTAAGTGATTTTATTCTTCCATTGTGAGCTAGCCATTTATACGGTTAACAGAACATGATTATTTCTTCTTAGGAACCAATCTCTGCATTTACTAGATCTTTTTAGTTAATAATTAAATGAACTCTGATGGATTCGAGGTAATAATGGTCAGTATTTATGATGGGTACAGAAAATGGCCAAACTGCACACATCTGTAATCACACCCAGACTCAACTGTTTGTGATTTGATTTTAATTTTTTGCTTCACTTTTCATAGAGTAAGGATAGCTATTATACTCACGTTGGGGCTTTTGTCACACTTTGGTCAGGTAAAAACCTTACACATTTATTTGAGAGCATAATAGGAGGTCTGTATCCCAGATTGATAGCTCTAACATTGATTTCGACAGAATTATGGCTGTTTTTGATCTTCTACATTTTAAAGGCACTTGTTTTCCTATTAAGCACAGAGAATTGTCAAGCATGTTGTCTTCTGACAGCTCTTGTTTGGTGATAAAACTCTGTTTGCTATTATTATCAATGTACAATTCAAACTTTATTGAAAAATATGGTATTTCAGTGATCCTAACTGGTGGAAAGGTTTTAATCAGAGAGGAGAGGGCTTGTTCCCGGCTAACTTTGTTACAGCAGACCTGTCAGTGGAACCAGAAGAACGTATGTATAATATCTATATATCATGGTTTTCTCAGTATGCTGTATATTGTAAAATGTTGTATTTCTGTATTACAAAGCATCATAAACAAACTTAGTAAAACTACAGTAAAAGAAATAATAAATGATAAGCGCATAAAAAAAAGTTCTTTTGTACACTAGATCTAATACTAACTTGATATTTTATTGAATGAGTAAAATGCGGTTGAAATATTCAGATAGAAATTTTATTGTTTAAATCTAGATACAACCAGCTCTTTGTAATAAAAGTGTTTTCAATATATATAAAAGCGCGCCTCTCTGTTCAGGTAGCCAAGGTCTTTTTCCATTCAATGCTGTAGATTGCCATGCAAGGCTGAGGTCTAGGCCATTTTGTTCAAGTGGATAGAGTCAAGTGGACAGAGCCAATGGTTTGCCCTGCAAGTCAGTGGTTTGCCTCTTTGGTTCAGGTGGTCACTGCCAATTATTTGCCACATAAACGGTTAATGAACATGTCGGGAACAATGATTATTTGATACATGCTTGTATATGTCAGAAAAATCTATTGATAGTGTTGTGCTATACCAAGGTTCTGGTTTATGTCTTGAATTATACACAAAGGGTATTTTTCCACCAGCGAAATCTGAAAGGACAAGTATGATGCTGACATATTTTTGTGTGACTTTAAGACCACCTGATATTATGGTATTAGCAAAGTCATATTTTTAGCTAAAATGTTAACTTGATTACATGTATTTATTCTATATATTTGTATAGCAAAACGGAAGGTAGAGTTTAGTGAAGAAGTTCAAGTTAAGACTATTGAGGCACCAGAACAGCTGGAAATCGATGAGGTAAGAATAGTTGAAATAGAGATACCTTAGTTAAGTCATTTTGACAGTGCAAATTGGATCAAAGGAACCTAAAGTTTTCCCCTTGTGGCTGAAGGGTTGCCTTTAAGGGTTGAGACATCAAAATTGCAGCCACCGTTAATCCCTGCATGATCATAAGAGGTGTCTAAATGAGCTTGAATTACTGGAGCATATGCATCTAAGCTCGAGCAGGTGAGGTGGTTTTGACCCCTGGTGTTGCTTTAAGTTTGTAACATCTGAGGTTAGCCAAAATCATTTTTCCTGTTTTCAGTGCCATATGACCTAAATTGTGTTGGTGCACCTTAAAACCAAACAAAACAAACAAACATAATATTCTGATTTTAGATCTCGGTTTTTTATTACTTATAAGATAACATATTTCAGTTTAAGTTAATCATAAACGTTAAAATCTTAACTTGTAACCTTACATATAATTATTATTATTCACTATCCATCTTGAAAGAAAATGTCTGATTATTTCAGTCAAAGATAGATGAAATGCTGCAACAGATCCAGAATGCTGACCCCACTGGAGAAACACGACCAGATACCATGGAAATGTTACAGTTAGAAGGTATTAGATTTTTAGCTCGACTATTCGATAAGAATAAGTAGAGCTATTGTAGTCACCCGAGCGTCGGCATCAGCGTAACCACTTATGTTAAAGTTTTTGTAATAGTTCAAATATTTTCAAAGTCAATTGACATATGGCTTTGAAACTTTGCACACTTGTTCACCATCATGACCCCAACCTATAGACAGGAGGAGGTAACTCTATCAAGCATTTTGACAGAATTATGCCCCTTTTTCGACTTAGAATTTACCTTAAAGTTTCTGTAATACCTCAAATATTTTCAAAGTCCATGGACCTATGGCTTTGAAACTTTGCACACTTGTTCACCATCATGACCCCAACCTGTAGACAGGAGGAGGTAACTCTATCAAGCATTTTGACAGAATTATGCCCCTTTTTCGACTTAGAATTTGCGTTAAAGTTTTTGTAATAGTTCAAATATTTTCAAAGTCCATTGACATATGGCTTTGAAACTTTGCACACTTGTTCACCATCATGACCCCAACCTGTAAACAGGAGGAGGTAACTGTATCAAGCATTTTTTTTTACTATCAAGCACTAAGAATAGTCGAGCGTTGCTGTCCTACCGACAGCTCTTGTTACATTTATACTTTGAAATATAAGTAATGTTTGACTAGATCTTTTACTATGGAAAAGTTACTATTTGAAGTTTTTGATATACTTGGTAGCGAAATAATAATTGCATTTCATTATGGAAATGTTACAATAAGAATGTATTGATTCTATATTTGTCTGTGAAATATAACTGATATTTCACAGTTTCAGAAAGATATATACATGGCATTTGAAACAAAAAAAAATGCTTTGATATATTTAACATACTACAATAGTAAGAAAAAGAAGTGAAATATAAATGATGAACTCTTACGTATTACTAAAAGGACATGATATATTTATGTAAGGATTTAAAAAAAATTGAGTGGCGTTTTGAAGGGCCTTATTTAAATTGTTGAACAGGTTCATAATATCATCAGCATCCCAGCTGTGAATTGAACAAAAAAGTACCAGGTAATTAACACATTGCAAATGACACTTACAGTCCATGTAAATTACTAAAAAGAGGTAGAAATATGCAAAATTTGCCCTTTCAGCATTAGTCACACAGGAAATATATGGGGATTGACAAAGGAAATATATGGTGATAAATGCTGAAAAATCAGTCATTAATGGCATATAACATGTACATTATTATTTGAATCTTGGATCTGTTTACTTTTCTTAAAGTTTTGGTACATTTTTCTCAAGATTGATTTTCTTGAAATATTTTGGCTCGGCTGGAGGCAGGCAGCTTTAAGAAGGTAATGAGCTTTCAACTTTGTTTTGTTTTTGTTTTCTAGAACAATGTAAAGCAATGGGTCCACTGATAGATGCAGAACTGGAGAAGATTGATAAGTATGTCTTTATATTGTATATAATACACAACAAGTTAATTGTAACACTATGCTCCCATGCTGCTGACAATGAGAGTTAGTTAAATTAGCAAGGATCTTACCTTTTGTATTTACATCAGTACTGCCATGGCAGTTTGATGGTTTGTGTTAGGGCATCAAAAATATGTTAATCTCTCATTTCATGGGCATTTAGCTAAAATACTCTTCAAAAAGTCTCTGCATGACAGGGTATAAAGCCATTAACCATGAGTTTAAAATCATAAATTCAAATATCCCTGGTTAGCATTGACCTGGACAAAAATTGACTTGATCTGTTAAATCAAATTATATGAAATTACAAGAAGCAATTCTGTTTGTGTTTCAAGTTACACAATCAATGTTAAACTCAGGTGGGGACTTTCTAGCTTAACTGATGTCGAAAGGTCTCAGATGCCCCTTCATGAGCGGGCTCCTGAGTGAAATCACCAACCCTTTGTATGCTAGTTGGATAATTCAGGTGAAAGAATTGAAAGTCTCTGACAGGATTTGAACCAACAGGGGTGAGAGGCAGATAATTTGAAGTCTTTAACCTTAAACAATTGTTTAAAGCAGCATGCCTCCAGATTCATGCTAATTTTTATGAAAATTTGAAAATGTATTTAACAGTTTAATATTGTAAATTTACCAAAAAAATGCAATTTACACATTACCAATGGCACTAACAACCTATGTAAATTACTATAAAGAGGTCAAAATATGCAAAAATAACCCTTACTGCTTTAGTAACGCAGTAGAAATATAGGTAAAAATACTGAAAATTACGGTCATTAATCGCACATAACATGTAAATTTTACTAGAATTTTGAATCTTTATACTTTTCCTAAAATCTTAGTAGATTTTTCTCAGGTTTGATTTTATCGAAATATTTTTGCTCATTTGGAGGCGTGCAGCTTTAAGGAGACGTCCTATCAATTAAAAAATAACAATTCTTTACTAAGTTTTAACAATTTACAATAACAGGAGACATGCTGAGTTGTGTGGAATTAACACTAAGGTGTTAGAAGCGTTGCAAATGTACCATAACTTAATGAAGGAAACACCGATGCCATATGCTTACAAACAGTCAATGTCAGGATATAACCCTGCTTCAAGCATGACGATGCCCCCTGGATCTGTGCCACAGGTTGGTGTTAATATTGTTTTATACCTACTATATTGCAAATATACATTTAGGAAGTAAATGTCAGAAGATCTAGTATGGATTGGTCATTGGATCTCTGATCAATAGTTTGATTTGTTGTGATGTTATTTTTAACATAATTCACATTGGCTGAGTCATATAAAAGTCACAGATTTTAGACATACATGTAGATATTTTTGAAGGGTATAAAAGTATTACTTTCAGAGGCGTTTTGGGAAACCATCATAGATATAAGAATAACATGATCATACAGTTTTGTTTATCCTTGTAATTTCAATGTATGTGTACAAGTTTTACACTATTAATGTGATAAAACTTATAGGAACATTAGCCAGGTTCTATATTTATTAGAGGTGTAGTAATGCTAATTACAGCTATTTCACACCATAATCCATTGTATATTGTTAAGTGTGAAAAATCCTCTAACCTAGGTTTCCTTTATACTATTTTTAGCTGAAACTATAGTAGTAACATAATTCTATTAATGTATTATTTGAAATGTCACATCACTTAATGTATGTAAATAAATGTATGCACCGATGAACTGGTCAGGTTAGAAATTTTCTTTTGTGTTCTGTTCATAAAATTTGCAACAAAGAGGTGACTTGTAAAAGAATGGTTTAATTATTGGAGTACCTGGATCTGTTTATACTCAAGTAGACTCTACCAGGCTGGTTTTGGTAAAGTCTGTGAGAGTCAAATTTGCATAATAGATCAAGATATTCTTACAGCAACTCTAGTATTAGTATTAATCTCCTTGAATATAATCATAATATTCAACCATGATGTAATGCTATGATGTCAGCTAATGTAATTTAAGACTACACTCATATATGATACAGATTTTTAGCTCAACTATTTGAAAAAATAGGGAAAGCTATTGTACTCACATTGGCAGTGCCATCACACTTTGGTGAAGATTTTGCATGCAAGTTGATACAAATGTATCTCCAAAATTACTGTAGGGAATGGGTTGAAATTTCACACACTTGTTCTCTGTAATGTGATAGGCACAGGTCCCATAACTCTGAATTAATATTTACCAAGCTGAATCATGTTTTACTGCCATGCACTGAGAATAGTTAAGTGTGCTCTCTTACAGTCAGCTCTTGTTTTGTAGGGTAATATTTGTTGTGCATGTTATATAAACAGTAAATATTAAAAGGTAAGTAAAGGTTTATAATAAAAATAAATGCTGGTATATTTTGATGCACATTTTATTTTAGCAATTCAACGGCACCCAATACATGCCAACAGCAGCCATGAGTCAAATGCCGCAGATGTCCCAAGGTCAAGGTCCAATGGTACAAGGTCAGATTGGTCCAATAGCACAGGGTCATGGTCAGATGGGACAGATGTCTCAAGGTCAGATGATTCCAGGTCAAGGTCAACCACAGACATATACAACAGCCTCTAGTCAAAACTATAATAATAGGTAATACTTAGTCATTATTTTAACTCCTCCTCCCTGCTGATGATGCAGTTTGACTATTTAGTAAAGTAAACTAATGTAACTATGCTGATTAGGTAATTGGAATGTGATTTAAAGTTGTAAGCCTTCAGAACTTTCAACCATGCATTTTTAAATGATAAATTTATTTCATACATGCATATAAAATTCAATTTATTTTACAAGAGGTGAAAACTTATGAGTAGATTGTAGAATCAAATGTAGTTATAAATTAGTTGTCTTGCCCAGGTTTGTCATCTTAATCTGGTTTGAATGGTCTTTCAGATAATAATGTTTTAGCAAGATTTAGCAATGGTCTCACTTGTTAGTCTATCAGCTGACCAGGAAAGAAAGGAAACAATGTTTGAAATCCATTCAAATATTCGTGAATATTTCTCATTTTTAGCTCGACTATTCGATAAGAATAAGTAGAGCTATTGTAGTACCCCGAGCGTCGGCGTCCGCGTCGGCGTAACCACTTATGTTAAAGTTTTTGTAATAGTTTAAATATTTTCAAAGTCCATTGACATATGGCTTTGAAACTTTGCACACTTGTTCACCATCATGACCCCAACCTGTAAACAGGAGGAGATAACTGTATCAAGCATTTTGACAGAATTATGCCCCCTTTTCGACTTAGAATTTACGTTAAAGTTTTTGTAATAGTTCAAATATTTTCAAAGTCCATTGACATATGGCTTTGAAACTTTGCACACTTGTTCACCATCATTACCCCAACCTGTAAACAGGAGGAGATAACTGTATCAAGCATTTTGACAGAATTATGCCCCCTTTTCGACTTAGAATTTACGTTAAAGTTTTTGTAATAGTTCAAATATTTTCAAAGTCCATTGACATATGGCTTTGAAACTTTGCACACTTGTTCACCATCATTACCCCAACCTGTAAATAGGAGGAGGTAACTGTATCAAGCATTTTGACAGAATTATGCCCCTTTTTCGACTTAGAATTTACGTTAAAGTTTTTGTAATAGTTCAAATATTTTCAAAGTCCATTGATATATGGCTTTGAAACTTTGCACACTTGTTCACCATCATGACCCCAACCTGTAGACAGGAGGAGGTAACTCTATCAAGCATTTTGACAGAATTATGCCCCTTTTTCGACTTAGAATTTATGTTAAAGTTTTTGTAATACCTTAAATATTTTCCAAGTCCATTGACATATGGCTTTGAAACTTTGCACACTTGTTCACCATCATGACCCCAACTTGTAGACAGGAGGAGGTAACTCTATCAAGCATTTTGACAGAATTATGCCCCTTTTTTGACTTAGAATTTATGTTAAAGTTTTTGTAATACCTCAAATATTTTCAAAGTTCATTGACATATGGCTTTTAAACTTTGCACACTTGTTTACCATCATTACCCCAACCTGTAAACAGGAGGAGGTAACTGTATCAAGCATTTTTTTTACTATCAAGCACTAAGAATAGTCGAGCGTTGCTGTCCTACCGACAGCTCTTGTTCTGTATGTTACATAGAAAGGCTAAGACTTAATAGTATAGTTGAGACCAACCCTATATGACTACAATACTTGTGAAATGGGTGACATAATATATTGTAGATTCTAACATAATATATTGTAGATTCTAATTTTACTTTTATTTATTTTCAGTGCACAAAATTTACCAGGTCAACAACCTGTTTATAACGCAGTCCAATCACAACCCCAACAACCACATCCACAGCAAAATGTAGTTCCACCCCAACAGAGTATTCCTACTCATAATGTGAATGTAGTTCCGTCACATTCACAATATGGACAAGCAATGGGACCAATGAATTCTCAAAATATGGTACCCAGTTCAAGTGACTTTGGTTCCCAGCCCATTCAAGGACATATGTACCAACAGCCTATATCCCAACAGCAATTATTGTGAACATATTCGAACAAATTGTTGAGAATTTGAAAAAATAAGTGATTTTTATATAGGAATTAAAGAAAAAACCGAACTTAGATGATGCAATTGATATATGACTAATTCAGTGTTGTTGTGTCCTGGCTTTGAGCACAAGATAATGCTTGATATGGCAGGATTAGAGGAACAAGGCTGTCTGTTGTGGTGCAAAATGTATACATGTGCAACTCATTAGACTAACAAGCATTATTGCTTGAGAATTCCAAGATAATAAGTGAAAATAGAACTCCCCTACATGATGGATTTGGATTACTTCACAGGTATCCTAGAAACAAACAATAATGGCTTAAAGTCATATCTTGTTGAATTATTAAAGATATTTCCAATTGTAACTTTTTATTATTGAATAAAGGGACTCCATTTAGGTTTTTTACGTGACAGGACTGGAGAAATAATGTTGTATTTGCCAAAGGTCTAGATCAATAACTTTGGGGCAAAATTTCAGGCTCTCACACTTGATTTTTTCAAAAAAATTATTTCACTTATGAAAAATGCCCAATAATTGAAAAGTGTTGCAATGTTTTTCACTCAAATAGGGCCAAGCATAGCATAAATATATAGTCTTCAATTAATTTCTTAGTATATTTCTTATCATTCGCATATCTTTCTGTTTTAAGTACCCCAGTTAATCTATGTAAGAAATTCAAATTTAGGCTTTTGGACCATAGTAGACTTCCTTTAACAAAAGGCTCTGATATACCACAATCATTGCTTAACCCTTTCACTGCCATAGGGACGGCTTATGCCGTCCCTGTTATTTTCGGCATATTTGCCATATGGACGACTTTAGCCGTTTCTATAATAACAATAGTAAATAATAATAAATTAATAATAATAATAATAAAAAATGATAATAAATATAAAGAAAATTATACCATCAACAATAATTATTATTATACTCACAGATTTGGAAACATATATAATTATTTTAATACTTATAACTAATAATAATAATTATATTAATTAATAATATAGTAATTTCTTAGAAAACCCACTGGCAAATAGGTGATCAATAAAACAATAACCCTCTGGCAGCGAAAGGGTTAAATAATGTATCAAAAATAAACCAGAACAGACCTTGGTTAGTAAAGAGATACAAATATGGTTATAAAAAAATTTAAGTTTTATCACCTACCTGTTCCGATTTTTTTACTTTTAAAAATGGTATTGCACAGCCGTTCGTATATTTTGATGTGACGTCATTTGTGTTATACAAACATAGTGTAAACAGACACTAAATGTTAGCATTACACAATAAGTGTATCAATAAGAAAAATATGTCTTTTTCACTTTAAACAGTCTGTATATTGGGTATTGTGATAAATAGCATATTATATTTGTGTTGGTTCATTACTAATTTTATTGAACTTGTTGGATTAAGTAACTGCTAGAGGCTGGCACAATATATAACTTTATTAAACTCATTCAATAAATTCAGTATTGAACTTATACTCATTCAATATTCTCTTTTTATCAAATTTTGAATGAAATATGTTCAGCTCCACCTCTGGATTGTGATTGTGTAGATTAGATTTATAAAGCTCTTGATAATTTTTTTTTGACTTTTGACTTTCTAATCTGGAGTGGCATACCTTTGAGTTGTTGTGTATACCCTTATTTGTTTTGTTTTTTCTTTCATTAAATTCTTACTCAGTACCATTTTTAGGCTGTATGCATTTAACTTTGATAATACTAATTGATCAATTATGTAATGGGAATCAATAATGTAAAAAATAATTATGAAAATTCGTCCACAAGAGAAGTTAAGTAATACATAAGACACATCTTGTCATTGGAAAACACTTCAATGCTTAGACAGCAGCCAGATTTACCCTTACAATCAGTCCAGACCAAAATAAGCTATCACATGTTATCATCTTAGTGCAATAACTGGTTATCTTATTAAATTTAGAAGGACTTAATCCATTACTGCACTAAGGTGATGATCTGTGCCGTGTGATCATGGCCTGCATTGTTTAATATTTAGTCTACATAATTTAAATTTTTTCCCTGAAAATGATAAAATGAATTTGTCCTAGTGGGAAAAGATGGATATAAGTCTGTTATTTGGCTTAGTTAGGGTAATACTTTAATTGATCTTAATTGACAATTAAAATCCATGATAAGGGTTAAAACAACTCCCATTTTTTGCGCAATCTTATTGTTTGGTGCAGCATATACTGGCATCAGACACACCAAAGTAGTAGTCAATTAGAGGTTTAAATTTTTATCTGAAACAGTTCAAGCCATTGTAATAAGGATTTCTTGTTTTCATTGTTGTGTATATACATACATACAGTATAGGCATTCTGTAAAAATGCTTGATGCATTTATAAAATACAACAAAGTGTGTACATTTAGGAGGTATATTTTTAAGTACATGTGATAACTTACTGTGACTATAATATTGATGTTATATATGGAGGTGTATGTTTGTGTTTGTTTATCTGTAAGTATGTGAATGTTATGGTCTCATTTTATTGGATGTGTTGAAGATGATCTGAGATTTGTGACATATTTAATTTTTTTAGGGATTATACTTTATTTAGTTTAATCCAGGACTGTCCATCATCACACTCTGTCTCTGAAATTATGTTAGGAATGCTAGGTTAAGAATTAAAAAGAAATTTCTTTTGATAAAAAATGCTATGATAATATATTTCTTCATTTGTGTAATCCAGCTAGCTTACAGACCATTACTGGTTCAGGTGCTTGCCATGACTAAAATAATGCCTGTAGGTACACCTGAGGTATTCCTCCACCAGTAATGTCCTGTTTACATTTAGAGCTAATGTTGTTTTTAGTGTTATAACTAAAAATATCAATAATGTCCACCATGTTTAATTTTTCTCTCGCTCTTTGTTATCATACTCTAAATATAGTTTACATTCAGTAAAATGAGACATCCTCTATAGTGTCATGCTTTTTTGTTTGTTTTTTCTATTTTTAGGTGTATGCGTTGCGGTTGCAATCACACTTCGGTTAAGTTTTTTTGTGCAAATGAGTATTCTTTAAAACAACCTGATGGGAATAGGTTAAAACATCACAAACTTGTTCTCTTTGATTATCTAATATGATGATCACTGGGGCACATAACTCTAAGTTAACCGTTTTACAGAGCTATGCCCCTTTTCTTATTGTCAAGCTTTGAGAATAGTCGAACATGTTGTCTTACTATCAGTTTGTTTGTATTTTTAGCTCACCTGTCACAAAGTGACAGGGTGAGCTTTTGTGATCGCTTTTCGTCCGGCGTCCGTCCGGCGTCCGGCGTCCGTCCGGAAACTTTTGCTTTAAATGACATCTCCTCATAAACCACTGAGCCAATTTCATCCAAACTTCACAGGAATGTTCCTTTGGTGGTCACCTTTAAAAATTGTTCAAAGAATTTAATTCCATGCAGAACTCTGGTTGCCATGGCAACCGTAAGAAAAATCTTCAAATATCTTCTTTTAAACAACCCTAAGAGCTAGAGCTTAGATATTTGGCATGAAACATCTTCTAATGAGTGTCTACCAAGTTTGTTCAAATAAAAGCCCTGGGGTCAAAATTGGCCCCGCCCCGGGGGGTCATTGATTTTCCCTATATGCATATAGTAAAAACTTAAAAAATCTTCTTTTAAAGAACTGTTAGAGCTAGAGCTAAGATATTTAGCATGGAACATCTTCTAGTGAGTGTCTACCAAGTTTGTTCAAATAAAAGCCCTGGGGTCAAAATTGGCCCCGCCCCGGGGTCATTGATTTTCCCTATATGTATATAGTAAAAACTTAAAAAATCTTCTTTTAAAGAACTGTTAGAGCTAGAGCTAAGATATTTGGCATGAAACATCTTCTAGTGAATGTCTACCAAGTTTTTTCAAATAAAAGCCCTGGGGTCAAAATTGGCCCCGCCCCAGGGGGTCATTGATTTTCCCTATATGCATATAGTAAAAACTTAAAATTCTTCTTTTAAAGAACCCAAAGAGCTAGAGCTAAGATATTTGGCATGAAACATCTTCTAGTGAATGTCTACCAAGTTTGTTCAAATAAAAGCCCTGGGGTCAAAATTGGCCCCGCCCTGGGGGGTAATTGATTTTCCCTATATGCATATAGTAAAAACTTAAAAAATCTTCTTTTAAAGAACCAGAAGAGCTAGAGCTTAGATATTTGGCATAAAACATCTTCTAGTGAATGTCTACCAAGTTTGTTCAAATAAAAGCCCTGGGGTCAAAATTGGCCCCGCCCCGGGGTCATTGATTTTCCCTATATGCATATAGTAAAAACTTAAAAAATCTTCTTTTAAAGAACTGTAAGAGCTAGAGCTTAGATATTTGGCATGAAACATCTTCTAGTGAATGTCTACCAAGTTTGTTCAAATAAAAGCCCTGGGGTCCAAATTGGCCCCGCCCCAGGGGGTCATTGATTTTCCCTATATGCATAAAGTAAAAACTTAAAAAATCTTCTTTTAAAGAACCCAAAGAGCTAGAGCTAAGATATTTGGCATGAAACATCTTCTAGTGAATGTCTACCAAGTTTGTTCAAATAAAAGCCCTGGGGTCAAAATTGGCCCCGCCCCGGGGGGGTCATTGATTTTCCCTATATGCATATAGTAAAAACTTAAAAATCTTCTTTTAAAGAACCCAAAGAGCTAGAGCTAAGATATTTAGCATGAGACATGTTCTAATGGGTGTCTACCAAGTATGTTCAAATAAAAGCCCTGGGGTCAAAACTGGCCCCGCCCCAGGGGGTCATTGATTTTCCTTATATACATAGCAAAAACTTAAAAATCTTCTTTGAAAAAACCCAAATAACTAGAGTTTAGATATTAAGCATGAAACATCTTTAAGTAAATATCTACAAAGTTTGTTCAAATAAAAGCCCAGGGGTCAAAACTGGCCCTGCCCGAGGGATGTCATTGTTTTTAACTACATGTGTATAGTAAAAACTTAAAAAATCTTCTTTTAAAAAACCCAATGAGCTAGAACTTAGATGTTTTGCATGAAACATCTTATGGGTGTCTACCAAGTCTGTTCAAATAAACAAATAAAAGCCCTTGGGTAAAAATTGGGCCGGGGGGCGGGGGACGGGGGCTATATACAGGTGAGCGACCTCAGGGCCATCATGGCCCTCTTGTTTTATCTGTCGTTTTAGACTTGAGTAGGTTTTCTGATTTTAATGAGAAAATTTACATGTATATGGTAATTTTTAGTAAGATTACAAATTTGTAATTGTTTTTTTACTGTCCATAAGAAGCATAACGTCTGTGTTTCACATGATAGAAAAATAGCCAGCAATGCTTAAAGAAATTCTGTGAAACCATCCATTTATGTTACATTTGTATATCCCAATGAAAGATTTGTCCCTGGTAATAAAATAAATAATACAAAGATTTTATAACCATTATTTAAATTTATTATGAGTCTCTGTCATGGTCGTCTTACCAGAACTTGACTGTATCTAAAACTTTTGTTAACATATTATTAGTTATAGACTGGAATTCAAACATTTGCAGAAGAGGATCACTTTGTCACCATAATGCAGTAACAGATTAAACTCCTTTTACATTTAATAGGAGTTAAACTGTTACTGCACTAATAAGATGATTTGAAAAATATTAAAAGGATGCACCACTGGTATATTTGTTATGATGATTTTGTTATAAATTGATTGTATTTAAATTATAGCTATTATACATACTATATTCTGTTATATGATATACTAATTTATAAAATATGACTCTGTTAGAATAAGAATTAATCATATTATTGAAAATAGTTTTACTCAAATATTCATTCATTTTTAAGGCATGTTATTTCATTATTTACATTGTATAACTTGTTGGTATTCAGACAGTCATTTATTTAAGTAAAAAAATGTGTGACTAAAACAGACATAAATATTAGGAAATGTGTCATTGAAGAATTTATTTAACTGCATGTGTTGCTTGAACATTCATTTAGATAAAATGTGGTACAGGAACAGTCATTCATTCAAGTAAATTTGGTACATGAACAAAAATTTATTTAAGGGAACTTGTTACTTAAATGGTCCTTCAATTAAGGATACATGTTCTTTAGCAGTATAAACGTAAGGAAGCAGAAACTAAATCATTTAAGGAAACATGTTATTAAAACAGTTTTTCATTTAAGGAAAAGTGTGACTTGAAAAGTTTTTCACTTAAGGAAAAGTGTTACTAGAAAAGTCATTGATTTAAGGAAAAGTGTTACTAGAAAAGATATTCTTTTAAGGAAAAGTGTTACTAGAAAAGTCATTCATTTAAGGAAAAGTGTTACTAGAAAAGTCATTCATTTAAGGAAAAGTGTTACTAGAAAAGTTTTTTTTCATTTAAGGAAAAGTGTTACTAGAAAAGTCATTGATTTAAGGAAAAGTGTTACTAGAAAAGTCATTGATTCAAGGAAAAGTGTTACTAGAAAAGTCATTCTTTTAAGGAATCATGTTACTAGAAAAGTCATTCGTGTTACTAGAAAAGTCATCTGTATAAGGTGTTACTAGAAAAGTCATTCATTTAAGGAATCATGTTATTAAGGAAATGTATTTTCAAGATAAGGTTGTGTTCAGTATATAAAAATAGTGTTACACTTTTGAGTGCTTGTTTTAGTTATTTTATAAATAGCCCATGTCACCATTATAGTCAGGCCAGCTTGCTCATCCATATAGTCTTATAATGTCAATATTGTTAAAAGGACTCCACTGAGGTCCAAAAGTCTAAAAAGTAAAAAAAAATAAAATTCTTTCATAGATCAACTGGGAAACTCAAAAGTGGAAAAATAAGCAAAAGATAATATAATAATATAGTTAGAATTTAACTGAAAATGGATTTTTTTTTGTACCATTCTTAGCTCTATATAGATTTGAGTTGAAAGTGTTTAAAGGCTTTTCACTTTTATATGCCCGAAAGAATATCGGGCATATTATGTTATACCCCCTGGTGTCTGTCCGTCTGTTCGTCCGTGCTATTTAAGAGAAGTAGGCCATCTTACTGTAAAGAGAACAAAAGAGAACAATAGAGTTCATTCCATAACAATAGAATAAGAGGCCATGGACTTCTATTTAAAAAAAGAAAATAACAAAAGAAATGGCCCCTTAGTCCATTTAAGTGGCACGTCCATTGAGTAAGTCTGTCTGTCTGTCTGTTCGTCTGTTAGCAATTTGGTTTCAGGAGCAGAACTTAAGTTCCATTTGGCCAACAATACTCAAATTTCATAGGATGATTGTCCTTATTGGGTAGAAGACCCCTCTTGATTTTGGGGTCACTAGGTCTAAGGTCAAGGTCACTATTAAATTAAAACAGTTTCCGGAGCATTACTTAAGTTCCATTTGGCCCATAGTGTTCAAACGTCATAGGATGATTGTCAATATTGGGTAGAAAACCCCTGTCAATATTGGGTAGAAAACCCCTATTGATACTTTATTAGATTCCCATGTCTTACAAATGCTTCATCCTTACTAAAAAAAACACCTTCGGGCGTATAATGCTCTGCCTAGCAGTGCTCTTGTTGGATTATTTTACAAAATAAAAAATGCTGTTATTTTGAAAAATACGGAGTAAGTGAATGATCTGAAATTTTGCAGACTTGTTTTTTGGTCCAAACCTACATCTTACTTTACACAAATAAAAGAATAAAATTCAGTCCCGCAATGTGAAGAAATCTCAGTGGAGTCCCTTTAATGATCATAGATGTATAAACATGTCACCATAGAGTAAGAACAGTTAATCTACCTAATTTAGTGATATAATGTTTTTGACATACTGTTGAGAAGGGATGGACATTTTAATGCTTATAAACGGGTCCTTAAAAACATTTCTTTTTCTCAAATATGTATATTTATCTTCTTATATACACGTATAATGTATTGGTATACATGTATATTTGGATACTATATCTGTATAATAAGAAATAATTATGTAAATGAACTAGGAAGGAAGTTTTTCACTATAATAGTGAGCGAAATTTTTTAGTTTAAAAAATGTATGAATGTTGTATAAACGACAATAAATTTCAGTAAATTATTATTACATTAGTAAGAGCAATATAAACAAGGTATATTCTGTTTATAAACAAACTACATGTACGTTTTGAGGTCAGACATTTGTGTAATTGTTGGTAATTGCGAGTAATAGTGTGATTTCAAGTTGACAAAACTCATTTAGAGCCAAAACAAAAAAAATAAGATATTGTAAGGTCATTATGTCAAAGTCACTCATAATTCATGACTATGGTATCTAACATTTGAAATTTATTCCAGTAAATCTGCCCTGCAGTCATAAAGGATCTTATTATAACCCTAAACATGCTGAAACCAAAAAAGAAAAAAAAAAGAGATACCACACGGCAATTTTGTTTTGGAAACATGTATGTATTCATTCATGTATTTTTCTGTGAAAACTATTGTAGATTACAAACTCATAATTTCTACTTTTTGTGGTTAATTTTAGGATATTTTCAAATTTTCATGCTTTCTGATTGGTTGAACATTTTTTGACCAATCACAAGAATGTTTATTTTTAGATTTTTTAGTGGAGAAGATATAAAGTGCCACTGGGCACATAAGTATGATATATGTTTTATTGATATTCAAGGTAATTAAACCTATATACAGCATTTTGTTGTAATAAATCTAAATGTTTTGTATTTATTACTAAGAAGTGTAAATGTGTACTATATTTAGATTATATGACTTTGTTGTGTGTATATATTGGATTATTGTGAGTTATTATTGTCTAATGTATATTATTAAAAGTTTATTACTATTAAAATCTCCTGGATATAATAACTTATTAGTTTGTTGTTATTTTGATTAAATCCAGGGTGGGGGTGTTATATCAGGGTCATCTGTGTGGTGAAGGTTACAGCTATGTTGCCATGGTCACATTTATGTTGTCAAGGTCACATATTTGTTGTCAAGGTCACATGTTTGTGGTAAAGGTCACATTTATGTTGATAAAACTTCTAGGACAGGAAGCTATTCAGCTAGTGTGTGAGCTGTAAATTGTTCTGCTTACTTCTTATACCTGTCTGTGCCTGACCGTATTGACATGATCATTCAAGTCTTCAGATTAATAAGCATGTATAGTAGCAAACATTTTGGCATTTTCCCAATACAAACTCATTTGACAAACATGTATTTAATTGATTGTAAAGAACAAAGTGATCATCAAATTAAGACCTCTTGTCGATAAAGAACATGTTAGGCTTTTCCTTTGGATGGCCTTTGTTAACAGGTTTGACTATAGTGAACTTGTTATGGCAACAAGGCAATTCTAACTGTTGACTTTTTATGGCAATGAGGCAATACTTCAGTAAATTTGCTCTGCTAAAAGACAATGCTAAAACAAACTTGTTGAGGCAATACTAACAAAGGTTAACTTTTTATGGCAATGAGTTACAAGTAATGTTAACTTGTTTTGGCAATGAGGCAATACTACAGTCAACTTAAAGTTAATGAGGCAATACTAACTTAGGTTAACTTGTTATGTATATCGAGGTTCTTATCTGAAGTTTGTCAGAAAGCGCCAAGAGGATGCCATTGTCCCTATAACAAGTTCATTTCATGTCAAAAATACAATAAAGGGAGGTAATTTTACAATTATGCTAATTTTATTGCCAGTTTCATTGTCAAACTAGGATGACTATATAAACAAAACAGAAAAAACAAAGTCATTGCAAATTTGCTCGCCAATATGGTTATAATTCTGGTGGCGAGGGTAAACACAAACACACGCACACACACACACACACACAATATGTTTAAAACTAGCAAGACACAGTATAATGAAATGTGCCATGAAATGAGGTGATTCCACAAACCAGCAGTTCTATGTGGCTCTGGACAGTAACTATGCTCCTAACAGGATGTGCAATAAACTGATACTATGATATTATTTAATATGCAAGGAAATATCAAACGGGCAGTCACGTATTGAGATGTATCAAGGACGAATGTCTGATAAAGGGAGGTAATGAAAATATGCAAATTGAAAAGTTGTTGGGTTGTTATATGTTAATAACTATATATAAAAATTACTTTGCAGGGTGGTTGGTAGGGGCTGTTGGAGGATGTTATGACATCTTTAAAAATTTCAAGAATATTTTTTATCTCAGCTAACCAATTCATAAGAACATGGACTTTGTTTCTTGAGAACTTTATTTTTTATATTAAGAAATAGTGACTTTATTTGGTACAAAATAGCTCAAGACTGTTTATTTCTTTGAAATTTCATTATTTTTTTCATTTTCTAAAAATCCTTCGGTGAAAGTTTTGAAGAATAAGGGGAAGATTGTCTCCCTTTAGACAGGGTGTTTCATTTTGAAAGACCCTGCTTCCGTTTATTGCCATGCACCAAACACTAGTGCACAACTGATACCATTGATTTAAGTCAATGGCACGAGATAGCTGGTTTACATCCAACTCAGCCAGATAGCCCTCCTTTCAACCGGTTTAAAAATCTTAGTTTTTCAAGGAGGTTGTATTTTCACGGTATACGTGTGTCACAACGAAATGTTCTTATGACTTTTATACAAAAGTAATTACGACAAATCTACAGCTTTCCAATATGCATATTTTTTTTATCTCCCTTTAACTAGGTAGACTGTAAACCACTACATGTATAAAGTATATTATTTTGTGCCTTTAATATATTTTACACACATTAAGAATGATTTGTATATGTTTTTTCTCTAATCGGCACAAATATTCGGATGCATTAACCTTTGAAGAAAGAAAGCGCAACAGTATTTATGCCAATGACATGTATTGCCCGAAAACATCTATAAATCTTTTTTCCTAACCTCAAGGTAATTTTATTGCTTTGAAAATTTTCTTTAAAAATCATTTCTCTATCCCTTTGCAAACAGAATAAACTTGACTCCCTCCATTCAATTGCTAAGCACCAAAGACTAGTGGACAATGGATGCCGTTGCTAACGCCAATGGTTCGACATGGCGTTTATGGCAACAGCCATCTCAGCCAAAGAGTTAAGATCCTATCAACAGGTTATATTCTACTTTCACTCAGATATATGTATATCAACTATGTTACAACTGTGGTGGTGGTGTTTGGTAGTTTTCGCTCCGAATCACGACAGTAGACCACATTGAATTTATCATAGCACTGTTCATCCACCGCCACTGGTCACTATACGACGGTCAATGAGAACCAAAATGAACAGTAACCTGAGATAATATGAAAAGGAGGTAACCCTTAAAAGGGTTGTTGGTAACAAACAAATGACCTCCTCAAGCCGTCACTCTTTGTGCTAGAAGCTTACGCACCTTTGGATAGATTCCTCTTCGTCCCTACCTACTTTGTAGGGCCATTCTCCTGGGCTTTAGTCAGGCCATTGGCAGCTGGTCCGCAGTTACTAATTCTTAATGCTTTCGCCGTCCTGAGTTCTTCAAATTTCCTGCCGATGCCCTGTACCTTCTCAGTCGTCTAGGACACAAAAACAGCTTTCGCTGTCCAGTGCGGACCCGGGACATGTCACCAGTCATGTCCTTAAAGAGTTAATTTCGAAGCATAATATGGTGATAATTTATGTATTAGCCTTTAACGAATAGTCATCTGTCGGTGCCCTGTGCCTTCTCAATAAAGTGCACATATAGAGAAGAGTCATCACAACTGACTGTTCCTACTGCTTATATACACACATAAATATAACAAATATACGGCTTTCAATTACAATTTTTATTATCTCCCTTTAACTATGTAATAGTGAGGATTTCCGACGCTAAATATTAGGAAGCACAAACCTTGAAAAAAAAACAGTGTTTTTTTGCATCTGTATAGTCAGACAAGACTCCGTATTGAATTGCACACTTTTTTATTATAATCTTGGCATTGAAATATATACATGTATATCCTATTTGTTATTATACATCACGCACGTTTATTTAAAGTCATCAACTTAAACTTACACGGACACCTCGCTCCTGATCACTGCGAGTATGTTTTATTTATTTTATATATTTGTTTACTGGAGCAAACGAATACACAAATTACTCCAGCCCAGGAGAAACAAATACAACTGTAGTTATTTTACTTGCAAGGTGTAAACACCAAGGTATACGGAACATCAGTTTATGAAGTCTCATCCGAAATAACAAACAAACAAACAAACAAACAAACAAACAATAAAAACACCATATGAATTGTATCTATGTTTAATGAGGGTTCAAGCACAAAAAGCAGTTTAGGCTTTCTAGTACGGATCCTAAACATGTCACCAGCCATGGGTTAATTTTGAAGCACACATTGGCGATAATTCACATTTTTTTAGGGTTTCGGTACGTAGTTACCATTCAAGATCCTGTAACACATTTTTTTCATGGTTTTATTTCATAAATATGATGCTCAAATTAAGAATTGTCAACATTGTAAGTTCAAATAAGCATTATTTGTGAAGATATTACCCAATATAACATTTCATGTAAATAAAGGGAGGTAATTAGAAATTTATTTTCCATAAATTCTAAGTCAAATTTTCCAATAAGAAACGAATGCATGTAATTGATTGATTAAATATAATGTGCACAAATATTTGCAGAACACATTTTACATATCCTTTGATGTTTGAAAATTGTTTTATTTGCATAATTATTTACATATATAAGTTTTGCAAGTGTGGTATTCACACAGTAATAATATCAATCACAAAGCATACAGGATCTTTAACTTATGCATAACATAAATATTTCTGTTTTCTAAACACATCGTTGACAACAGCCTGACACAAGATGCGATTTAACCATGAAATGAAGAATACACGACAGAAAAACATTTGGAAGAAACAAGAACGAAAATAATCTTACATGAACATTTCTCAAAACTTTGAAATCCCATGTTTTATACATTTCTTTATACCAGTCATATTATTGCAAGGACAGTGGTCCTACCGAAAGTACCAAAAGTTCTCCATTAAAGGAACTCCACTGAGGTTCAAAAACCTAAAATCATAATACAAATGTATATATATATTTTTCACAATTTGAATAATTATCCTGGATAAACCGCGAGAGCGAATGATCTAAAATTTTGCACACAAGTTACTGATCTCGACCTACATGAAACTGAGCATTAATCCCGAAAAATTATTTCCAATTTTGTCATGTCAAAAAACCTCAGTGGAGTCCCTTTAAAGGCCTATTATGGCCAGGAATGCTTTTATTTTCATATCTCAAAAGCTTTTCATTTGTGATGTCCTGTTAAAGTTTTAAAAAATACTAATAAGCCATTTATTTGAACTAATTTTTGCTTCAGTTGCATTCTGGCAGTTTGTACAGATATAGTGATGTAGTATTTTGTGTTGAAGTCAAAATACTTCTTTGTTTACATTTTGCTACTTTTGACAAATTATTTCACATAACATGCTATTTTCTTCAGATAACAAACATCAAACATGCTCTTAAACCATTATTTAACGTTGTAAAACTCATGTGTGCCCTTTCAAAGAAGGACAAAAATAGTTTCTGAGGCATGTGCCTTTAAAGAGCACGTACCTTACAATGTGGCATACAAATCGTCTCAAACAATGAAACACCAATGAAAAATAAAATAAATGAAACAGTCAACCCTGTTAACAAAGGCCATCCCATGGAGAGACCGAACATGCCCTTTATAGACAAGTGGTCTTAATTTTGAGGTCACTTTGTTCTTTATAATCAATGAATAATACAGGTTTGACTGTAGTTACAATTAATAAACAATGTATATTTATTACAAGATTTTATTTTGAAATACATTCGGACCCATTCGTACACAGTACGTATTATCTATATATGCATACATTCAAACGGTCAACAAAAATAAAAAAAAAACATATATTATAACATACTTTAGTACAAAGTACATGTATATAAAACGAAAAAAGAAACATTTTGCTAAAAGCACTTAATGATATAATATCTATTTCTAAATAACATAATGAAATTAACAATGCAACAATTTAAAACAATGAAGCTTTTAATACAAGTATGTAATTTTTATTAACCATATTAATCATTTATCAAACGAATTAAGGTAGCTTATTAAGACAAATACATTAAAAGCATCATTAAATAGTTCTATTGTTGATAACTGGATAACGTTTATGCCGTTGCTAGTGGGGGGGGGGGGGGGTACTTGAGGAACGTATCTCCCAGGAACATTCTGAATAATACCGAGTCTGATTATCAACTACTGTTTTTGTTGCTCTCCATTTGCCAGAAATTCCAAAATGCAGAATTTCGTCAAGTTCAATTTGTTTTATAGCAGACGAGTCATATCCCATTACATTTGACAATCGTATACCAACTGATGGGTCGTTATTTCTTTCCTGTGTTTTTGGAATGTTATTATGTACAGAGTAAATTTATATATAAGAAATACAACAAATAGATGTTATCCGGAACTCGACAAATATGGGGTTTTCCAAGCTAATCACCGGAACAAACTTTTACCGTTATATTGTTGCGCTTATTTTGAAGCTTAAACTGTAAAAGTTTGTTTATACTCAATGATTAGCTTTGAAAACCCCCCAACAACTCTATTCAGAATACTTTCTACCTGTTATAAACTCCAGAAATATACATAAACCACAAATCCTGAAAACAAATGATCAATGAAATATTAAAGAATGAACATAATATTATTTCAATTTACTCATATAAGTGAAACACCTGTAAAACACACAGAGACAGCAAATTCATTATAAAATCAGAAGTAATCGACTGCATGTCTATCTGCTATGCGCATGCGTGCCGATTAAATAATGAGCGGGAAAAAGAAACCCATCACTATAGTGTAGTTTAATGACTAGTTATTGTAGGTTAATGGATAACATTATATCAATAATGAGGTAATGAGAGTGAATATGAAATGATGTGTTGAAAAGACATAAAAAAAATTTGTAGGAAGTGCATTATATCATAAAGAATAATTATTATAACAAGATATGTTTGTGAAACATGTATGCCCGGCCCCTATCTGCAGCCAATTAGTCATGTGATCAGGTTATTATGCATGACTTCTGACCCAATGATAAAAAATTAATAAGGGTTATCTAGTATCTACTGGTCATGACCAGTCACAAGGTTATAATTATTGTGACCCCATAGGTTGTGTGCAGCAATTTAAGTTATTACAAATCTTACCAAATAATATATGCAAAAATGTTATGAATCATGCAGGCCTCATTAATGACAGCCAAGTTGTTATATTACATAAGACCTTCAAATGTGTATACCTAAAGCATTTTTAATTTAATATAAAAATATCAACCAAGGCAACTTGAGTTGTTGAGCTTGCGTCATCTGCGACCTTGACCTTTGACCCCTTGACCCCAAAATCAATAGGGGTCATCTACTGGTCATGACCAATCACCATACCAAGTTTGAAGTTCCTAGGCCTAAGCGTTCTTTAGTTATTGATCGGAAACCGTTTTTACCTACAAGGTCAATGTGACCTTGACCTTTGACCCCTGACCCCAAAATTAATAGGGGTCATCTGCTGGTCATGACCAATCATCATACATAGTTTGAAGTTCCTAGGCCTAAGCGTTCTTAAGTTATTGATCAGCAACCGTTTTTACCTACACGGTCAATGTGACCTTGACATTTGACCCCTTGGCCCCAAAATCAACAGGGGTCATCTGCTGGTCATGACCAATCTCCATACCAAGTTTGAAGTTTCTAGGCCTAAGCGTTCTTTAGTTATTAATCGGAAGCCGTTTATACTTACAAGGTCAATCTTATCTTAACCTTTAACCCCTTGACCCCAAAATCAATAGGGGTCATCTACTGGTCATGACCAATCACCATACCAAGTTGGTCATGACCAATTACCATACCATGTTTGAAGTTCCTAGGCCTAAGGGTTCTTTAGTTATTACTCGAAAACCATTTGGTCTACGGACCGACGGACATACAAATGCAAAGCAATATACCCCCTCTTCTTTGAAGAGGGGGCATAATAATTGTAAGATATATTTTATACAAATAATGACAAATTACCCTGTGCCATTGACCATGTCAGTTTTCTATACTATTAATACGGATTTTTAGTAAAATAGTTTATGAGCATTGTCTATTACGAATCTTATATACAAGATATCTGTATATAAAGAGCAAATTTCAGTCTTTGTTCACTACAGGTTTGGAGCAGTACCTCTAGACACTTGCAGAAATCATGTTCAAAAAGTAGAAAATATCACCTTTTTCGCCAATTCTTACATTTTTCATTCATTATCGTATATAAATCAATGTTAAGGACCTTAATTAGTCGTCTTAAAGTGCATTTCGGCGAGTGAAAAGGCGATATTTTAATATTTTAGTATTTAATCATTCTTGAAAGCACCTTATCCGGTGTATACCGGGATACGGCATTTAGTGCGGTACTCCACTCACTCTTTGTTAATCAGGAGTTGCGTCTCCGCTTTGCGTTTCTATCATCGGAGTTTCCTCGTTTTCTTCTTTCTCTTCTTCTGTAACATTCTTTTTGTCCATTTTATCTTCTTGACTTGAATGAATGTCTTTCTTATGCAGCAGAATAGGAATTGAGCTTTCTTCATTAGAATTCTCTGGTACATGTTCAGCCACATGCATCTCAAAGTTCCCTGGTTTTGAGAACAAAAGGTTACCGCGCCTTGACCTGAAATTTAAAGGTTCATTATGCTTCAGAAATGCTATCAATTTTATTTCTCAAAAACTTTTTTATTTTGGGTATCTTGTAACAGTTTGCGAAAAATATACGCATTTGTCATATACATGAACTATCTTTTTCTACTTTTGCTCTGTCATCAATTTTAATAGTGAATCTGTATTGTGTATTGAAATCAAAATACCAGTGTTTACATTTTGCTACCTTTATGGAACAATAATGTACGTTTAGTGCTACATTCTTCATTATATTGAGACATTATTAAACAAGTGTTTGACATTTCTAAAGAATAAAGAAATATGGATTTCAGAGGCATAATATGCCTTTAAATTATGCTTAGTTTATAGAGATACAGATTTGGAACATATGAAAAACTTACTTGTATACTTTATACAGAAGTGCAAGGATAACAAGTACAGCGACCAGCCCTAAAATAACCCCAACAACTGTCCAAACAACTGTAAATAATTAACAATACAATATTTTTTTATGTTCGATTATAGATAAGATTGCAAATATACATAATTATATAATATGTAAGTTATTATTGACTTTTGAAAAGCAGCTACAAGAGAGACTACACTACATTAACAGGCAGTAACATTACAATGTAAGATCCAAATAACGATGTCAGATGTTAAATAAGGAATAAAGGCGAGATGTATATCAATTGAGATATAAAAGTGCATACTCAATGACTTTTATATGCCCGAAAGAATTTCAAATATATTATGTTATAGCCCCTGGCGTCCGTTCGTCCGTCTGTCCGTCCGTTAGCAATTTGGTTTCCGGAGCATAATTAAGCTCCATTTGGCCCACAATATTCAAACTTCATAGCATGATTGTCAATATTAAGTAGGAGATTCCTATAATTTTGGGTCACAAGGTTAAAGGTGAAGGTCATTATTATATTAAAACTGAAAACGATTTCCGCTCAATAACTTAAGTAATAATCAACTTACAGCTGTAAAATTTAATATGATGAACAACCATGTCCAATACAAGACCTCTATTGATTTTAGGGTCATAAGGTCAAAGGTCAGGGTCACAATGACCTTAACACTAAAAATTGTGGTTTCTGGAGAATAACACAAGTTCCATTTGGCTTACAGTGTTCAAACTTCATATGATGATTGCCTTTATTGAATAAAAGATCCATATCTATTGGGGTCACAAGGTCAAAGGTCAATATCAGATGACCTTAATATTGTTAACAGTTTTACAGTCAAACTTCATAGGATGATCACTTATATGGAGTACATTAATCATATGCCCTAAACAAATGCTCATGCATATTATGTTATACGCCTGGCGTCTTTCCGTCCATCCGTCGTAGCATTTTTACTTAAATGATAACAACTTGATGGGGGTGTGTAACACCGCACTTTGGGGTAAAACGCACTTTGGGGTCGGACCCCAAAGTGCGTTACGTACTTTGGGGTCGGACCCCAGAGTGCGTTACGCACTTTGGGGTCCGATTTCGACCCCAAAGGGCGTAAAACAGGTACATATGCATTTTTTAACATCAGGCAAACGACCGCACTTTGGGGTCATAGAAAATTAATGTTCATTATGTTTTAAATAATATATTGTAGTCAAAGCCAATGGTAAACAAAAAATCAAGGTATTAAATAGACACAGACATGTGCCCTGAATTATAGTAGAATCAATAGGGATTTAAATGGTCTTCATTAGTAAGTGAAGAACTTTCACCAAATAAATCACCAAATAAAGAATTTGTATCAATTATTAAACTTAAAATATTTTTTCTCAAATTTTCTATTTATTTTAAAAGAATGTACACCTTTCATTAACGCCATTGTTTTTAGCTAAATGCATTATTTTCCCGTTTTTTATTTACACATTTTATAGAAATATGATATTCTTAGCATAGACAAAGGTATAAATTCTGGGAAATCTTAGTAAGACATTTCAGGATAATATGTTGAAAGAGCCATTTATTTAGCTAAATGTGACATATAAGAAACTTGACTAGGTGTAGATGCGGCTTTAAGTAGTAGTCCTTACATGTATTACTAAAATATCAACTACCTGTATTTAAGTAGTCGCATATTAAGAGCGGAGCTTCAGAATAATGTTAAATTCTCACTGGGGGTATAGAGGGGATTTTGGGGTAGCGATCCCCCCGAGGGTTAAAAAACGTTTTAAAGGCCCATTATGCTTTTATTTGTTTTTCTTATTTTGATGTTCTTCTATATTATCAAAAAAATACACATTGGCCAATTACCTGAACCATCTTTTTCTTTTGTTGCTTTTTGGCAATGATGAGTAAAGTTATAGTGAATTAGTATTTTATATGGAAGTGTTTTGACTTCTTTGATGACAAATAATTTCACATTTATCGCTAATTTATTCAGGTAACAAGCATCTTGCATTTCTCAGATACCATTATTTTAACATTATAAAATTCATGTTTGCTCTTTTTTAAGAAGTATGTAAAATTTCCTATAAAAAAGCCTCTGGCGAACGGTTGTTACGGAGCTTACAAAAACCCTTAAGTTTGTTGATAAGCTTAATAATGTATTTGTAAAAATCACTATTAATAGTCCGATCGAGAAACTTGATGTTTCACCAGAACATTGCAATAGAGTATATTTATAGTTCTTTGGAAAAAAAAATAACTGCATTTTATTTCATTCCCAACATATCTAAAATAGGCTCAAAATGGCAAGTAAATGACCGACACAACGGGATATTTTTCGCAGCACCTTTTTATTCTAGTAATACACAATTTCTGTACTAGAGTATTTTGAACGGTGGCATAAAAGTGACATTTGTATTTTTTTTGATACTTTTTTTTGTTTTTCGTACATATTTTTTGTTTGTTTGTCGTACATATTTTGTTTAGTTTTGAATACATACTTTATTTTTTGGTTTTGCATACATATTCGTTTTAGTTTGCATACTTTTTATTTTAGTTTTTTTGTACACATTTTTTTTTACATATTTTTACAGGACGCCATTTGCAAAGTAGAGGTTTGGATAATTACACCATTTGTAAAACACCATTTTCAAACACTTCGCCATCTGTAAATTACAGTACCCCATTTGCAAATGCCATTTGCAAATACCAACATTTTCATTTTTGGAGGTATCAAAAAAAATAACAACACTTTTTAGTATATATATATATAAATATATAGTCCGCGGTAACCCAAAGAAAGGTTCTGCATATGGTCTCGATGTGGTTATCATTTGTCACAAGGTGCATGAAAATCCTTCATTGGGTTTAGGACAATGTCGGAGATAAGGAGCGGACATGAAACAATAGTCTTTATCCTTTAACCTGAAGGTGTGACCCCGACCTTGAGCATATAAGTTCTGCACATTATCTGGATGTGCTAAAGAATTGACCTAAGTTTCATAATTCTCAATTCTCAGGGGGGTGGGGTTGAGTGGTGCATATTCATGGAATAATAACTGGTCACCAATCAACAGCCCTTTCCAAATAGACACTAATATAATAGTATATAATAATAAAAAACAATAATCATATAAAAAAAACATATAATATAAAAAATGGGCCTAAAAGGGTCGGCCGAAACCAGACTTGCCCGGCCGAAAGCGACTGGGCAGATTCCAAAAATGGGCCGAAAAGTGACCAAACCACTGTGCTAGTTTTATACTCAACTATGGGCTGTTATGAGATTTTAAGGCTGTTTTGATTGGCTAAAATATGTATGAAAAACAAAAATAAAATATGTACGAAAAACAAAAATAAAATATGAATGCAAAATATGCAAAACTGAAAAAATATGTATGCAAAACTAAAATAAAATATGTATACAAAACAAAAAAAAAATAAATGCAAATGTCACTTTTATGCCACAGTAATTTTGTTATATGAACACAATTTTTAGATATTTCAAGTGGTAAAATTAATGAAACTTTTATCACTTAAGCATCATAAAGTATTGACCGCCATCTTGAACTCCACCTCAAATATTCCAATGTTGCAGATAGAAAATAAGTCAGTACTCAGTATTTAAGCAGAACTCAGATGACACCTTTAGACCATTTGAACCCAAAGTGCGTTGATATGTAGCATATTAACGCACTTTGGGGTCAATTTCTCGATTTTGACCCCAAAGTGCGTTGGACCCCAAAGTGCGGTGCGAAGTTTAACGCACTTTGGGGTTGGACCCCAAAGTGCGTTTGACCCCAAAGTGCGGTGTTACAGGGGTGCTTTTGAAACAGCAACTGGATATATATGAAGGTTCTTCAGCTATAAAGGCGGATTGCTTTTTGAAGGCGGTAATGCTTTATTTTAATGGGTTTATGTTTCAGTTTTCTTAATTTATGTATACATTGTTTTTCCTTCATAAATGGGTACAATGAAAGATGGCTGTTTTACAGAAATCACATTTTTTTGTTTATTCTTTCAAGACTAACACTTTTCGGGCATATAATGCTCTGCCTAGCGGTGCTCTTGTTTATCATCTAATTATATTGTATAAACAAGAGCACTGCATGCGGTGTTTACACTCCTAAAACATTTAAGTTACAAAATGACTTAACTTCAAACATATTGCTTTCTAACAACTGCACCTTGTAATGGTAATATAGTATTCAAAGTTTCATGTTGATAACTTTTGACATATTTAAATAATGGCCAACATTAAAGTTTTTGCACGACGACAACGACGACCCAGCTTCATAATAGCTCGACTTTTTCTTCGAAAATCACAAGCTAGAATATATATAATGGCAATTGTTTCTTGAACATTACCTGTGAGATCAGCATCATCAGCTTTCTGTTCTTGTACTGAAATGAAAAATGAAACCTTTGAACTTTTCCCCTTTCTTAAAGTTGCACACTTTTTTAATGATTTTTTTCCATGACAAAAAATGTTTTCAAGTATACAAATTCAGTAACCCACAGAAATTACATATAACTTGTAAAAATATGCAAACAACAGTAAAATGTATTCTGCCCAACTTCATACTTCCCTTTTATATATTGTGCCACGAAAAGGCCAAAATAGGTAAAACTAAACCTGTTGCTAATACACTGACATAAATCAATCTCTTACAAAAAGAAGAAAGAACTGCATTGACTCAGATGAAAAATAAATAACAGCAAAACAATTCTGTTTAATTCAAAGTTTTTTTGTTGATTTTTTTGGGGAGGGGAGTGGGGGTGTTTCTTTCTTTAAAGCACATGTCAAATCAGCATAGGCAATACAGAGGTAATAAAACATATTTACCGTTACACTCGTCCACTGAAGTTGACCGTATACCAATGGTAAGTTTATCAGGAGGACACTTGACACACTCTAGCTGTCCTATCTTGTCCTGGTATGTCCCTATAGGGCATGGTCTGCACAGATTGACGTCCAAATATGCTCCCTTTCCACACGGTACTATGTTGCAAAAAGTAATTTAAAAAATTCAAAAGTGATACAAAAACGATATTATCATCAATAATATAATTATATGGTATGTTAAATTTATATTAACTTATTTGATTATTAAATACTTGCTGACAAAGAAAGGCAAATACTCAATATATAAACAAGGGTAACATTGTCGCAAAATACGCCCGTCACAAAAGCTTTTAAAAGAGGTGTGAGCATTATATAGATATGCATAAAGAAGAAATGCTTTGGGCAATATCTTGAAAATATCTGGATATTTTATCATCTCTGGTGACCTTCACCTTGCAAATATTAACCAAAATTACATGTGACACACTTGTTACCATGATAGTTATCATTTGTGTTACAATCCACCAATAAATGATGACTAAATGATCCCCGTACACAAACTTTGACCTCTCTATGTGACCTTGACTTTGGTAGCAGGGACCTTGATTATGTGCACAATAAGCCTCACAATGGTGAACATTTGTGCCAAAAAACATTAAAATCCCTCAATGAATGTAGAAGTTCGGCTCTGAACAAGCATTTTTCAATGACCTTTAAGTGTGACATAAACCTTTAACCTAGAGACCTGCTTGTTCATGAATGTGACACTGCTTCTCATAATGGTGAAAATTTCAATGAAGTTTCATTAGAATCCCATCATGCGTGGAGGAGATATGTTCTGGACAAAATTTCTATATTTTATCATCTTAAGTGACCTTGACCTTGACATCATTTTTTGTCATTTATTTTATAAATAGGCAAAAAATATTTCCCAAATTTCCAAATTATGGTTAATTTGTGAAATTATCATTCATACGATGGGATGCTGTTGTATTATGTCGTCGTTTTGCACACATTTGACCGTGTTTAAACCAAAGTTTGGCAAAAGTGGCGTCCCCTCACCAAACTGTACAGAAGTGTTTGCATAAACGGCAATGAATTGCACCGTGTGCGTGTAATAAGTTGAAAGAGTAAATATGTGGGCTCCAGTCTCACTAAGTGTTTGCGGTAAAACATTCAAACATAAAACAAGAAAAGCATTGATGCAAAGCATCAAAGGGCGACGCCAAAAGAATTTGATCCAGGTTTGCACCTAAATACTTAACAAAAGATGTGTACTTTATAGCAGTACCGTTTCATGTGACCTGGAGGAAATGCCCAGTTTAAGTTGAAACTTAAACCAAAAAGAAAAGACTCTGTCTTGCCAAGATGCAAAGACAATTTATAGTCAATTAACTAATCTTACTATTTATTTTTCCAAATACAAGGATACCTGAGTCATCATCATATAATCACAGGCACGAGTATCGGACCTGGGAAGAAAAAGTATGACCAGATTGATAAAAAAACTGTGTTCATCTTAAAAGTGTCAAAAACCAAAAAAAAAATGTAAATAATGACCCCCTTTAAAAATATACTATTAACTTAAAGTATATTTTTAAAGGGGGTCATTATTTACATTTTTTTGGTTTGTGACAATTTTAAGATGAACACAAAAAAAAAAAGTTTTTTTTATCAATCTGGTCATATTTTTTCTTCCCAGGTCTGATACTTGTGCCTGTGCATATAATAAAAGCTTATTGCTTAGGTTGCAGACATGTCATTGACATATATTAGACATAAAAGAGGACCTAAAATGAACATCAGGGGGACACCATAGGTACTCAGAGCAGTAGTAGAAGGAGTACCAGCCACATCAACCAGCTGCTATGAGAGATAAGACTTGAAGCATGTAAGAATGTCATTACATATGGCAGAAACTTCAAGTTCCATGAAGAAGAAGAAAAATAACTTCTTCATATGCAGTATAGTGTGATCGACTGTATCAAATGCTTTTTGTAGATCTAAAAGTATCATGCAATACCACCTTTGTCCATTTCAAATAAAATACAATCTATTAAATGAGTCAAACATGTGTCAGTTGAAAAACCACTTCTAAACCCTGACTTGAACTGCCTGACCATGACTCGAACCCATGATGTTCAGAAGACCAACTGAGCTATCCGGCCGGCTACACATTTTCTCTTTAATAATGAAATAGTTCTAAATCACAACATATTTCCCCACTCTATTGGTTTATGTCCTTGAATTTCTGATGTTTACAGAGCATAGTGAATTAAACTCATGGTTATATGCAGTCACTGGATGAGAAATCTTTCAGCTTGACCAGAACTCAAACCTGTGACCCACAGAATAATGTACCGCGGCTATAAGCGATTGAACTATTCTAGCCGCTTACACATTTTCTGGCCTAAATAGTGAACAGTTCTAAACCGTGACAGATATTTAGATTTTTAAATTAACAGATAATTAATTCTTAATTAATAAATAAGAAATAAAAACCTTACATACTCATAGTCTTAATTAAAATAACAATTTATATATTATGTATAATTATTTTTACTAAAAAGGGCTTAGACAATAAACTATTGGTTGTGCCATTATTTTATAACAGGTCAATTTGAAAGTGAACATAACTGTGCTAATTCATGTACAATATCTATTTTTGTACGGATAAAAAACTAACCCTTTTTCTATGGTAAGAAATTTTATGAAGGCTGATTTGTATTTTGCATCAAGGGCACTGGGCGAAAACATGAAAATGCAACAAACACACCACTTTGTGTCTGGCGCCCGGTTACTTTTTTGTACTTTGTTGGTTTTCATGTGGCAAAAATCACCTGCTATAAAATTTTGTGTACAAATTTATTCAAGGGCAAGTAATAATCTACTCTATGAAAAGTCTGTTGTCGGGTTGACTCAGGAGACCTAAGCTTGGAAATTGAGACCGGTGTCCCTCCATTACAAATAGATAAGACAGAAGCTGTCCTTTTCAATCTATGCACATGTTAGAAAAAAATTAGAATAACCATTCAAAAAATGATTTTTTGAGACTTTATCAATTATATTGCTTGATCCAAGTTTCAGGACATTTTCAATCAATACATGTTTTATCATTAATAATTCCCAGTTTCTATTAAATAAATATGAAATCCTAACATTAACATTGGTACTAATGGATGGAATTCAAAATCTAGTAGAATATATAAACTCTGTTATAGATACTATTATTAGCCAGCTAACACTGGGTATAAACAACTATAACCTGTAGACTGATCAATACATGTGTTATCATTTATAAATTTAAATGCAAGTCTCATCCATCATAACTGTAAGTCTTTAAATACAGAAATACACATTATATCCATATACTATGATACACTTGTATGCACATTACATTAATAATTCTCAGGTTCCATTAAAAATGAATATAACATCCTATTGACAGGAATTCATAATCTTGTAGGAAGAAAACTATAACGTGTACACATGATATTGTATAGTATAAAAGTAAAAAAAAATCTCAAATAGCCTGTATCATGTGATACAGATTAAGTTGTGTTAGTGTCTAAAAATTAAATGCATATCTCTTACAGTAACAAATACTGTCCCTCTTTTAACCTTCTATTAGACTTTACTATACAATGTATAACTAATTGCTTATAATGTAATCAAGTGTTTAAAATGAGCACCTATATGTGTAGCTTAAATATTCTACTTTTCATTTTTACCAAAGGTTATTTTAGTAACAATTCATATACAAACACATAGAAAATAATAATTTCACATAGTGATTAGAAGATGCCTCTAGCAGAATACCTATAGGTATGTACCAACTGAACAAACTAGAAAAATCTGGTCTAGGGTATATCAAGCCAGTAAAAATATATATCAATATTCACTCATCAGGGCCTCTCTGCTTTTGATGACCTTACAACTGGTAAATTTTATAAAAAAAAACATAAAATAGTAAGTAATACTAAAGATAGAGTAGACAGAAAAGAACAAATAATTTATTCATGAGTTACTTCCCCTTAAAAGAGAGAAAACCTGAAACCCAAAAGAACACCCTAAACATTAAAATTACGAAATGTTGCAGTTTTATTAAGCCATGCGAATTAATGGTAAAGTATTCATAAAAAATAGATGACCATGTGACAGCAGTTATTGCAGAAAATCGGATAGCTTTCAACATCCGGATACTGGTACACTTTGTAAAAACAACCATTCTGTGCAACAGATCAACGTAATATGGATAAAATCAATAGGATAATCGTTAACAACAGTTCATTACCTATCCTTATACTCATTTGCAGGTGAACTTTCTTCTTGTAAGAAAATTTTGAAAATATATAAATGAATGAACGAAATGGAAACGGCATCAATGTAGACCACAACGATAATCGAAATCCGGGTTTTAGTATTGTCAATAAAACTAAGGGACAAGCTGTTAAACTCAGCCTGCAATTTCGTGAAAATAATATCACAATGCACATGCTTTTTATATAAAGTTATTAAATACAAATATAACAACATATTTGTTTACTTGATTTTTACGAATCAAAATAAATCTAATTAACTCAACATGAAATTAACTGCTATTAATAACAGCTCCTTCCATAGGCAAAAATAAAAAGCATTCCATATAAGACGACGCCGCTCACCGGCGTCGCCAACAAAATTCAGTCATATACTGACCGACAACGGCAAACGGCCATATTTTACCCACCGCTTCTGCGACGAATACTCCACCGCAAACGGGCGTATAATACACATAATTAAGAAAATAACGGGCCGGCATAAAAAATAGGTAGGAAAATTTACCAAGTATAGTTTTTGAGTACTTAATCTTAAACAAATTTTGCAAAATATAAATTTAAATTTGTAGGCAATTTACAACAAAAAAGAGAAAAATTGAAATTAAGCCAAAAGGTTGTAGTTAAAAACGTTCTTAAGAAAATTAAGCGAAACTTTTAATGTATAAAGGATATGGCACAAACGTAAGCAAGATATTAGAAAGCTATCCATTTAGCTTACGGAACGTCGGTGGTTCTACTCAAGTGCCCGTGTTTTCCTTAAATAATGCATAGAGGGGCACCCGAGGTCTTCCTTCACCAGTAAAGCTGGAAAGTCGCCATATGACCTAGATTGTGTTGGTGCGACCCAAACTTAAACGTACATGCAGACAAAGATTAATTAAAGATAACTGAATTAGATTAGCCCTCAACTTGTCTGATAATCATAAGCAAGCGATTAACCTTTGTCTTTAGTGCATAGCCAGGTCATCCTGCACACCAGTGAAGTCTGGCCAGGTTCTGTATGCTTTATACAAATGCATTGTTCATTCTCTCGATTTTGATACTAAAATCTCTCAAACATTACATGAACTATTATCATTTCAAAGCTTGGTAAATCCGTTAGACAAATTCTGCAGTTTGAGGAATAGTAAGAGAAATTTGAGTAAGAATGCGATTTCAAACGAATAAACTTAGCCGAAATAAATATGAAGACAACTTAAATGTATAAATCAGGCAAGGCGGTAAAAAAATAAGCCATTATGATATAAAAAATTTTATATAAAAAGCCAGTGATATTTCTAAGATTACCACAATAGTAGTCTATTCTCATCTGCCCAGGTTTACACACAACTTCACCATTGATGCTAGTGGAATTCAGATCTAATTCAAAGATATCTTTTCCCGCCTCAACTGTAAACTTGCCGTCGTCTGCTGCTTGTTGGATAATGTCATACGCACCCTCGAGGTCCGCTAGGAAATCATCTGTATTGTTTTCTGAAACGTAATCACAATTGATGCATTTTTTAATGATTTAAAAATATTTGGTTATATACACAGATTTTTTTCATTTTGATAAATCACTAATATTGAAGAATCAAAAGTGCCTAGTTCTAAGAAATTGTACAACTGTCAATCAAGTGAATTGATAAAAGAGACTAAACGAAGAGCAGACAAAGAATTATTATCAGAACGCTTTTATTAAAAAACCATGATTTGCTGTATAACACAAATCTAGAAAATCTACGATTTGTTACTAGTATTCATAAAAACGACACCAATTGCATCAATGTCATCCATAACAAAGCCAATTTAAATGAAATTCATTGTACAGAATCTTGAATTGTTATTTTCTTCAATTGCATTTCAAATTGCAGCGTTACCCTCAATGATGAGTTCATCAATTTTGCATATCTCAACAAACAATTCTTTAACAATAAGCACTTTAGAAATTGATGGAAATTGAAAGAATAGTGTCACTTTAAGACACTGCTAATGCAAGAAGTGTACACAAACATTAAAGATATATCAGAGTAATGACCATGTCTGAAAGGAAAATGAAAAAGTAATGAAAAGAAAACGAAACAAAATGACAAACCTGAACGGCCAATGATTTGTAGACCAAATCCAGCCTGTCGTTCTGAGCGTTTCCAATGTGTTTTATTATAACAGTTGGTTACTCCATCATATTTGATTTCACATGATTTACTATCAATACATGTCGTAGTCTTCACAACAGCCTGTACAACGTTGTCAATTTTCTCTTTAATGTCAGACAACTTTTCAATATTTTCACAATACAAATCACGGTACTGTGCAATATATATCAATTTCATTTCTTTGGGCACCTTTATCTCTGTAAAGTAATAACAATAATTGAATAGTAAATCAAAACTGCATTAAGTAGATTCTGTACTTTCTCTCTCCTCCTCCCCCCCGCCGCCACCGAGAGAGAATTATGATATTATGATTTTAGCTCTTCAAAACAATTTGAATGATTTGCTTTATTTTCACATATAAACGCCAATGACATCAACAATCTAATGTGCACTGTAAAAATGTACTATAATATGAGTATTATTTACATTTACTTATAGATATAGACATGCTTGTAACCCCTGGTGATTTAACATATCTACTTAAATGTTTAATGCTTGGAGTCATTTCTCCCAGGGCTCCTTCAATTTTATCTCTGGTAATTTCTTTTGACATTCAATTATAATTCAAAAATATACATAATCGTATTAATGGGACTCCACTGGTATTATTTGCCATGACAGATCTGTACACATTTTTTTCTGAAATAATTTTCCATTTGACGTAAGTCTTGATCAATAACGTTTGTAAACAATTTCAGATCGTTCGCTCATTCCGATTTTCCAGAATATTTTGCATTCTGTTCAAGATAACCCTATGGTAAAAAGCGTTTCAACGTGTTTTACTCAAATTAGGCAAAGAACATTTCAAAAATACGATTTTCAATTTATTTCTGGGTATATTTCTTAATTATCAATTGCATATCTTTCTTTTTTTAGTGCCCTTGCTGATCTATGTAAGAAATTCAAATGTTATGTTTTTAGGTTTTTGGATCTCAGTGGAGTTTCTTTAAAAATCTATAATGAAAACATACCGACGCATTTAGGTAAGCGTCTTTGCGAATTTTCACCCGACTGAAAGTTCCATTCGTTGAATGTGTCCGGACCACAGTAATATAACTCTAAAGGTTCCTCGTCAAAGTCGAATCCGTTATCACATGAAACAGTGCAGTTAATAGATTCAGTGTCATTTTCACATTTCAGGGTACCGTTGTCGGGCTCTTCTAGTTGTGGACATACTTAGAAAAATATATATAACATATAAAGTTATTTCAATTCTTATGATGTCTAAGTTTAAAAAATCATGTGCATTTATTTTATTGTTTGTAAATTTTACCCGCCGCCTTGTATTTTAAGGGTTTGGATATAATTGATTTGGCCTTATGCTTATATTTTCATTCATACTTTGTTATAATCATAGACTTAGGCCTAAAATGTTCCTATGTTACGGACATACCGTCACTATCTAGACTATCTAGCCTATACCGACACTATATCTAGCCTAACCGCGACAATCTGAAAGGTTTTTTTTTTATATCGATAGTTAAATTTCATTATGCGTTATTATGACCGGATCGACTTGGGAATGAGGTTGCTTAAACATTATCTAAATATTTACTATCATTACATGGAACTCCTTTCTAAACGAAGTGTAAACTATTATTTAATTTTACCCATGAAATATGGTGCTATATCCATCAAATATATTTCATATTTTTTTTTAAAAATTCTCTCAAAATACAAAGACTTAAGATGCAAACCATATAAAATCTACAAAATATAACAAGTAAATAATATTCAAGGAAAATACCAACAACTTCCAAGCTGAATGTATATTAAAATCTTGAAAATTAGAGATCAAGCCAGTTTAAATGAAGTCATAACAAAAATGTGAAAATGGCAGATGTGCTTTAAGTCAGTAAATGAGAGATAACAAAAGGTGCAACATTTAACATGTATCCTAGCATCATTCAGTCTTCTACACAATTTAGTATTGATATCAGTGATATAAAAAACCCCAACAATAAGTAGAAGTACCAACGGAAAAAACATTTTACAGCTTCCACACTGTATATAACACTTGCTGTAGTGAGATCCCTCGAGAGCATTGGAAATATCGTTAAATGGTGAAAACTGCAAACTCAATTTAATTTTAATATATAAATCATTATGATTTAAAAGAACATAACACAATACAGACAACTACTTTACAAAACAAGATCTTGACGGGAGATCATAATAGAAATATGGAAAAAAAACATATTTTTTTTTACAGACATACCTGTGCAATTGGGATTGTCGCAATCAGTGAAATCGTAATCATTCCCTGTACAGTTTTTACCTCCATTATCAGGCGATGGATTGTTACAAAGTCTTTTCCGTTTCTTTGTACCAGGTCCACATGTTGTTGAACATTCTGACCAACTACTCCATTCATTCCATATACCATCAACTAAATTGTCCGAAAATGAAAACAAAAAGAAGAAAATTTGTTGCATTCGTACCTTCGATTCTGTTTCCAAAGGTTTATATTCAGAAGTATTTCGTTCGAGTTTCTCAAAAAGATAACACCTAAAAGTGTGACCAACCTAGAAAATGCAAACATTTTATTGCAGAAACATACGGAAAATGCCTATGTGTCACGACTTACCCATTTCAATTTCACAAAGATGGCCCGTGAAATGAACAGGACAAAGGCACGTATAGTTGGCTATTCCATCAATACATGTTGCATTATTGATACAAACGTTGACTACACAATCATCTATATTCTCTTCACATTGAACTCCTCTAAAACCTTTGTTACATTGACATTCATACCCATTCAGAATATCTCGACAAATACCATTCAAACAAGGGGAATCGGCACAGTTGTCGAAATCTGGAAAGAGATACCAAAAAGACTTACCAAAAGTATAAACCTTTAATCTAATGATTTGTGTAATGCATCTGCTTATATTTGAACTTGGATATTTCATCTAAAGTTTAAGGAATTTAGTTGGGGTTTTGGGTTCGAACCAACACTGTAAATGTCATATAACAACTTAGCGACTTTTTTCAGCTTTAATTGAGGAGAAAGACCTTAGATGCCCCTCTGTACATTATTTCAGGTACGAAGAGGCACCTGAGCAGTTATTTAAATATAACAATTCAACAATTGAGAAACAAACTACATGTACACAGCTTCGCAGGTTGGCCTGACTATTGAACAGGTGTCACTTTTGGTTCCAGCAGGTTAAGGGTTTAAATTGACGAATTTAAACGTGAGAGAATTGGTAGCAAAATAAGCTTGATGTTGTAATATAACATTCAATATTTGACCAAATACATTAAACGCCAAATAGTAAATATGGCCAGCCAAGATACTATGTATATAGCTCCATCACATGTGCTTTATTGCATTCTCTCTAAGTTATTGATATATATTACCAATTTTAGTATTCATACAAGCATACGTTTTGTATAAGGACAAGCTGTATATACTTTTATCAATTCAAAATGAGATAGACATGTGAACACGGAATCTGTTCTTTTCTTATATAATTATTAATGTTAAAATTGTCCTAGTCTAAAGATAAACTCTTAGTCCATGCAAATAATTTGAAAAATGAAGTTTAATTGAAAAACAGTAATTCAACAAGAGCTGTCCGTAAGACAGCGCGCTCGACTTTTTCATTGCTTGCCAATAAAAAAAGTTTTTGCAGTAAAAGGCAATACAAGAATCTCTGTATTTTTAAAGTGAACAATGGCCATGAGCATTAAGATATTTAGTGAAGAATTATTTTATTATGACATAATTTATGGTAAAGTGAACAAGTGGATAGGAATGAATTTTTTTAGATTTTTTAAGTTTTTTAGTGCTTGCCTATAATACAAAACATTGACAGTTAAGGGCCATAATTCAAATAAAATCTTTGACAGAATTACCTTCTCCTGGACATGTTTGGGAATCATGATTGTAAACAAGTATTCCAACTTTCAAATTAATATCTCAAACAGTTCAGTCAAAAAGTGGACTGGTACTAAAAACTTAACCAAGATTCTAAGTCGATAAAAGGCTTTAATTTTTAAAACAAATCCTTGACAGAGTTACCTTCTCTTGCGTACAGATGGGGGTAATGATGTGAAATAGCATTAAAAGTTTCAAAGCAATATCTCAAAGGGTTAAGGCAATAAGTGGATTTTACCCATATTCAATGTATTTTCTAAGTCAAAAAGGGGCATAATTCTGTCAAAAACCTTGACAGAGTTATGTCCTCTTGTCTGTTGATGAAGGTCGTGATGGTAAACAAGTATGGTCAGTTTCAAAGCAATACCTCCAATGGTTTTTGAAATAAAGTGAGGTGGTACAAAAAACTTAACCAAGCTCAATACACTTTCTAAGTCAAAAAAGGGCCATAATTCTGTCAAAAACCTTGACAGAGTTATGTACTCTTGTCTGTAGATGGAGGTTATGATGGTGAACAAGTATGGTAAGTTTCAAAGCCATACTTGTAATACTTCTGAAATAAAGTGGGGTGGTACGAAAAACTTAACCAAGGTGTGACGCCAACGCCGACGCTAACGCCGACGCCGACGCCGACGCCCGGGCGAGTAGGATAGCTCCCCTTTTCATAGAAAAGTCGAGCTAAAAACTACTTGCTGTTATATCATCCCTAATATTTATAATGGAAATTCAGAGTAAAAAATTCATGATAAAAAGTTATCAAAATGATTACTAACCATGCCATTACAATACTCATGAAAACTGACAACAAATTATAGGACATATTCAGATACAATATACATTTATTAAAATCTCTCTTTGCGTAGACCATTTTACAGCTAGGATCATTTTAGCTATACTAGTACTTAAATTTGTGCAAACATATTAGGAAATTTTTGAAATCTACTTTATTGTTAGATCATTCATACCGTGGGTAACCGACGATGGCGAATCATATAAAACATGATAAAAATAATTTCCCTTTTTTACCTACCGTCACACTGGCTTGGAACCTTAATATAAGCACCAATCAGATCAGCCTCTTCAAACTTTTTCCAGGACAGAGCATTTCCAACTTCTCGACTGAAACATTTACGTTCCTCTTCGAAAACTTGATTTCCATGCCAAACATTAAGTTGTGAAATACTTCCTTTGGTACCATTACCTAAAAGAAAAATTTCTTTGAATTTCTGTTCAAATAATATATATGTAAATTCAATTGAATTTATACATTAAAACCACCTTATTGCGGTTCTAGACTTAATTCCAACTGATTTTATTCAGATTTAGTGAAGTTAGAAAGCTGCCATTCTTATTGTTTATTTTTAGCTTGATTTGTCCATTTTCGTCCCTGGCTAAAAAATCAGAAACAGTCTAACACTCTATGATCTTAGCAAATAGGTTAGGTGGAAGTTTCAGTGTTCGGCTATGTGCTTTTCATTGAAATAAAGGATTGCCTGATGCATTTGAATCCTGTTAGCTCATAATCTTCCCTGGCATGCTCATAATCTTCTTTTCTACTTTGACTGGATCAAGACTACAAACTAGTGTCTCAAACAGGAGTACCAGCTTGTATAGAGGATAAAACTAAGATGGTATTTCGATAAATCTCATAGTGCAGGCAAGGAATTGTGATCAAGAGATACCCGGAAATTCAATAATATTTGTTAAAATTTCATATAACATAGCAATACTTATGCATAATTTATCTTGAATGCATTTATTCCTCTTTATAAAATTTCACCGCTGTAGCGTTTCTATGGTAATTTAAGGCGGCCCTCAGATGGTACTGAATGTCATTTTAGCAATAATATTTTGCGATTAAATACACGAATCATCAATATTTGCATAGGCTTAAAATTAATGAGGAAAACATGAAAATTGTCAGAATTAAAAACAAATTTCGGGTTATTCTAGATCATTCATCGTATATGGTCTAAGGTTGATATTAGATGGACTAAACACACTATACCCATTTGCCCTTGATATCAATACGCAGTGCTGACTTAAAGACGTTAACTTTCAGTAGAAGCAAGTTCGAATTGGTCAATACTGCAGGTTAAATGTCATACGGCATGGACGGCAGTAATAAATGTTCACAAAAGTAAAAGATGTCTATGGCCTCAAAGTAAAAAAGGGAATGATTTCTGATTGAAGACAGTGCAGCTGGAGGCATGAGTAATGTTTCATTTTGCAGTTTTTGTTGTTATTTCTTTGTTTGGTCATGATCACACCTGAACAAGGAGATCAACATTTATGGAATGAAGCTCAGATGAAACAAAAATCAGCAACACACGATCACTTGAAAAACACAACTGAGGCATCATACTAGGAAGGACGGGACAGAAGTGGGGATGAAAAAGTCATACCTGCTACTATTGAAATCGACTTTGTTCTCAACTTGTTGCATGTAGGGCTATAAGAATCTATATTTATAGTATTGTTATCTACTGAAACAGCAATGTTGCATGAATGGCTTCTCAATATTACACGGTGCCATCTGTAATCAAGAACTGGTACTCTAAGTTCTGTCGATGTATCACTGAAATTACTGAAATTGAAAAAGAAACGCAAAGCTATTATATACAAGTCTGAACAAAACGAAACTTCATGAAACAAAATTTCTATTTATTAATGAAGTATGATGGTTATAGATAATCAATGCTAAATTAGTGTCTTAATATGCTCTCTGTTCTGCATATTGGAATATTTATTAGCGGCTGTCATCTTTATCAAATTTAATCATTTATTTTAATTACGTATCTGAAGAAAAATAAGCCGCAATGATTCTATAAAAGCTCGGATGAAATACCTTTAGAATGTAAGGCGACAAATGCCTAACTTACTAGTTCATGTCTGTTCGTTCAAATGGTATTCTCAAGATATCCTCTTTATTTTCATTTAAGAAAACTAATGTGACAGTTGTATTTTCATTCTCAGATGTTTCTTCATTAACGTCATTTAGTTGTATCCAAACATCCAGAGTAAAGTCATTTAGTGCAATACTGTCTTGAAATGTTAGATTAACTTGCGACCCTTCCTCGGGTATGAATGTTATGTCGAAATCTGAAATAAAATGTTTAAATCAATGAAAGTAGTAATCCTTCATCATATGTTAAGCCTTGATCATTTTTTATTTATTCAATTACATAAGCTTTTAACATTTTTATCGGGAATAAAAACTAAAGAATTACATTAATAAAATATATTCTTCATATGTGTGAACTCATAAATTTTGATTTAATAGATTAAATATGTAATAAAATGTAGATTGATTGAAATTTTGTATACATGTAAACGAATTTGTAAATTTGTTTTAAAACTGAATCAAATTCTTTCACTAACCAAGTAGAAGAATGTTATCAAAGATCTGAACTTTGTTTTTTATAGGGATGATACTTAAAAATCAAAATTACTTTTACACTCAGTTACAGACACAGCAGCAAATGAGGATGTTGTCATAGAGACAGGGCATGGCACACACTTGGATTGTCCGTACATGGACTGATAGTAGCCTACTGCACAAGGAGAACAAGGCAAAAGTCCATCTTGAGAAAATGTACCAGGATCACAAGCATCTGTAATACAATTTGTAATATCATTATAGTCACATGGAATTCGGTGATTTTTCATCACTTTATGTCCATGTATTTGTTTCCCTTGTGATGTAGGGGTTGCCTTTAAGAGCTATGGCAACTGAATAGCAGCCAACGTTTATCTATGCGTGATCGTAAGAGGCGACTAAATGTGTTCGATTAATTAGTGTCTTTGCATCTCTTAGCTCTAGCAGGAGAGGTGGTTTTAACCCCTTTGTCTAACTTCAATGTTATCAAAACTCATCTTTCCTTATTTTGCGTCAATGACATAAATTGTGTTGGTGTGCCGTAAAATCAAACACCAAACAAACAAACATGTATTTGCATTTATTTGATACTAATTCTTGTAATAAATTTATCACTTTGATGACTTAAACCAAGGTTGCACTTCTTCTGCAGGATTAAAATTAAAATTCTTATTGCCAATAACAGATCAGTTGGTGTGTTGATTTATAAACAAAGAAAGAAAATCTATCAGAGATGACTTTACTAAGAATCAGACCTTAATTGGTGATTCATAATTTAAAAATGATGTATGTTGTTTGTCATTTTGGCATACATTGTCGAGGGGTTCTCAAAAAATCCGTGGACTTTCTTTGTTGCGTGGACTTTCTTTGTTGCGTAAAATATATTTGAGATTTTTTTGTTTGAAATTCTTACACTGCTTAGAAGAATAATCGACAAATAAACACAGAAAACAATCATGTTATTAGCTTCTTATATTACAACAATATTCATTTTTACATAAACTCATGTCGGCGACAGCGGCGTACTCCAAAATGTTATTGACGCCAACGTCATAATAACGGACAACATGTGCTTTAATTTTATCCAGTCAATGACCGTTACTGCTTCTCAAAGTAATGTTTCCTGACCTGCACACATGACTATGAATCCAACGCTGGATTTTATTTTCTCTGTTCGGTTGCTGATTTTTTTTTTCAAATGTTTATGTAAGTTTTTCTTCAAAATGACAACAAAAGATTATGATCGCGCGATTTTCTTATTTCTACGTGTATATTCAATACAAAATCATATGACTAGTCCAAGTTCATACATACATTTGCTTGTTTGTTTGTTTTCGTAAGTTTGTTTCGTACACTAGACACTGTAAAGATCATATCATATAAATGAAGTTTACAGCTTTATTGTAGAACGACTCAATGTTCACCTTCTTGTCTGAGATAATGAGTAGAACCACCGACCTTCCGCCAGACACGAACAATTAAATTGCATTTTAAGTACCCTCAATGTATGTCAAAACAAAATTTTATTTTATAATTTATGCATCAAATAAAGTTTTGATGAAAGTTAAATCGTTGTTTATATTTTAATATTCCGAGGCACTGAGAAACCTATGAAAATAACCTTGGCAATCATCTGGTGATGTGCTACCAACATTAAGTGTCGTTGTCCTTTCTGGACACGGCTTGCACATTGTCTGTGCCTCTTCATCTTGGTATGTTGCTTTTGCGCATGCGCGACATACTGCGCCACCTATCGTTTTCTTGTAGAATGTACCTTCCGGACAATCGACTGAAAAACAATATACTCGTATTCTAGTCAAAAGAAGAGTTATTTGGAAGTTTTAGAAACACTATTCTATTTAATAAGTTAACATTACAATTGATGCTTGTCGTATTCAGTTTCATAAGATCTGATCTTGAAATCTGCAAACTTAACGTTTTTCAAGAAAGCATGAAAACGAAACAGGATTGACATATTCTTTACATTTGCAAAACTATTATATAAAGTAAACATACTACAGTTAAGACTTTCCTCTGATTTTACTGATCCTTCGTCACACACTGTCTGTAAACCATTGCTTGAAAACTTCAGTTGACTGACTATTATTTCATTAAAGATTTCCCTTTCCTTTTCTTTTACAATGATCTCAACGTTATTAAGAAGTTCTACACATTGTTCTTCAATTGTATCAATATCATCATCTGCAGGAGTTTCTATTGGGAGTTTGATGTTTAATTTGATAGATCTAGTCGTAATGTCTTCACTTGTGCCATTAGTTTGAGATCGTCTGCGCCTTTTCGAAGCACCACATGTAATCTTTGAAAAAAAGTTTTGAAGATTCCTTTATTCAATCGGTAAAAAATATAATTGAGTTTCATGTATCTGTTAAATATAAGTTACGTATTTTGAGTAGACACATACATTCATCATTTTTATTTTAACATTTTAACTAACAACCTTCTCTGAAGCCAATTGCAAAATCAACGGTGTCATGATGGATAAAAGATTCGGCCCTTCAGTCCACGACAAGGATCATGCTTCGCAACATTTCATGTTTTGTCGTGTTTTTTCTTTTTTTTTTAAAAAAATTGCTTTATGTACAATTTCCACTATTTCTATCTAATGCAATATACAGCGTGATGTATGAATGAATTTATGATAGGCTATACTCTCTATGATGGTAATTTAATTTGGTTAAAGGCTGACTTCTTTTGAATTTGAACAACACACTCGCCATGAGGTCGAGTTCTAAATGCACAATGAACCTTATTTTAGGTTTACTTGAAATGCCTGATTTCAATGTGGAGTTCTGAGTTCCTCAGAGTTGATAAACTTAATATTTTGTTCACTCTTTCTGTAACTATAATCTTGTCTTTCGAATACACTAACAATATGGTTAGTTGCCTTTAATTAAAGTTCATTTACTCATATAATTCAATTTGGCTGGCATAGGAAAAATTTCTGTCTCGAATATAAGAATCTTACACCGGCTGTCGGTACAGACCGGAATATCTAGCTCGAGGGTAACTGTTTACAGCGGTAACGGGGCTCTGCCGAGTTTCCGCTAAACAGTTACCCGAGAGCTAGATATTCACGACTGTACCAACAGCCGGTGTTTGATTCTTTTTCTTGCATATTGCATGTCAATTATTTTCGGAACAGAAATTATGAAAACTGATATTCTCATTACGCACTTTTTTTCTTAAAGTAGCGTATGAACATAGAACTTCATTCATAACGGAAATAATGACGTCATCATAAGAAGGCGATTTATTCATAAAAGGCGCGCGTCAATGACGTCATTTAACGCACGCGACTTGTCTTACATGGGGGTGTAAGACAGAGTTTTCTAGCACCGGTAAAACGGTAGATAATCCTGTCTGAGATGCAAGAAAAAAAAATGATGCATGGTATGCATGTCATACCTGAACATTACTTGCGCTGCAATCGGTAGAGCAAAGATCTTTGTAGTGATCGTTTGATTGTAGAGCTTTTATGAAGTTTCTAGCTATTTCTTGTTTAGTAGTTTCATTTGTACAATCGCCATCGTAATAGTATTCTATTGCCGCATCTATAAAATGTCTCTTACGACGCTTTTGAACAACTAATAATAAAAAAAGAATACTGGTTAAATGACGACTGATTTTTCTTCCTACAATACAAATGTAATACCGTTACAATATTAAAAATGCCGGTGGTATCGCCACCTGCCGTGAAGATTATTTGATTATTTTTATTATTTTTTAAATTTAAATGGTCAATATGATAAAGGGACAAGATGAGGCCGTTCAACACGTTATATCCGAGTCTCTTATGCGGAAAGTCATGAAGATTACTAACCTTATACCAAACACTTGATTGAAAGTCAATATTTATAAGAATAATATAATTATTTCGATAATAATATCAAGTGATATCATTTGTGTTTCGGAATATTAAACATTAATGGTTAACATTGTTTTTTTGTAATGAATACATAGTGTCCTAAAACCTAGGAACTTTTTATTTATATAATTTATTATCTCCAGCATGCGTGTAAGTTTCAATTGTTTTATTCTGACATCACTTTTATGATCACAACATCCTTATTTTATACCTGGTCCTGGTTCGAGTCCTCTTCAGACTGCTTATTTTTTCTCTATGTGGTTTATTAGATCTACAGTTAAAAATACTCAATTGTGACATTGAAAAAATAAATACAGGACCAAAGTTATGCTCTCAAGTATGTAAAACACGACCAACTAACCCCTGCATGTTTTTATATCTGGTGGATGTTCTGACCAGACATCTGTTGATTTACACACGTATAATGTATTCAGACTGACGCTTGACATTTCCGTTCCTTTCTTGCACTGTACCTGACAGAATTTCCCGCCTTCCCAGTTGTCGCAGACGACGGCACCGTTTGTGGGTGGGACAAGAGGAACACACTTGTTTGTGCCTAAGATACACATTTACGTTTAAATTCATTGAAGTTTTGATACAATATTCAAATCATACTTTTTTCTATAGAAGTCAATATTGTAATGTATTTTTACGGGACATATACACATACATCCCAAAATAAAGACAAACCCATTTCCGGTAATACGGAGCATTTCATGAATAGTTAATATATATTACTAGCTATCGGTAGACAATTTGTAGAGCGGAGGATTGTGGATCGCATGCCCTGCCCGCCTCCACCTCGTGTTCGATTCTCGGACGGTGCAGGTCACTTTCGTTGTGATAGATCATGAAATCCTTCCCACGGTCATTTGAACTGTACCTCTGCTTTGGCACGTACGGAAGTTATAGCATTGCCAACATGAAGGCATCTAGTACTAGTCAACAGATACGATGCCGTGGCTGAACAGTACTGCGGTGAATTCAAAGATGCTTACTGTCGTGATCCCATGGGGGGGGATAAACTACAAACAAACACCGGCAATCACTGTCCTTGCTGAATTACCCCCGCAGGACACTTTGTCGGCAAGGTATTATACAGTTGCATGTTGATATATAATATTATTTTATACATGTTCTGGGCAAAGGAATGACATTTCAAAAAATACGTATGACAATAATGCTAAAAGATATAGTTCGTATGGGTATATATCATTAAACAGTCTCGTAGACTGGCTAGCATATGCAATCAATAACAGAGATTTACAAATAACGTACTATTGCAGGTGGTTTGAGTCCCGTTTCGCCAGTTCCAGGATCCGAACAGCACGGTTTGATTCCTCTTTTCACATCTTACACTGCTAGCACCTACCAACTTCTTCCCGGGATCACATGTCACATTACACGACGAGCCGCTCCGGTACCCAGTCGGACAATGAAAATGAACCCAGGGTGTTGGATATAACACGTGACACGAAATATCTGTGGAAAAAAAGGAAATAATGAGCATTACATGTAATTTTCTTACCTACCCCCACCCCCACACACAATTTCGTTCCTAAATAGTAAACTAACTATTTAATGATTTCTATGCTATTTTCAAATTACATGCATGAAACTAAAGCAACGCAAAGATGGAGAAATATACACTCGGTTTCAAATTCTTTTGAGTAATATTTAATCATCTTTTAATTATGGAAAAACCTATTCATGAATTTCGTCCAACACGCTTTATTGTAATTATTTATAATATACTTTTAAATGACCCCAGGCTCAGGGGCGGGCCATTTTTCATCCTATTGGTATCATTCATATAACCTTTGTAGATTATTATTTCTACAATTGTAGCAAGTTGATAATAAAACATCAAATCTTTTGTAGAATGGTTGTTGAACAACACTTAAATTCTATTGACCGGACATCAATAAACTTATTTTTCTCATTCAAATAATGCAAGTGTAAGGGGTCAAATGTCACTGTGTAAAATACACGTGAAGATCGAAAATTTAACTGGACTTATTGAATTTTTATTATCAATATTTTGTTAGTCAAACTGGAGAATTGAGACCCCGGTGTATATCTATCTACTAGTACATAGATCACATGATAAGCTAAAACAGACGTATCTATTTTTTACACAGTAAAATCAAAATGTCATGTTTCCATTATTGATTATTACATTTATTAAATGTTATTTTGAGAAATAAAAAAATAATAGCAGATTGTGCCTTTAATATGGATCCGATTTTTCCTGATTAACTTGGTCTATATACATGTATATGCAACGATATTATACAATGATTATGATTGATATGTGTCTGCTAGTGGGGAAACAAATCTCATCTGTTTATAATATTATCAAAATTTCGATGTTTACGTTTTACTTGTACATTGAAGAAACATCTTCTTTCAGCATCAACCCAGTTTCCTGCGTCGTCCTTTGCAGAGTACTTGACGTTGTATATGCCGGCATCGAACCTTGATCCAGGCGGCTTGTTAGTTTGTATTACAGTCTGTGCACGTCCACTATTATCCGTTACTTCCGGCAATCTCCATGTCACCTTTGCTGAATTCAATCCGGATTCTGTACCGACCAATACCATGCTTGGACAATATGTAAATACCGGGTCTTCCATATCTAAATATGAATAAATTATTCAGGACGCGTTCATTTATCCTGGGCATATTTTCCTTTTTTTGTAAATACGGGTACATGTACATTTATAGCATAAAATACGAATGAATGAATGAATGAATGAATGAATGAATGAATGAATGAATGAATCAATCAATCAATCAATCAATCAATCAATCAATCAATCAATTATTCAAACAATCTATCAATCAACCAATCAAAGGTTGCACATTCAATAATTAAACTGAATAAATGAGTAAACTTTCATTCTTGTGTTCTTTAGTCCTCATCATCTATTATTCTTATTCAGTGCACAAACAATATGTTTCAAGATTTATAGTATAGGAAATGCTAACTTCTACTTACCAACGCATTTTGGTTCACCATGCTTTCTCCATGTGCGTGAGTTTGTGCAAACAAGTGCGCTGCTGACACCTTGAGGCATATCAAAACCACGTGTAGAACACGTGTACGAGCATATACTGCGGAAACTAACACCGTTAGTACAGGAAGGCACTCCAGCACCGGTGACAACTGGAGGATCAGGGCATTTAAGAGCTTCAAATAAAAGAAAACGATGTATTGTAGTAGTAATTGACAATATTATCGGGGTAATAAGCTACATTAATATACATGTAGGTTAAATAAGAAAATGACTTCAAAAGATGTTATGAAGTAATCTATGGCATTATTCAAATCAAAGCATATAAGAAATTTTTGTATAGCTTACAACATGGCTTTCCTCTGTTCCCGATGAAGTAAAACAGAAGAAGGGGAGGAAAGGCTTATACCAATATATGGTATTTAGTGGTCAAATAATTATACCAGGGTCGACGGAATGGCTTTAAGTTTAATGCAGCTGTGGCTCGTTTTATAAACTGATTTTAACAGTGAATGTCCCTTGTATTGTGAAATCCTTTTGAATAACTATGCATCTAATCGAATTCAGAAGAAATCAGGATAGAGACTGTAGATAATGCACAATGCATTTACCAATCTAAATTTTCTTTAATTTTTTAATTTAAATATTTGTCATATTAACTAATTATAAGGAAAATCTGACAATTTAATTGAAAAATATTTGGTCTGGTTTGTGAAAGGCGAAATTGAGTCAAAATCTGTGGACCCGTGTAACACCGCACATTGGGGTCAAACGCACTTTGGGGTCCGACCCCAAAGTGCGTTACGCACTTTGGGGTCCAATTTCGACTCCAAAGTGCGTTAAACAGGTACATATGCATCTTTTAACATCAGGCAAACGACCGCACTTTGGGGTCAGAGAAAATTTATGTTCATTATGCTTTAAATAATATAGTGTAGTCAAAGTCAATGGTAAACAAAATCAAGGTATTAAATAGACACAAAACATGTGCCCTGAATCAATAGGGATTTAAATGGTTTTGATTAGTAATTGAAGAACTTTTACTAAATAAATCACCAAATAAAGAATTTGTATCATTTATTAAGCTTAAAATATGTTTTTCTCAAAATTTCCATTTATTTTAAAAGAATGTACAACTTTCATTAACTCCATTGTTTTTAGCTAACTGCATCATTTTCCGGATTGTTATTTACACATTTTACAGAAATATGATAGTCTTAGCATAGACAAAGGCATAATTTCTGGGTAATCTTAGTAAGACATTTCAGTAAAAAATTTGCCTGATAATATGTTAAAATAGCCATTTATTTAGCTAAATGTGACACATAAGAAACTTGACTAGGTGTAGATGCGGCCTTAAAAGTAGTAGTCCGTACAGGCATTACTAAAATATCAACTATTTAAGTAGTCGCACATTAAGAACGGAGCTTCAGAATAATGTAAAATTCTCACTGGGGGTATAGAGGGGAGTGCGGAGTATCGATCCCCCCGAGGGTTAAAATAACATTTTAAAGGCCCATTATGCTTTTATTTGTTTTTCATCAAAGCTTTTTTATTTTGATGTTCTTTTATATTTAAAGCTACATTAAATAAATATGTTAAAATATTTTTGCCGTCGACCTAAAAACCAAGCATTCTACAGTTGCATTAACCTTTTAAACATTATCGTTGTAAATCTCATCAAATATTGTTCATAAATTAAGATTTTAAATGGAAAACCCCACGGTAACACTAAAGTTCGTATACGAATTTTAACATGCAAATGAAGACCATAATCAGCTCGTGTATGCGCTACGTCACGGTGTTATAGTTGCTATCCAGAACACAGCAAATATAAGATTTTCTTGTGCAAACACACTGTTACCGTTTAAGCTTCACGGTGCACTAGGCCTGTGGTTCAGAAAAAAATAATCATCTCATAAAAAAGATTAAATTTGTATGACAATATCCGTTACAATACGGAAATATACCGTTAAATTAGGACTGCTACTTATAGTCATGTTTGTTGATTTAATATTGATGTACAGATGATCTGAAGGCGGAGTTTCTCATGCAAACAGAAATTGTACTTCAGAATTCACCACAACGAGGTTGCACATATGTATGCTCATTTAACTCATTGGGGTTGTCTGGACACCAAGATAAGATCTGGAGTCGATATGAAACCCAACTTATTAATGAAATGTCGCTATTTCTTTTTTTTATGAAATTTATTTAATGTAACTTTAAGTTATCAAAAAAATATACGTTGGCAAATTACCTGAACCATCTTTTTCATCTGTTGATTTTTGACAATGATGATCACAGTTATAGTGAATAAGTATTTTATTATGGAAGTGTCAAATACTACATTGTTTTGACTTCTTTTATGACAAATAATTTCACATTTATCGCTACTTTATTCAGTTAACAAGCATGTTACATTTCTCTGATACCATTATTTTAACATTATAAAATTCATGTTTGCTCTTTCTAAAGAAATATGTAAGATTTCCCATGGCGAACGGTTGTTACGGAGCTTACAAAAACCCTTTAGTTTGTTGATAAGCTTTATAATGTATTTGTAAAAATCACGGTGGCATTAAAGTGACATTTGAAACTTTTTTCTGTTATTTTTGTGTTTTTTTGTTTTTTAGCTCACCTGTCACATCACAAAGTGACAGGGTGAGCTTTTGTGATCGCTTTTCGTCCGGCGTCCGTTCGTCCGTCCGTCGTCCGTCTGTAAACTTTTACTTTAAATGACATCTCCTCATAAACCGCTGAGCCAATTTCATCCAAACTTCACAGGAATGTTCCTTTGGTGGTCACCTTTAAAAATTGTTCAAAGAATTTAATTCCATGCAGAACTCTGGTTGCCATGGCAACCGATAGGAAAAAATTAAAATATCTTCTTTTAAAAAACCCATATAGGTAGAGCTTAGATATTTGGCGCAAAACATCTTCTAGTGAGTGTCTATCAAGTTTGTTCAAATAAAAGCCCTGGGGTCAAAATTGGCCCCGCCCCGGGGGTCATTGATTTTTCCTATATGCATATAGTAAAAACTTAAAAAATCTTCTTTTAAAGAACCCAAAGAGCTAGTGCTAAGATATTTAGCATGAAACATGTTCTAATGAGTGTCTACCAAGTTTGTTCAAATAAAAGCGCTGGGGTTAAAATTGGCCCCGCCCCGGGGGTCATTGATTTTACTTTTATGCATATAGTAAAAACTTATAAAATCTACTTTTAAAGAACCCAAAGAGCTAGAGCTAAGATATTTAGCATGAAACATCTTCTAATAGGTGTCTTTCAAGTTTGTTCAAATAAAAGCCCATGGGTCAAAATTGGCCCCACCCCAGGGGGTCATTGATTTTCCCTATATGAATATAGTAAAAACTTATAAAATCTTCTTTTAAAGAACCCAAAGAGCTAGAGCTAAGATATTTAGGATGAACCATGTTCTAATGGGTATTTACCAAATTTGTTCAAATAAGAGCCCTGGGGGTCAAAATTTGCCCTGCCCCGGGGGTCATTGGTTTTCCATATATGTGTAAAGTAAAACTTTTAAGTTAAAAATTCTTTAAAAAAAAACAAAATAGCTAGAGTTTTGATACTAAGCATGAAACATCTTCTAGTGAGTGTCTACAAAGTTTTTTCAAATAAAAGCCCTGGGGTCAAAATTGGCCCCGCCCCGGGGGTCATTGATTTTTCCTATATGCATATAGTAAAAACTTAAAAAATCTTCTTTTAAAGAACCCAAAGAGCTAGAGCTAAGATATTTAGCATGAAACATCTTCTAATGGGTGTCTACCAAGTTTGTTCAAATAAAAGCCCTGGGGTCAAAATTGGCCCCGCCCCAGGGGTTCATTGATTTTCCCTACATGCATATAGTAAAAACTTATAAAATCTTCTTTTAAAGAACCCAAAGAGCTAGTGCTAAGATATTTAGCATGAAAGATGTTCTAATGAGTGTCTACCAAGTTTGTTCAAATAAAAGCCCTGGGGTTAAAATTGGCCCCGCCCCGGGGGTCATTGATTTTCCTTTTATGCATATAGTAAAAACTTATAAAATCTACTTTTAAAGAACCCAAAGAGCTAGAGCTAAGATATTTAGCATGAAACATCTTCTAATAGGTGTCTTTCAAGTTTGTTCAAATAAAAGCCCATGGGTCAAAATTGGCCCCACCCCAGGGGGTCATTGATTTTCCCTATATGAATATAGTAAAAACTTATAAAATCTTCTTTTAAAAAACCCAAAGAGCTAGAGCTAAGATATTTAGCATGAACCATGTTCTAATGGGTATTTACCAAATTTGTTCAAATAAGAGCACTGGGGTCAAAATTTGCCCTGCCCCGGGGGTCATTGGTTTTCCATATATGTGTAAAGTAAAACTTTTAAGTTAAAAATTCTTTAAAAAAAAACAAAATAGCTAGAGTTTTGATACTAAGCATGAAACATCTTCTAGTGAGTGTCTACAAAGTTTTTTCAAATAAAAGCCCTTGGGTCAAAATTGGCCCTGCCCCGGGAGTCATTGGTTTTATTTATGTGTATAGTAAAAACTTCTAAAACCCAAATAGTTAGAGTTAAGATACTTAGCATGAAACATCTTCCAGTTAGTGTCTTCAAAGTTTGTTCAAATAAAGCCCTAGGGTCAAAATTGGCCCTGCCCTAGGGGACATTGATTTTCCTTATATGTGTATAGCAAAAACTTTAAAAACCTCTTTAAAAAAAACAGAATAGCTACAGTTTAGATATATCAAGCATGAAACATCTTCTAGTGAGTGTCTCCAAAGTTTGTTCAAATAAAAGCCCTGGGGTCAAAACTGGCCCTGTCGTAGGGGTGTCATTGCTTTTAACTATATGTGTATAGTTAAAACTTAAAAAATCTCTTTTTAAAAAAACTCAACGAGCTAGTCCTTAGATGTTTAGCGTGAAATATCTTCTAATGGGTGTCTACCAAGTTTGTTCAAATAAAAGCCCTGGGGGTTTAAACTGGCCCCGCCCTGGGGGCCTATATACAGGTGAGCGACTTCAGGGCCATCATGGCCCTCTTGTTTTTGTTTGTCGTACATATTTTTTAAGTTTTGAATGCATACTTTGTTTTAGTTTTGCATACATACTCTTTTTTAGTTTTGCATACATATGCATATTCATGGAATAATAATTGATCACCAATCAACAGCCCTTACCAAATAGACACTAATATAATAGTATATAATAGTAATAATAAAAATGTACGAAAAACTACAATAAAATATGAATGCAAAACTCAAAAAAAATATGAATGCAAAACTGAAAGAAAAATATGTATGCAAAACGTAAATAGAAAAGAATACAAATGTCACTTTTATGTCACCGTAATTTTGTTATATGAACACAATTTTTTGATATTTCAAGTGGTAAAATTAATGAAACTTTTATCACTTAAGCATCATCAAAGTATTGACCGCCATCTTGAACTCCACCTCAAATATTTCAATGTCGCAGATCGAAAATAAGTCAGTATTCAGTATTTAAGCAGAACTCAGATTACACCTTTAGACATCTGGAACCCAAAGTGCGTTGATATGTAGCATATTAACGCACTTTGGGGTCAATTTCTCAATTTTGACCCCAAAGTGCGTTTGACCCCAAAGTGCGGTGCGAAGTTTAACGCACTTAGGGGTCCGACCCCAAAGTGCGTTTGACCCCAAAGTGCGGTATTACAGACCCGGTCAAACTTCCGAGTTGTGTGCAATGCCAAGCTCTATTACATCTGAAAAACAAACAAAACAAAAACAACAAACAAACAAACAAACAAATAACAAAAACCATAAAAACTAAAACAACAACTACATAATCTTACGTTCACATATAGGCATCTTAGCAGGGCTCCATTGACCATCAACTTGACATTCCGCATGATCAGTGCCCTTTAGCTGAAATCCTTGGTAACATCCGAATTTACATCTAGCTCCACGGATAAATTCTGTCACGGGGTGACATTGAAAGTAACCATTTTCAATCTTATTGATTGAAGGACAACGGACGACTGCAAGAAAGGATAAAATCTCAAAGATAAGCCTGAATACTATACAGTAGAGTCGAAAGCCTCACAAATGAATAAATTTAGAATAACTCAGAAGTTTTTTTTATCACCAGTAAACTCCTATAAACATAGTCTAAGGTAGAAAGGAAAATGTTTGTTGAACAATGTAAGTATGCTCTTACATTATTGCCTTCAATATCAACTTACTTCAAATTTTCTGAAAAGTGTTGCTTGGGAGCTGATATAAGTACAGTTAAGTGTTTGTTAGTTAGCATTAATGAAATATAACCTGTCAGCCGCGACACAGCAGAATTAATGGAATCAATCTGTCTTAACTAACACTAAACTTACAGAGTGATTGAAATTATCTTTGAAATACACACGTGAGTTAGCGCCAAATAAATGTAGATTCTATCAACGAATATAATAAATGGAACGATCTCATTGGACAAAATATCAATTGAACTACACAATTGTATTTGTCTTCAGATCAAAAACATTTAGATACATGATAATATCACCATATAAAGTGTCTATTATGGTGGCTGATTAAGAACAGTATTGTGGGTCGTGTTGTCGCTCGCGATAGCACGACAAAACCAAAACGGCGTGTTGTCGGACTTTCGTCTTGTCGTCCTGTCGCTAACGATGCATGCTGAGTTGGGCAAAAAATAAATAAATAAAATAACGAAAGAATAAATTTTAGCAGTATTAAAGAATTTAATTAACAATTTGATGTACTCTAAATGATTAATAAAAAGTTTAAAATAGTTTATTGTGAAATATAAAATTACTGAAATACCTAGTTTGAAATAACACAGAATTGATTTTCAAACAGAAAATAAAAGCTGAAGACCGCCTTAAGATAAAAAAATTGATCATGTTCCAATAAAAAAAACTTTGTGAAACTAAAACAATACAGGGAATCTATAACTATAGACATTGACTTACTTGTAACGTCAATGCGGACTCTATAAAACCAGATGTCAGCGTGCCAGTTTTTAGCAACGTAGGTCACAGTGGTTCTATCTTCTGGGAAATAGCTGTTTGGTGGACGACCATATCTCATTATTCTATAAAAAACACAAGCTGCAACAATGTACATAAAGTAAGTTCCACATCCCTTATTCCTTTTTTCGAATAAGGAATAGGGAACTAGTTCCTGATTCCTTATTCAAATCTAAATAAGGAACAGCAGAATTAGTATTGATTTAAAATAAAATTACGGTTGATCAGAAAACTAGAACGTTTCTTACTTTCACAAATCTGTTGAAAATTGCACAAATCAATCATCAAAAATCATAGCATCCGCAACGACATATTTCTAACAATATTCTAGTGCATATATGCAATGATTTTAACGAGGTATAAGGAACGGGTTCATTATTCCTTGCTCGACTTGAATATTGTTTATAAATATGTCGATGTGGATGCTTTATTCTATGATTTTGATGATTGATTTCTGCAATTTTAAACAGATTTGTGAAAGAAAAAAACGTTCTAGTTCTCTGATCAACCATAAATTTATTATAAATAAATACCTTATTTAGATTTGGATAAAGAATCAGTTACAAGTTCCCTATTCCTTATTCGAAAAAGGAATAAGGAATAGGGAACTAACATGCTGCAACATTACGTTATCTCAGTTCAATTTTCACATTTCATATGTAAAAAAGCTTAAATCACCCTTTGACGTTTTACTAAACAGAATAATAAATCTTTGCCGGACGATTAGCGCGTCGGACAAGTAATGTAAGGATCGGTGGCCTCATTGGTTCATGCCCCGCCAGGGGCAAATTGTTGTTTCCTTCATTAAGAAATTTTACATTATTTTGCTCTGTTGGTTGGTTGAATCCAAGAACGGATTTGAGAGTGTTTTTTTATAAGCTAAAAGCTTCCTACACAATCGAACTTAAATAAATTAAGTATAAAGGATTGATACAATAATGCTGAAAAGTGAAATACAATGAACAATGCGAATGTCTTGAAGTTAAAATTTCACAACAAACTTGTTTACTGTTTTATTCCTCTTTTTCTAAAATCTTTGACTTTCGGTTCGGGCCAACTTGCTTGAGCATATATTCGGAGAGGTTCGGCTGTTCTTTTAACACGTGACTCACTCACAAAGTTCGAACCTTTTTGCGTCAAATCCAAATGCATTCTGTGACAATACTCTCTTACATCACTGTCAAATTTTAGTCCGCCTGAAACTGATATTCAACATATGTATATATGTATAAATATTTGATAATAATTTAATATATTCCTTTAGAAAGATACGAAGCCGGAAAAAGAATACACCAAACAATACTTGTCTGGAACATTCTATATGTTTATTGTTCAAATATTTAAAAGATATAACGAAAATTAGTAGAAGTAGTTTTAGTAATGGACGTGGACATAAGTAATGACAAAATGTTACCATAAACATATGTCACCCTAAGAGGAAACCATTTTTTTATATATATTTATATACTTTGATGGTATATTGTATTCCCGACTCCTTTATGTCTTACTTCAGAAAATATAGGACATAGAAATTAACCCTTAGGCTGGATTTCTGTATATCCGTCATTGGACTGCGTTGTTCGTTCCGACTACCGAACAAGTACCGATCCCGTTATTTTCAATATGAGATAATCCGTTAATTGGACGGGCGAAAAAGAACGGAGCATGCAGCGTTCTTTTGATCGCAATCGGACCGTCGGATAGCATTTCAAACATCAAGGAATTCATTTAAACGAAAACTGAAAAACAAATGAAAGTACGGTGTTCCGTTTGGACAACCGTGATGATGAAAACGCGATGGTACGATGGTGAAAACGCGATGGCACGATGGTGAAAACGCGATGGTACGATGGTGAAAGTGCGATGACACGATGGTGAAAATGCGATGGCACGATGATGCTAGATAGTCTGTTAGAGGGTATATTTTGTGTCCCATCTATAACTTCTTCATAGTTCAAGGGATTTTGAAAATACTTGGTACAAATAGTTACAATAATAAGACGATATGTCATGCACAACACCTGCACCCCTACCTTCATGGTCAAGGTCACACTTAGAGGTCAAAGCTAAACATTCATTTTATTTCTTTAATAAATTTATTGTTACATTTGCAGATCTAGCATTGATCATTATTTTTGACTGAAAGTCCTTAGATCCATACCTCAATCTTTTGAAATAGCACAATTTTATGATATATATTAAACGTCCCCGAGGCGGGGGACGTTAGTAACTTTGCAGCAAATTCTTGTTTATAAATGAATTGTCTTCATACTTGGATACAACAATCCTTGGGGTTAGCCCTTCAAGGTGATGATACTTACATTGATCTTGAGTCATAAATGACATTGAATTTGTCAAGTAATTGATTTTTGTGCTGTTACTGGCTGTCCCTTCCATCTCATGAACCAGTAGAAATATTAACTTTAACTTGAAATATCCATGCAATATCACTATGAAAGTGTGTGTTTAAAATTGGATAAAAGTGATAGGTAGTTGACATGATTGAATTGACTTCAGAATGCAATATTTTTTATTTTACTTTGATACAAAGTGGTTACAGCTTTGTTATTTATGAATGTATTGACGTAATATTCCTTGGGGATAGACTTTCAAGTGATTAAACTTACATTGATCTTGATTTTCGAAGTCCAGCTACTGTTTGTTTCCTTTAAATGATGTACGAGTAATTGGCTACAACTTTATCATTATGCGTCTTCTCTCATCTCAGGAACCGCAGATAAATTTATTTGGACTCGAAATATCAATGCAATATCACAATGCACCGTGTGTTTTAGGTTTGATAACTCTGATAGGTAGTTTTACATAATTTAGTCTTTTTTTTAATTAAAACTCTTAAAACTCTAGCCTTTTAGCTAGTCGTATCTCCCTGTTTTTTACCAAAAATAATGGTTAGCAGATTATTGTACTCATTTAGTAAGGCAATTAATTCTTATTATCATTGGTACACAATTGGAACCAGTTCAAATTTAGCTTAAAACAGCTTAATTTTCAAATAGTTAAGTACATGAAATAGATCTAGTTCTTTCTGTTACTCTTTTGGACCATCGCAACATAATCTAATGGATATATTATCTGTACAGAAAAACAAAACAAAACAAAACATCTTACCTTTTCCAAACACCCTTTCTTCAACATTACGGAAGATGTCCCAAAATAGTCCCCTGGTATGTCGTTTAGAGCGGACAATTCTTTCTTCCCCACCTGAATAAAACAATTATAATACAATTGTTTGAATATAAAATGATAATATAATTTTTTACGGTTCAGAACATCTTGGCTGGATATGGTATAACTAGTTATTGTATACTACTAGTACGTTTTCATTGTTTTGTATTGGTATGATATAGTTATGTAGTGTTGAACAGTTTTGAAAAGAAAAGTTTTGCAGTCTCAAGCAGAGTAGGTTAGCGATATCCGTTTTTCTTTTTCTACATTTTTTCTCGGTCGCACAAACATACATGTATAGTCATCTAGCAACGTGGCGACTTTTTTCCTTTACTGGTAGAGGGATACCTAAGTAGGGTTACGGTAGGGTAGAATTGCGATAATGTTTTTGTTATATTTTGTATTTTTTATACTTAACATTAGCAAGAATGATTGAATTTCAAGGAATTTAAGAAAAATAAAGAAAATGATTGGTGAAAAATGAAACTAATATACCTTGCAAATTTACCCATGTAGTTCCATTGCATCTATGCCGAGTGAAGCCCGCATGAGATTTTGTCAGGCAGGTGGTGTCTGTCGGTAATCTCCCGGATGTCAGAAGCTCAGGGCGTACAGCATTTCCATTTAATACGCAATTTGAAATATGTTCCTTTATTCCAGAGATTTCACATTCATTCTGTAATTGATACCGTAAAATAAATATCTTTCTTGCTTACCGTTTTATACTTACATGTACTTTAACAAAACGCCAGTGTTTAGTTAAGTAATGTGAATTGAACTCTTGGAACAAATTTCAATGTAGAAAGTGAAAACTTCGATCTCGTTATGAAATTGATTACTGTAAACTGTCTCAATTGGTAGAACGCCATGGTATGTAACAAATGACAACCTTGATCCGCCTTAAACGTACACGTGGACCTCGAAAATTTGCTCTAGCTTTACACGAGGACTCACCACTATTATGCATAATAATCTCGGACTTAGTACGGTTTAAAAATAATTTTAGATGTAAACAAATCAGAATGTGTATTCTTTGAATAATGCATGTCTATTAACATGGAGTTTTACTCGATAAATTGAAATAAAATTAGTCAACACCTCCCAACATTTAATTACTATTTGTTTAGTTTCCTTAGGGTAGGTCAGACCGAAATATCGTATCCGTTCTGTGTATTCTTACAAATGTGTTCGAAGTGCATTAGCTGACGATTGACAGAAAAGGCCGGAAAGATGTGAATGGCGGTGGGGGTAGGGGTGGAGTGCTTACCTAAAATATGTTTTCTTGGTACCAATATTTTATTAAACACTGGTAGAAGGAGGCCTTTAGAACGCAGCCGAAGTAACATAAAAATTTTGCAAAAACATCGGGAAGCGGATATTCATGTCTAAAATGCAGTTTGTTGCAGAAAACTATATCGCTGTAGTGAATCGAAATTTAAAAGACACGAACAAGTATATTCACCTTTACCGCTCGGCCAAGGACGTTCCTGTACGAGATAAAATATATCGCAGAAAACTAAACCTTACTAATAAGGCCTTATACACAAATTTATCTGAAAATGCTTGGTTCTACCTCATTGTAGGTATGGTCTTGTGTGAACGTTATCCACCACGAATAATAGTCGTTACAAATTAATATTGATTAAAAGTGACAATGGGGGAGAGGGCGGGTGTCCGACTCCTAAATATTTTTTATTTTAATGTGGTTATATTGTACTTGATTCTTAAGGTGAAACAGCACGCTTGACTAATTAAAGACTGGACGTATTATAAAAAAACGATTATGATGTTAGTGCGCATGCTCGTAAAATGGCGGACTTTTATGAATTTTTCAAGGAATAGTTAATAAAGTGCATTTTTCAACAATAAATGGATACAGATTGAATGGTCACAAATAATTTATATGTTTTTATGTTCAAAGTATATAATTGTTATTATCATGCTTTTCTCATGTTCAAAATATGTATTGTTTCGTCTTGTGCCGCCAGAATACTATATGTATTGGCGATAAACATTGTATATATGTTAAGCCAAATAATCATTGAAATTAAAAAAAAAAAAAAAAAAAAAAAAAAAACAACAACAACAAGAACGTGTTTGTTAAACACAAAAGCCCCCGGCTCAGATTCTTGTCAATAACAATATTTAAAATAAAGGCTGTATGGGCAAAAGTGTAAAAAATCTATTTTTAGCACTGGTGACCTTGACCCAACTGACCCCTAACTTCATCCAAAGGAAGAATATCATGCAACTTATTTTCCTACCAAATATGAAATAAATCTGTCAATATATAAAGGCTGTATAGGCAAAAGTGTAAAAATCTATTTTAAGCACTGTTGACCTTGACCCAACTGATCCCTAACTCCATCCAAAGGAAGAATACCATGTAGGTTATCTCCCTATCAATTATAATACAAATCTGTCAATAAATAAAGGCTGTATGAGCAAAAGTGTAAAAATCTATTTTTAGCACTGGTGACCTTGACCCAACTGACCAAATGAGAATACCTCAATTTTATGTTCCTACAAAATATACAAGACATCTGTCGATAGAATAAGCTTAATACACCTGTAAAAGTGTAAAAAATATATTTTTGACATTGGTGACCTTGACCCAAATGACCCCTTACTAAAGGAAAAGGAAGAGGACCTCCCTTGGTATGACTTTTATAAACATGAAAGACATTAACTTAAAAATAAAGGCTGTATGAGCAGAAATGTTTAGATTTATTTTTTTACACAAGTGACCTTGACCTTGACCTAGAGACACCTAACGCCGCCACAAAAAATTAGAGGACCGTTAAAGGTATCCACCTACCAAATATGAAAGATATCATTAAATAAATTATAAATTAAGTAATTAGGTGAAATTTTTTGATACAACTTGGTAGAATACGTCAACCATACAAGGCCCTATTTTCAAAGTGATAAAAAGGGAAATTACTGGGTAAATGGATGGCACATTTAAATAAACTTGGCAATATCATGTACATTGTATTGATAAGTAAGTGTGAAAATTATTAAGCCATTAGTTCAGATAGAACATAAGATATTTCCAACTTGCCGGTTTAGGTTAACCATTATTCATTTTCTAAATGCTGAAAAGGGCCATAACTTGGTGAAAATGGAAGCCATAGTTATGGAACTTGCCCAGATCATATACTTTGTATGGATTAGTAAGTGTGTAAATTATGAAGCCATTGGTACAGGTAGAACTTAAGAAAAATCCAACTTGCCGTTCTAGATTAACCTCATACGGACAGACGGACAGACGGGCGTTCCAACATTTTGGGTTTAGGGGCTATTTTCTTTGTTATTTTCTTTGTTTTCTTAAGGGCTTCTAACCCATAAACCCTTTGATCACGGAATGAACCTATTGTTCTCTTCTCTTTTGTTCTCTTTACTGTTACATAGCCCCTAAACCCAAAATGTTTGCTCGGTCGGACGGACGGACGGTTCAATTACTATATGCCCGGGGGCATAAAAATTGATATAAATATACATGTATTTCTGTGTCGGTATCAAGATAGAACTCAAATGATCAATATATTTGCACCATATAATATGCATGTGACCATGTAAGTAAACGTTAAACACCTTAATGGAAACGACAACGATTTAAAATCTGAATTCAATTCCTTCAGTAACAAAAATGATAGGAGCAAAATTTTAAAGAAAAATTAGAAGTACAAAGAGGAAATATCTCTTGCAATAAAGACGCTTGAATTATACACATTGTTATACATTAGGTGGGTAATGACAAAGAACAATTATACTGAAGTAGATACCATTACTCGTATAATAACAAAGATTATCTTTTAAAGATATAACAATTTCCAAGTTCAAAAATTAAATGAAGATAATTCAGGAAATACACGAGGAAGCTAGAGTTATAAATCTAATCACATATGATAACGATGTTGATAAAAAATATATTTGAAGTCTAAATTTAATCCCTGAAGAAATAAAGGAGTTACTGAAAAAATAAGGAAAACTCTAATAATTCTGAAAATATTGACACATGAACCATGTCATATTATGATGATATGGGAGATGACTTGAAACTTGAATTTCATGTTTGCAGTTAATCCTTTAAACATGATAAAGAAGTTACAGCAATAAACAACAATCTAAGTTCAAGGGGGATCATTTTGGAAATATTCATGCTAGAGTTTAGAATCTTGTCTTTCATGATGTGGGTGACAATAAGTAAAAAATTTTTATAAGTTTAAAGAAGATACCTTAAGAAAGAAAGAAAATATAGTGAAAGGAAAAATCTAAGTCTATGGGGAAATTATTCTGTAAATATTAGTTCTAGAGTAATTAACCTTGACACATAAGATATTAACGTCAATAACGAATATATATATTTGAAGTTTGAAGTTGATCCCTTAAGAAATAAAGAATTAATAGTAAAATATTTTACTGAGCAAAAATCATTAATGTCTGATCTTTAGAGAATCGAAATTAAAAGGACATATTAAAAAGGTATATGTAGCATAAGGTTATAGGACATCTCTCAAAATACTTTATATAGTCTAGCTTACTACAAGATTTTTAATTAACTTTATATTATTGTGTCTACCTATAGTGTGTAGAGTTTGAAACATAACATATCTAGTTTGTGTTAAGTCAAAAACATGTTTAATATATATTTACAAAGAGACTGTTTAGTAATTATCAATATTTCCAAATTTTAAATTTGACCAGAGTGTATCTTTAAGCTCGATTGTAGAAAAAGCTTCGAGCTTATTTAAACCACGTTCGTGTCTTTTCCCTGGAACTTATCAGTACTAGTGTCATTATAGGATAGACTTTGAGCCGTCCTTCCTCTTGTGCTTTCCTATTGACAAACTTTTATTATGATCAATGTTTCGTGATAAGTAAATTTAAACATTTAATTTGAATATTTACAAAATGTAAATTTATAATATTGTTTTTTTTATCTTGTTTGAAAATGCATAAAATCGCTTTAAACATGAAACGTGATAAGGCATATCCCATATTTGTTTCATTACCGGCGAAACTTAATTAACAACTTATAACACACTATTTGCATAAACATTTAATGAAATAACTTAAATATTAGTAAAAAGGCTGAAAATTAAGGTAGTAAAACTAAGAGCGTTAAGTGTTAAAAGCAATGACACTAAAATACTGACAAAATATGAATATCCTAAACTGTCTTCAACAGAAACTCTGGAGCACAAACAAATATGATACAAAAATTCAATACAAAGTTGTGTCCCTTACATCATCAATTTATGAAATACTGAATTCCATAGCCTTTTGAATACTGAACTAACCAATTCATAAGAAATATATACATTTATTTATCATGATTTTAACTTTTTTTATTGTAGTAATGGATATATCATGATTAAATTAATAAATGTTAATAATAAACAATTTTTAAAAACTATAAACACATTAATTTCATGTGGAAATTGTTAAAAACGTTCAAACGTTAAATAACAAAATACAATGAATAATACACTGTGACCTATTTTCGTTAAATTCCCACAAAATAGTTGATGTTATCTAAAATGCAAGCTTGATGTATGATAAGATGATATTCTAATAAATGTTAGATAAACATGTCTTACATTTCCGGCCACGAAATGATTCACAATTTACAGTGAAAATTAGACAATTTGTGAACAAATAATTTAGTAGAATAAAATTTTTGTTAAAGTGTGTGAAGCTTTATCTCTTCTGACTGTAATTTACAAATTTATTGTTTAAATTATGAAAAATAATAATTTCAAAATGCCAGTATAAAAGATATGAGCCGCGTCACGACAAAACCAACATGATGATGCTGGATCCAGACCAGCCTGTTCATCAGCGCAGTCTGATCAGGATCCATGCTGTTCTCTACTTGTTATATGGTTTGTAAGCGAACAGCATGGATCCTGATCAGACTGCGCGGATGCGCAGGCTGGTCTGGATCCATGCTGGTCGCAAACGCATTACGTTGGTTTTGTCATGACGCGGCTCATATATGTTTGTATATTTCCTTTTGTGCGAATGTACTATGCATAAAATCATAGCTAAACGTTAAAAACCTACTTAGAATACCAACGTAATAATTCGTTTCGGATTGCGTACAATATTCATGTGTGTTAAATAACAGAGACAATCTATGTTACAACTCTTTTAAGAGTATGGAAACAAGATAATTGTACCATATAAATTTTGTAAAAATATTTCATCCCTTTAACAGGTATCACATTTAACAAAGATCTAAAGTAAAGTACAATGTAAATAAATTTGTATACAATCGAAAGTTAAGAATTAAGGGTTAATGTACCTCTTTTCGTGCCACAGGTTGAGTCTGTGCTATTCTAATATACTTAAAATTAAAGTGTATTCTGATTTCGTTATCACTTTTTAAGGCATGATTTTCACGTGCTAGATCTCTGTCATTTGACAGAGTTGTGTATTGATGTAAGCTAGAAAAAAAAATCAACATGTGCCAAATACACATTCAATGCGATTATGATAAACAAGTTGTGCCCTTTACATCATAATTATTCGTGACATTTTTCAGGCGCCTTTCAATCGCTATATGTAATAGATACTGTAACTTATATCGTTCAAACTAAAACATTTTGGCTATTGCATCTGTCGTATCATCATAAAGATATTATCTAAAGTGGTATTATGTTTGATATATCATGATGAAAATAAACACAAACGGCAGAAATACAAAACAAATGTTGAATACAAATGAGACAATTGACTATATCAACAATACCATCTTTTGTTTTACGAAATGTTATATTTTTTGAGGTAGCATATGTAGTGTATAGCATTCCACTTTATGCAATAGACAACTTAGTAATTGATACTGTTTTCATGTCTTTAAGTAAATGTCGTCATCATACCATTTTAATAATATTATAATATTTCATGCCTGTTTAATACCTGTTATTCAAGTTTTCTACATGAACCCCCTGTAATAAGTCATAACGTTTCTTTCTTGAATTTAAGATGCTCATTTTTGTTGGGAGGGGCGGGGAAGGGGCACATTCTGAAGATGACTTTCAAAAAGCTAATTCCGCCCCGCTTAACTCAATAGGGAGAGCATTCGATTAGAAATCCAGGGGTCAATGTTTCGGACATCGGGCGTTCGATGAGAAATTCCCCCGTCATCATTGATGTCGGACATTGAGTCTAATGGCCATTTACCTCAGAACTTGTGTGGGAGTAGTAGCCGGTTACTTACGGAGAATAGCTGGTTATCTAGGTGAATTGACCGCCAAGTAATGATACGTTAACACTGGCGTAGAAATAAGACAAAAACAAGCATCAAGAAGCTAATGCATTCAAGCCACAATCTAGTGATGATGAAAATGTTGCTGACAACTAAGAAAGTTTGAGGTGAAACAAACTACATGCATACGCAACAGCAAAATACACTAAGGATCATTCCTTACTTTACTGACAGAGAAGATTCAGATACTTCGAGAGATGAAGATAGGAAAGCATCATCAGATCTCATGTTCACTAAGATTTAAGGATCAAAATGTACAGCTGCCTGTGCAACATAATCCAATTGAGACAATTGTGCATGCCGTTACTAGAAGAGAAAGGCACCGACGAACACCACATTTATAATATTCCAAACGCACATTTTTTATGGAATTAAAATCGACCTGAAGTATTTGACCGTGAATTGGGCCCATATTGACTTTTTGTCTTTTTTAAGTATGTTATCTGATCAAAGAACAGAGCACGTGATATTCACAGTGAGTAGTGCAAAAGTGTTAAGTAAGAATGTTCCTGAATATGGATCGGAAAGTGCATGTCGCTATTCGCCAAAAACAGTGCGGATTAATACAATGCACAAAACAACACACAGAGAAGATGTTCCTATTTTGGAGAAATGCGTGAGACATGACTAAAGATGCGTACATTTACGAAGAAGAAATTATGCATTAAAGGATAAAAATCATAAGAGCGGGCGCCGTTATTGCATGATTTTTGAATATGCATGACTCGGCGCGCTTTGCTAAAATAACTGAACCCTATGACAGCCCTGAAATGGCACCGCATTTGCACGTGACGAAACAGGCTACTTTGAACGAAAAATAAATAGCGAAAACTGCAGTTCCCGGACCAGGCGTTTACATTTGTGCGAGCATGATAATATTATGGTTCGTAATCTCGAGGCTGTTTTCACCCGAGGTAAAAATCATAATATGCCTTTAGATACTTTTATGTCTTCCTTGTGCTATGTTTTTGTTTGTTTTGTTTGTTTGTTTGTTGCTGTTGTTGATTTTTTTATGCAAAGTGTTTACTTTATGTAATTTTTTTCAATATCAATTTCGGTTTCCGAGTAGAGAATTGTCTCTTGTCCTTAGAAAAGTGTCTCTCATGAGAGTTGGTAATTTTTAATCTAAGTGCTTCCAATTATTCCTTTTTGTTGAGAGCAGAGACATACTTCTTTAAATCCACAAGTTGAATCAGGAAGTGTCGTCTGTTGTTTTGAACTTTCAATACGTTAGTTAAGGAGACTCTTGAAAAACATTACTGATTTGCATTTTGATATTACAATTCTTTTACAAGTGTTTGGCATTGGCGAATATCTTAAATTTATTAAGACGGAATGGTAATGTATGTTTATGAGGCCTAATATTCTGATACGATTTGACATCTGACAGACGCGGAGAGTCTTAACTCCTGGCGGCCATTACACTTTTATAAGGTGCATTTAAACGTTACTTTTGTTGTTTCTAACATTATTTTCTGTTCTCAATGCATGCTTTAAATATATTATCATTGTCAAAAAAATGTTGTTATGGTTACTATAAGGGGAACATGTTTGTTTGCCTCTCAAAACAAGTTTTTGTATTCTTTTTTTCTATGAGTTTAATTATAGAAAAATAGCAGGTGAATGACCGTCCAAATGAAAACATAATTCAACTTGCCAATAATTAAGATCGACACTTTATCGTTATCGTATTAAAACAATTTTTTATGTACAGGGCTGCACGTGCATTTCATATTGTGTCTTCGGTAGGCTGTTCATAGATTGGTTTTATATTTGACTCATAAAATATAGGCAAAGTAATTTACGCGGTACGATTCTACAGATCGATTTGTAGTAATTTTCTATCAAAAATCAAATGTCATTCTAAACAAAATATACTATTTTAAAACGGTAAAACTGACAGTACATTTAAATGAATAAAAACAGTAAGTTTGCGAAATGGACAAAATCATCCTGTCACTGTTGGAAATATACTTCCTGCATGGAAGACGTCAATGGGCTTGTCGGACGTAGATTACACTATCCTATCTATTGATAATCGTTGTGCTGAATATTCGTTAACAGTTCGCTGTTAAATCCGGCCGAGGCCAAGCTTGACCCTGTGAAATCATTTATTTGATTCCTATGAGAAATTCTAATTATTTCTTCTGTTTTTCGTTCACTAACAGACGATCACAACCCTTCAGCTCGAAACAATGATTACCAAAGATTTAATTGAATTTAATGAAATTAATAAAATCCGTGGTTTAACTTACCGTTAAAATGTTTTTTTATCAAAATTTAACAACTGATCAGATATTAACATTTTCTGATCAAAATGCAATGTTGAAATGTTGTCAACGTTGAAAAATGACTCAGGGTCACTTTTCAACATTGTGAATTAACCCAAACATTCAATTGTCAACATCCAGGTCAAAATTAAATGCTATACTGCAAGCTTTATAACGTTAATAAAATCATGAAGATCAAAGTTTAAAAAACAAAGCTCACCTCAAAAGTTTCCACTCTTTCAATATTTATGATAAAGCACATTAAAATTAAAGTTATTACAAACATTGTTATTTGCATACAAACTGAATTCTTTATCTGTCATTTGCCCTGCGTGCATTGAAAAATTAAAATGAAAGTCACGTGGCTATATAAAGCAGCGTCTGTCTTATAAAAATCATACAGTTTATTTTTCAAACATTAGACTAAATGCTTTTCCCGTTATATAAAAATCTAGGTTGTCTGTGTTTGCAAATCGTTTATTTACGTTTCAGGCGCATTTTCACTACCTGATTTACCTCCTTTATCGGTCGAGTTCATTCTTATTCAACGTGATATAATTATAGAACATGTGCGCACAAAATAATAAGATATCTTTGCACAATTATGTGTAGTGTAAAGTTCAATTTGTATGGAGGCTTTAAAGGGCCTTAAGTTGTTTTATTGTTTTAATTTACTAGTATTATGATTTATGCATAGAATTTTAATGATATTACAGTTCTCGGTACTGTAATAAATATTACTTTATTCCCTGCGGTGTTGAGACCGCAGGGTATTGGTACGCGTTTTACTTTTGAGGCATGGAGGAGCACGTGACCTGTTTTCGGTACATGGAGGAGCATGTGATCTGTAAACCGTACATGATTGGTTTGACATTTTCGAAAACCTAGCTAAATACCGTTTGCCGGTACGTTACGGATTTACCTGTAGGTAATTACTCCGAATTACACCTAATTAAGAACAAAAAACTATTACGTGATACTTCTAATTTTCTATAATTATTTTACCGTTTAAGGTGGAAAAACTTGAATGATGTGTTTGAAAATTATCAATGTTTCTTTAATATCTATCTCAAATTTTACAAACAATAAATTGTTTATACTGAAAATCTACAAAATAAAAATATTCGTAGTGGCATCTGCCATAATAAATAGAGATATTTTCTGCGTAAACTTGTGTGTTTACTTTATTTATTTTTTGCTCGGAATTATTCATAAAATGGTAGGCCTATTTAATCATTTTCTTAGAAAGAAATAATTGTTTTATGTTCGACCTTCTCCGGTCTTCAACGGTCACCAGTTTCCAAGACCTTCTTCTATATTAATCGTTTATTCAATTGTCAACTATATTCCTGATACAAACGTTTATTTACCCCTCCCCCCATATAATGTTGAAAATAGTTAAATGAAATATCTTTATATCATTAAAATGTTCACCGCAGGAAACCATTTTACTTGTTAATGTTGGTACGTCTATGTTTTTATTTTGGATAGACAAGTCGAAGCAAAAGAAAACTCGCCACGGGGTCTTTCTTTTCACATACACAGGTCTGGAACTGTGAGACGGACCTGCAGGGGTCAGTATCTCGAGGCTATCGTTAGCATAACGACTGTCGTAAGCCTGTCGTTAAGGTTTTCATCGGTATCTCGAAACTCTCGTAATTAACGAATAATCGTTAAAATGTCCAATTATTAACGGGTGCGTAGAAGGTGTCGTATAGCTCTCGTTACTATCACTTTGGCACAAAAGGAAGAATAATTCGAATTTAAAATACACAAAAAATGAGAATTATATCAACGTATTGATTAAAATGATGAATCTACATAAATATGATACTTTATTTCTTTTTCTCACATATCAAACGTATGTAAGAGCTCTTTAAGTTTACACAAAGATGTATATTTAAATGCAAATGAAAAAAATCATATCATTACTAAAGCATCGAAAGGAATAAACTCTAATGTGTAATTTTGCACAAGACAATATAAACAAGAAAAGCATTGGTGCAAAGCATCAAAGGCGACGCAAAAAAAAATTGGTCAAGTTTTGCACCTAAATACTTTACAAAAGATGTGTACTTTATAGCAGTACCATAACATGAGATGATGTGACCTGGAGGCTAGGCCCAGTTTAAGTTGAAACTTAAACCAAAAAGAATAGACTCTGTCTTGCCATGATGCAAAGACAATTTATAGTCAATTAACCAATCTTATAAGACTCATGCCATAAGAGAGAATTTCTTCAGATTTATTTTACCACATACAAGGATACCTGAGTCATCAGCATATAATAAAAGCTTATTGCTTAGGGTTGCAGACATGTTATTGACACAATTAGACATAAAAGAGGACCTCAAATGAACCTCAGGGGGACACCATAGGTACTCGGAGCAGTAGTAGAAGGAGTACCAGCCACATTCACCAGCTACTGTCTATCAGAGATAATACATGAACCATGTAAGAATGTCATTACTTATGGCAGATGCTTGAAGTTTCAGAAGAAGAAGAATAACTTCTTCATGTGCAGTATAGTGTGATCAACTGTATCAAATGCCTTTTGTAGATGCAATACTGCGTTTGTCCATCTAAAATTTAATACAATCTTTAAATGAATCAAACATGTGTCAGTTGAAAAACCACTTCTAAACCCTGACTGAAACTGCCTGACCATGACTCGAACCCATGACTGTCAAAGACCAACTGAGTGATCCGGCCGGCTACACATTTTCTCTAAAATTAATAATGAAACAGTTCTAAACCACAACATATTTCCCCACTATATTAATTTGTGTCCTTGAATTTCTGATGTTTACAGAGCATAGTGAATTAAACTCGGGGTTATATGCAGTCACAGGATGAGAAAACCTTTCAGCTTGACCAGAACTCGAACCTGCAACCCACAGAATAATGCCCCCTCGGCTGTAGCGATTGAGCTACCTGGCCGCTTACACATTTTCTTCCCTAAATAGTGAACAGTTCTAAACCGTGACAGATACTTTAAGATTTTTTTAATTAACAAGTAGATTAATTCTTATTTAAACAAATAAGAAAAAAAAAACATTACATACTCATAGTCTTAATCAAAATAACAATTTATATATTGTATAATTATTTTTACTAATCAAAGGGCTGCAAGCTCTGCGGTATTTTCTGATCTTTGCAATCTAAATCGTACTGTATATCTGTATGTATTTTCCTGTAAAAGTTATTGTTATATACTATAATTCATCTTACAGGGCACCGAGATGCAGCGACTGCGTTTAGATTTTTTACTATAACAGTTTCAGTTTGATACATACGGAATTTTGCATGATTAGAATTGCATCAAAAAATCATTTAATATGTTCATTTTTTATGACAGCCACACTTTATTCTTGCATATCGTGGCTACTTCCTTAGAAAAGACACTTAAAAAATAGGTGCCTCGAAAGGGATTTGAACCCCAGACCTCTCACACCCTAAAAGAGCGCATTACCCCTGCACCACGATGTAATTTCGATGTATTTTGTTCACGATAAACCTGTTGTTTAACACTGATGTAAGTAGTTTACCGAAAATCTTCTCGCCAAAACAGTCCGCAATGTATATATTCCACTACTCACAGTCAGATTTATTTGTGTACTGCGCTCTGCAGTATTCGGTCATCGACATCGCTAAAAATAACATTCATTGATTAAAATGATATTCATCCGCGTAATTTGTGATTCTGCATTTATTGATATTTCTATAAGCCAACGCTATTTTTAAACTTTGAATGCGTTGTAATTTGTTGGATACTTGTAACAAAATAAAAATATTTCTTTCTTTTACACCGCTATTTTTAAGCTGTTTTGACAACTACTTGTTTTTAGGTTTGTCGTGAAAATTATGTGTCAGAGATTGAATGATAGCATTGAATTTCCTGACCTGCGATCAGAAAATACAAAAAGGGCTTAGACAGTAATTGGTTGTGCCATTATTTATAACAGGTCAATTTGAAAGTGAACATAACTGTACTAATACATGTACAATATCTAATTTTTTGTACAGATAAAAAATAACCTTTTTTCTATGATAAGAAATTTTATGAAGGCTGATTTGTATTTTGCATCAGGGGCACCGGGCGAAAACATGAAAATACAACAAACGAACCACCTTGTGGTAGATTGTATTTTCATTTTTTCATCTGGCACCTGGTTACTTTTTGTACTTTGTTGGTTTTCATGTGGCACAAATCACCCACTATAAAATTTAGTGCACTTTATTCAAGGGCAAGTAACAATCTACCCTATGAAAAGTCTGTTGTCGGGTTGACTCTGGAGACCTGGAGGTTGAGACCGGTGTCCCTCCATTACAAATAGATAAGACAGAAGCTGTCCTTTGCAAACTTATGCACATGTTAGAAAAAAATTAGAATTACTATTCAAAATATGATTTTTTGAGACTTTATTAATTATATTGCTTGATCCAAGTTTAAGGACATTTTCAATCAATACATGTATTATCATTTATAAATTTAAATGCAAGTCTCATCCATCATAACTGTATAAGTCTTTAAATACAGTAATATTGTAAGTCACATTATATCTATATACTAAGATACACATGTATGCACATTACATTAATAATTCCCAGTTTCCATTAAAATAAATATAACATCCTTATAACATTGGTACTTGGATGGAATTCATAATCTTGTAGAAAGAAAACTATAATGTATAGTATAAAAGTAAAAAAAAATCTCAAATACATGTAGTCGATATCATATAATAACGATTGAGTTGTGTCAGTGTCTAAACATTAAATGCATATCTCTTACAGTAACAAATAATGTCCATTTTTTAACCTTCCATTAGACTTTACTATATAACTAACTGCATATATAGCAAGTGTTTAAAATTGATAACATCATGATGTTATCCTTTCTCTGTTTTAATATATGGACATGAGCACGTATATGCATAGCTTTAATTTTCTACTTTTCATTTTTACCAAAGGTTATTTTATTTACAATTTATATACAAACACATAGAAAATAATAATTAGTTTCACATAGTGATTAGAAGATTCCTGTAGCAATGTACTAACTGAACAAACTATAGAATAATCCAGTCTAAGGTATATAAAGCCAGTAAAAAAATATATCAGTACTCAGTCCTCAGGGCCTCTATGCTTTTGATTACCTTACAACTGGTAAATTTTATACAACAAAAATAGTTAGTAATACCTAAGTTAGACAGAAAAGAACAAATGATTTAGTAAACATCAGTTGCTTCCCCTTAAAATATAGAAAACCTGAAACCCAAAAGAACACCCTAAACAGCAAAATTATGAAATATTGCAGGCTCAGTTTTATTTAGCAATGCAAAGTTATGGTAAAGTATTCATAAAAAGTTAGATGGCCATGTGACAGCAGTAATTGCAGAAAATCGGATAGCTTCCAGCATCCGGATACTGGTTCACTTTGTAAAAACAATCATTCTGTGCAATAGATAAACGTAATATGGATAAAATCAATAGGATAATCGTTAACAACAGTTCCATTACAGTATGTACCTATCCTAATACTCATTTGTAGGTGCACGTTCTTCTTGTGGGAAAATGTTGAAAATATATAAATGAATGAAAATAAAGTTTCCTTTTAAAAGGAAAGGCTTGCACAGTTGTGCCTTCATCCCAACCCTTTAAAATTTTTTTTTTTTTTTTTTTTTTTGGGGGGGGGGGGGTCAATTTATTATCACATTTTTTTTTTAATTACGGTATTTGTATATCATAAAGGGTTTATTTAGTTGTTTTTTTGTTTTTTTTTGAAAACCGAATATTTTTTGTCAAAACGATTTAGATCTATTCTCTTTTGTATAAAACTAATAAAGAAAATGATCAATCGTAAAAATATTAACGTGATACTGAAGGAAACGTACAAGTGTGCACATCTCACTTCCCCTTTTTCGCAGCGAAATCATTCCTTTGCTTTATAGACAAGTAAATGCACTAAAATACTTCGTTACGTGGTACCAATTAATAAGCATGTATCAAATATGATACATAGATCAGCACATGGCAAGGTTAATGATATGCATGGGCTATTTTTAGATTACCTCACCAAGAAGTTGAATTGCGTTCAGTAGATCTAAATATAACTCGATCATGCGTGATTTGGTAAGCAGGACCACCCTTTGAAGACGGAATAATACTATACAGTCACCATTCTCTATTGTATAAAACTAATACAGACAAAAAAACAATTATAAAAGAAACTAACTTTTGCGTCTTGAAAAACAAATGAAACGGAACAATTTCGTTTATAATTTATTACGGTTTAAACCGATAAATCAAGTAAAAATAGAAATCCTATTTATATACACAAACTGGGATTACCGAAGTAACTAAAATAGCTTAGATTTCCGTAATATTACTCCGCAGTATGACGGAATCGCCCGAATTGTCACGATTGCAATAGGAACTACATCGGCTATTATCATTAATCCGAAGACTGACGGAAAAGGCCGAAAAGTTGCGATTGGCACGATTGCAGCTGGTTTCCCGTTCAATCATGCACCAACAGATGTAAGCAGGAAACCACCTAACCGGAACAAGTTTTCCAGATGAAATGGCTTGCAGCCGTGGCTGCAAGCCAAAAATACGGCATCAAAGTAGACCACAACGATATTCGAAATCCGGTTTTAGTATTGCCAGTAAAGCTTAGGGACAAGCTGTTAAACTGCATGAGTCTGCAATTTTGTGAAAATAATATCACAATGCATATACTTTTTACATACATTTATTAAATACAAATATAACAACATATTTGTTTACTTGATTTTTACGAATCAAAATAAAACTAATTAACACAACATGACATTAACTGTTAATAATAACAGCTCCTTCCATAGGCCAAAATAAAAAGCATTCCATAAGAGACGACGCCGCTCACCGGCGTCGCCAATAAATATTTGCATGTACATAACGTTAAAAATGTAACAAAATTCAGTACTTTTTACAAAATTATATTTCGAAAAGTCATCTGTGATGTAATGACATGAAGAAAAATGCATTACGTTACGCTGCAAAAATCAGTTCAATAGATAAGCATGAAATAAATGGAAATTTTGTTTGTTTAACATAACAGATTGAAATATTTTGCTCTTGCCAACACCAGCTGTTATATTTTCACTTGCTATGTTTTAATTTGTAATACATAATCCTTTCTTAATCCTTTGTTAAAGACAAAACGAAAATGTATTCATTAATTAACAGAAGGTTATATAAACTTAGTGATTATTCAATGAAAATGATATATTTTAAATTAAGACAGGTTGTATTGCCCTATATTAACGGTTGTTTGTAAATATAACCCGAGCCGTCAGGCGAGGTTTATATTGCAAACAACATTTACATACGGCCAGATAACCTGTCAGGAATATTGATAACTAATTTATAAAGCTTCGAACTTCCTTTTTAAAGAGTAAAAGTATGATTTCAAGCTCGCGAAAATATATGGAAATTTATCATGTTTCTTGAAAATATTCTATATTTCACTCAAACGAAAAACATCTTAATATTTCTTTAAAACTAAACCCATCGTCGCTGTCGTCGTTGTATCATCATCATTACTATCATAGTAATAATCATTGTCACTGGTATATCACGATCGTTTTAGAAAAAAAGAAATTTTAGATTATTTATGGTGATACCATTTGCATATACGAGTACATAATCCATTTATTAAGCGTTTACATTGTATACTAAGCAAAATTATGGACTTGAATCTTAATTTATTGTCCTTATATGTGTTTAAATAAACAGACTACTATTATTCAAAATAGATATAATGACGACTGAATGTTCGCTAGTTACATTCATTTAGATATTTGCAATTTCAATATTTCATCCGTGAAAGAAACATTTTCAAGTTTGAATCTTGAGAGCTAACTTACACCCTGAAACAACACGTTGCTGTAGCCTGAAACAATTAAGGGAGGGTATTGAGAAGAAGCTCGGCCAGAATATTTGCTTTGACTTAGTAAAGTGTTTAAAATATCTGATTTCCACTTGCAACCTTTGCTGCACAATCGTCAGTCTCTGCTGTTCTATATACAGTCGTTATCCTAGTCTTGCAGTTCCTATTTTAAGTTTTTACCTTTCAATAGTTAACACGTCAGTTTCATCGGAACTTTCAGCATTTGCAATTCTTCTTTGTTTACGTTTTGTTACGACCATTTCTTCCTGCTTTAACACACTGTTCGCGGTATTCAAATGATTACATAACTCAATCGTTAATAACTAACGAGTAAGAAACGAACGATTGCTTAAATATCGCTTTCAAGATACCCGCTCACCAACCTTTCGTCAATCGTCAGCACGTTCGTAAACGCAAATATAACTATAGCTTCGAGATACTAATCCCAGGTCTCTCGTTCACCAACCTTCCGCCAATCGTTAGCACGTTTGTAAACACAAATATAACGATAGCTTCGAGATACTAACCCCTGGTCATGTAAAACAAAGATAGACCTGCCTACTTGCAGACTCATGAAAACTTCTAAAAGTAATCAGATATTAAAAATTAAGAAAAATATTTCTGTCATAAAACATCTGGATAATTTTTTTTAAAAGATCGTGTAAATTAAATGTACTTAGGAACTTTTCCAACGTGCCTATATTAAATTATGGCCAGCCTATCAAAGTGAAGACTTATTCTAGATTTATTTAATTGCGTCATTTTTCAAAGCAAAAATCTAAGCGGTTCTTCCGGCATTAATTAAGTGACAAAAGAGGACTCTTGAATGTACTTCATAACATACTTATAATACTTAAAGTCACTTAATCCACGTCGTTAAACACTCTTGAAAATTACATAAAAAGTACATACAAATGTGCAAAAAGAATCATATCGAAAAAAATATACAACAAAAACATTGTTGAAAATGCATTTGTGATTAATATGATGTTCTTCCGTTATAGCGAAGACATCAGGAAATCTATATAGTCCGCGATATCAATAAAATTGTTAAATCTCCGTTTAACGCCCCACTCCTTGTATCATGCTCTATTTGTCTTTCTAAACACAAACAAAAGTCAGCCCGCGAAAAATCAAAGTTGATTTCTCCGAATTTGCGCGTACGGTTGCGGAGACGATTTTAAGCTTCGGTATAAATACTTCCATGAAAGCGTTCATTTTTCAGTGTCGTTCTTGAGAATGACGATCTGGCTAGCGACTTTTATGTTTTGTCGATATCTTTAAATACAATAAATATTGCATTATATTTTTTTTGTAATTCGGTGTTCGAGGCATTCGTATCCACTCGTGCCAAATCACACATACATTAGCAGATAATATGTGACTGAGACAATTTTTACGCGGTTATGCCGAGTTCGTGAACGATGTACCGAACCAACGCCGAAACATGCGCTTCATAAAAAGAAGCTGAATTCTATCTTATCTGCTCCCTTCTAGTATCATATGATACTAGTAGTTTGGTAAATGTCTACGGTATACGAAATATAAACTGCGTAATTGTACTTATTTATTTCGACAAAACACAAAACAGCTGTTGAAACTATAGTCTGGTCGTCATTCTCACGAGTTATCTAAAAAGTAAACATCTGAAATGATGGTCAAAGTAAATATCATAACAGTCGTATGCGCATATTCGATTTCAAATGCGGAGCACTCCTTTTACACGTAACAATAAAGCGGAAAATATCTTGAAACGCATTCTTCTCGTGAACCAATTACCACTAGACTCAATCATCTCTAACTTGCTCTTTAACATATTTTGACGGCCCTCTATCAAGTTTGCGCAGGCACCTTAATGTGAAAAAATAAAACACCTTTTAAATGGCTTTATTTACTTAAACTAATGCATGGATCCCCAATAAACTTAATATGTCAGTCCCTGTTTTTTTATAATTTGAAGTGCAGCATGGCCCACGCCTTTAGCACCAGCTAAATTCAACACTAACATGCTGTTGGTCCGTTATAGCTGTTATCTTATCTTAAGTTTACGTCTCATTAACCAATGGATGCTTCTTCTAACAAACGACAGCTTAGAACAAAAAGATTTTTGGCCAAACGTCTGTATACTTGTAACCGACCGGGGAACTGATTCATAATTGTGCCCCTTTATTTATTTTTTGACCGAAGTAGTTAGTATTTTCCCCATGTCCTAACCATTTTTAAGCCTTGAAAATGTGTATTCACAATCCATGCAACAATGTATATACTTTATATAATAAGTATTATTAAATCAATTAACCACAATACACATGTATCTAACACGCTTCAAGAAAGTTGTCAAAAAGATTTAGCGGTCATAACTGATCACATCGGCGACAATTACTACCACCACTTATTGAATGTCGGTACCACTTTGTTAGGAATGGGGAGTTAAGCAGAAAAAATTGAACATTATCATAATTTATCATATTTTATTAATGAAGGCAGCTGTGTCGCAAAAATGAAGCTTTGCTTTTATCTGCATTGACTGCATTTACTTAAATGTATATATGTATATGCATTCTTTCAACGAATTTATAATGAAATGTCAATATTATGTAATAAAATGCATGGTCATAAAACTAAAACAACAAGTACCCGATGAACACTTTAAATGACTGGTTTTCCTTCAAACGCATTTAAACCTAAGATTTGTTTTTGTGACTTCTAAAATGAAAACTGGTAAGTTTGACGAAACAGTGCAAAAATGTTTGGGTTTTTTTGTTATAGTTGTTTCTCAAATAGCGTATGTTTGCACTTTAAGATGACTTCTAAATCATTTTGACACGTCATCTATACTAATATATACCTTTGCTTAACGAATCAAGAATGCTTAACCCTTAGTTATCAACAATAGTTTCATATATAGTCCTTTTTTATGATTTCATATACATGTACTTGAAAGCTCCTGCTCACGTAAGATTGGTAATATTTCATTAATCTTGTTATGGTTTGTCCATGTTTTAAAATTATATATGCTCAGTACTACGACACAATACACGGTCGCGAAGTCTGAACAGTTGCTAACAGTTGATAGAAACGTTCTCGGATTTGCAATCATTCGGATAGTTCTCGCATAATGAATTAAATCCAGATTCCTTGAGAAGATCAATGTAGAATTTTCCAATGGAATTTTTGTCTTCCTGTTCAGTACAATTTGAAAATGTAAAGATGTTGTTGCTTTGAAACACTTCTAGAAAAGATAGAATTTGGTAAAATTAGATCATAAAAAACTAACCTATATTTCTTGCAGAAGACATACTGTCTGTTCGTATGCTTTCTTTCATTTATCTAATAGGCCTATAATGGAGAGAGATGGTTTTTTTTCACAATGAAAAATTATATGATATAATAATAGCATGAGAATAATTGGGTAGAATGTTACAGAATACTAACAGTTGGGTAGCAAACCACTTTACTGATTCCTTCTTTTAACTTTACGTTGCCCTTTCGTGTCAGAAACATTTCAGTACTAATAGAGAATTTTTAAAGAACAACCAATCGCACATTAATACATACATATCTTGCCTATCACTACAATCGTGACACGAGAAGAATATGAAACGACTTTCAAGGGCGAAATACTAAGAAGTAATTTAACAATAAAATATGTCTGAAATAATGACGCTATCATCATATATAATAGTTTATATCATTCAAGATATAAAAATGGAGATACTTATTTACTTTTCGAATAACATTTTCCGACAGGTGTTGAGGGGAACCAATTGCCCGTTGCACCGCAGATATAGAAATGGTCCGGTTTGGCTTCTCTTGGCAGAGTGTAGTCAGCTTTACAGGCGAAGATACATGCTTTCGTATAATCTGTTCTCCAGTTGTTACAGACAACAACCCCGTTAGCTGGAGGCTCCATATCCTTACATGGATGTGCTGGAGAAAAACAACAACAAAAACGATATACATGCATAAAAATAAACAGCTGTTACTGATGCAAATAACAAAAGTTTTGTACTATTTTTCGGCGACTTTCCCTCTTGGCGATCATATTCATGCCTTACCCTGCTGGAACCGAAAGTGATCAGTACAAAAATAAATAGGTTAAAGAGAGACTTAACAGTGAATAACACAAGCGTTCCAAGCTGGATAAAAGCGTATTGACAAGTAGACTGTGAAACATTTTTTACCTTATTTCAGTTTTGTACACATATTGTTTTATTATCAACTCGTCTGGTGACATCGGCCCAAACATATGACAACCTTCGGCGCTGGCCCTAAATTGTTAGCTTTTAATAAGAGTCCAAATGATATTTTTAAAGAAAGAGAAAATCTTGATTATACAGTCGCTTTTAAACATGTAGTTGTTATGTTCAGTAGGTTTTAAATATTAGGTTCAACACGTAAATTCAATTTAAAACATAATTGAGTTTTAAGTCGTAATAGGTTCTAATCTGAGAATTGGGTTGCTATGTATAAATCTAAGTTTAGCTTGTATTTTTGGGATTATAATCTGGGTTTAAAGTTATTATTTTGTCTTATAAGCAGTGAAGTTGAAGTGAAAAGATGTTCTTACTAAGTTGCTTCTTGCATTTCAAGCAGTAAATGAAAATCCTTACGTTTAACTGAAATTTTGAATTTACATTCAGTCCGATAACCATTTGACGGTTTCACTGCTACAAACTGTATGTAAAACTCTCCCCATGGAAACTCGTGGGAATTGGTTTGATAATTCTTCGTGACATGAACAGGTGTACCGTGAGGATCTTCAAACACGGGCTCGTCCCATGTCTGTAAAGTTTTCATGTTTTCTGTAATTATCATCCTGTCTTCAGGACATCCCATAACGACTGGGGGCTGAATATCTGTAGTGAATGAAATAAAGTATAGTCAATCAAAAAAAGTGAATATTTACCAATGGTAAGTTTTCAAATACACTAAAAAACAATGATGTCGAATTTACACTTTTGTTAGCATATAGGCTTTAAACAATAATTAAAAAAAATTTGTAACCCTCATTTTATCTGATATAAAAAACATATTAAATATACATGTATTGCAAAACATATACCATGCGCTAATATTATGTTGAATAGATGACGACACTTGCATGTTTTTTTTTCTCTCTCAAGTTTTATAATGTTGATGTATTTTTAAATTTATAAGGTATTACTAGTTCAAAGCGAAATTTTATAAACAAAAGGTTTAATTTTTCAATTTGACTCTTGGATCAATCCGTACCATAGCTGATAAGAACATTTGTTTTTCTGAAATATCTAGTTTAAGTCCGTCAAGCCTCGTCATTTTCAGTAAACAGTTTTTGGCTATAACGCGTTTTATTTTGCATAAATCAAAAGACATGTTAAACTGATCCTTCTTTTCCGGAGTTACACGGGCATATGATTTATTATATTCTTATTTTGATCAAAATATTATAAATTCTAACATTACCAACGTCACAATTATTTCCGGTCCACCCTTTTCTGCACGTGCATCTGTAGCCCCCTAAGAAATTGGTACATGTTGCCCCGTTCTTACAAGGGCTGCTGTTGCAAGAAACCGCATCTGAAACAAAAACATAATCACGCGTGTACATCTATGTTGTTCACAACAAGGACTACTACTATAAAAATGATTATAAGAAAGTTTCTTACCAGAAATTAATATTGTTTTAAGTTCTATAACTTTCGTAACTCTGAGTTTGACACGGTTATACCTTTTAAGGTACCTTGCAAAGTTAAAATTCCTGGATCCACCATCAGTTTCTGAATCAAGACGTCATTATCATGTTGCAAACTGACAATACCTGATGTAAGAACTAAGATGCTTTAAATTCATGGATTATGATATCGATTTTAGGCAACAATAATCATCGATGATGTTTGAAATTCTATCGATTATACAAATGTAACTTGAACCGAAATTTTCATGTATTTGTACTTTACAGTGATGGCCGTTAAAAACAGTATTTATACTGCGGAGTAGAAACTCTAAAGAAATTATAAATATAAAATAACTAACACTCTTCGAAAGCAAATCGTAGGCACATGTTTATGACAACGAACAAGTTAGTCGCGTTTAAATATCTTACACAGACAAGTTGGAGAAATTCCAGTCCAATATCCATTGGAAGCGCACATTCTTTGTTTATTTCCTTCCAAACCGTATTCCGGGGAACATTCGTATGTAACCCTTGCATTGTAAGTGTACCTGTTATTATCTGTTGTGAAATGGCCATTTGAAATGGAGCTAGGTTGTCCGCATGTTACAACTAAAAAATGAAAAATGAAACATACAAAGTTACAAAGCAATAAGAAAATATTTTGAAATCTAAGCCAGTCATAATAATTACCCAAATTGGACAGATGTTATGCGTAAAAAAACAGTGGTTTGTTGTTTTTTTTTTTTTAAATGTTTTTTTTTTTTTACTTTTCATTTGAAAATAACAATAAAATCCAAGTTAATTCTTAATATACTTCAGGAATCAAGAAGTGGACAAGCAAATTATGTATAGATTTATAGGCACTCCTATAATGATTTTGGACAAGTAAAGCTTTTTAACGCTTTAAACTCAATCGCACAACAAACTTAATTCAATTATGAGGTTATAATTTTATATCGTTTTCCTTTTTAAGTGTCCTAGCTGATCTACCTTTGAATTTCAAATTTTGTATACATAAGTCATTTTGGGCCTTCAATTAGCTCATTTAAAGCTGTAATGATGTGTAATAACTTGTTCCTAATTGAATTTGAAAAAAAGACAGGCCAACGAAAACCAGAATGATATCTTTTATTTTTACCATTGTTGAACGAATTGTTCTTGACACTTTTATATGAGTCCAAAATATTTTGTTTTTCACGAGAGACACCATTTTCTTTAAACTAAAAATGACATTATTGTCTGATTGTTACATCAGCCGCACCTCTATATTGTTTTTATACAATTGAATGCAATCTGTTTGAACACGTTTGATACCCAAGGCATTGTTTATTATATACCCAAAATTGACTCAATGTAAACATTTTAATTTCTAACATTCAGAATACAACCTGATAATAAGATGCGCAGACTGAGGATATAACCTTATTCCTAATTAAACATTATTACCCAATCACGATATTTAGAATTCGATAAAAGCAATTGTTCTTACTATCTCCACAACATGTTCCTTTGTATCCGATTCTGCATCGACAATATCCATATCTGTAAGTTCCACCGTTATAACAATAATTGTTACAACTTTCGCTAGCATAAATGGAGTTTATATAATGATCATAGCTTATACCGCAGTCAGCCAAGCATACTCTCAAGTGAGGAGCGAGTTCGGCTTTACAACAAGTATTCCGGTCTCGTTTACGAGTTCCACCTCCGCATGAACGGCTGCAATCTGACCAAGAGCTCCATGTAATCCATTCACATAAACCATTATTTCCCGGACAGTCTAATGATACAGATAAAAACAAGTTACATAATATTGTTAATGTTACAAAAGTTTTTAAACTAACTGATACCATTTTCCCGTCCTCTATAACTAAAAACCCGCTAGTCTATACAAAGCAGTTGCACATCTTGAACTATACTACAATGTGTCAGTCAAATTGTATGGTGTACCTGCAGTAACATTATTTAACTTCCTTGTGTAATTTGTGGGATGTTCAAGTGTGTCTGAATATTCGTATATCAATTATCCTATATCTATAGCACCAACGTCATTTATAAATATGGTACTATATTTACTTTTTTGTGATTCTTAGTAAATTAAGTTACAATATTAAATGGAATCAAATATTAAAACAAATAAAATCAAATACATAAAAACGTTTAAGTAAAAAACTCTCTCCTTATAATTGACTTAAATGTTTGAAGGCATTTATTATTGCTTACAGTTTATTTTTTGTAACTATTGATAATGTATATAATCCCCAGGAAATTCACATCCAAACCACATTGCACTTGACTATTTTATACTTATATAGTTGTACAGCACATTATTTGAAACCACACTGTAAAGGATTTCTATGATAAAGTGAATTTTCAGAATTAAGATGATGGGTATTTTCAACATGGACTTCTAATATGATCACTTGCAACTTCTAAAACACGACCTGAAATCAATTCCTCTGTATAAAACAACACTTTGGCAAGACTATGAATCTGCCGATAGTTTCATATATAAACGTATGTTGCTTTGACTTTGACTATTGGCATTTGAAACTATAAACTAGACTTTTGAATTTTATACCTTTAAATATGTATATACAATTTGAAAGTTTTAAGTGAAATGCCTTTGTTCAACATTAGAATTCGGTGATTGTCATATTACCAATATCAAAGTGATTATGGTAGTATAAGCTGAAAATAGAAATATCTTTAAACGAGTGCATCTCGTGAACCAAAGGCTGAATTGGCACCAGACAAGGTCATCCCTAATTTGCTCTATAAGATATATTGACGATCCTTTACCAAGTTTGCGAAGGCTCTTTAATATGAAAAAATAAAATACCTTTAATGTCATTATTTACTGAAACCAGTACATGAAACTCTTACTTAATGTGACAACTCCTTTCAAATTTAATCTGTTTAAGGTATAATGTGAAGTTCCGCACCTCTCCGACTTTAACACCAGCTAAAGCGGCATTCATTCTTTAACACGAACGTGCTGAAGCAAATGTTTTGTCGGTCCTTGGTAGATAGAGATTGAATTTTATCTGAAGGTTACTTCACACAAACCAATTAGGGGTGTTTCGTCTTAAAAAACATTACTTAAAACATCAAATCTTTGGCCAAAATATTCTATTGAATGAATCTAAATGACATGTAGCCGTGCGAGGTGCAGAGTCATAATCGTTCCCCTTTGTTTAATTGTTTTACCAAATTAACTAGTATTGTTCCCTTGTCTTGGTCTTTTTCAAACCTTGAATATATATGTATTTACAATCTATGCAAGAAGGTACGTTCTTTTTTTTAACATATTATTAACAAATTATTTAACATTAACTGATTGACCACTACAAACACCTATTTACCACACTTCCATCAAGTTTTCTCAGGGCTGGGGAGACGTATTCTCAGATCATGGCTATTTCTGCATACTTAGGCACATTTTACGCAATTTATGTGAATATTATAATCCTGTTCAAAAAGTGTCTTTTTTAAAGAAAATTGTGAAATAGGAATGCTGTGTCAATGTATCAATATATGGAAACTCTAGCTTATTTAATCCATGGTGCAAAAAGTTATCCATGTTTGACAAAAACAGTAAGCGGTCCTAACCAATCTAATCGGCGACTCTCCACTACCACCACTTATTGAATGTCGTTGTCATTGAGTTAGAAAATGGGTGTATAAAAGAAATATTGTACATTATTTTTCAACATAGTCACTTTAGAGATAAATAATAATAATAATAATAATAATAATAAACGAAACCTATGTTTAACTTTTTTTATTTATAGATTTTGCATAAAATTTCCTTCATGACTTGTCATTAAATGATATAAAGTTTATATAATTAGAACTTTTATACAAAATAGGTTTTGCTTCGTCATCGATAGCTTAAACCTATACATTTAATTATGTCAGAAATTCGCCGAATGAAACAAATATATATAAAGCGTTCGGCATTAAAGATTTTTCGTATAATGTTAAGGTTTGTTTCATAAGTATATACCGTATAAGTGGTTTTTTCTGCGGTGACTTTATTTCTGCGTTTTCTGCGGTCAGTTTCTGCATCGCAGAAATAAAAACCGTAGAATATTTCTCCATGTTTTGTTTTTTTAACGATATGTGTCCTACATTACGACCTGTTTCCTCTTAATTAATAACGACTAACGGATTATAACGTTTAGCCGGTCATCGATTTATATAAAATTGCTTTCGGCTAAGTATGTAATATGTGCTTGTAAGGATGTACCTATTTGTTAATTATGCCAATTTATGAATATAGATATTTAAACATCATATTGTTTGCCTGTACGCTAAAAGGTTTGTTGAACACTAAATCATTATAACCATTTTATACTGCTAAATAATCGTCGTATACATTAATTGTTGTCTGATTTACGATAAACTTTTATCAATTTTATTAAATTAAAGATACTACCGGGGTATATTTTTCACACGTCATTTCATGCTGATCAAAAGATGCATACTGTCTATTGTTGCGCATTATATTTGTTTGCATGATAAATTAATTAAGTTATACAAGTTCATTGTTCTGTCATCGGTTACAAATAATTAAAAGTCAATCTACAGTTATTCGAATGTCATAAGTTGTTGAAGTTAAAATACAATTCATCTTTAATTCTTATAGACAATCCAGGTTATTATATGGAGGATGTTGAAGTAGATATTTTGACTGTTCTAATGACAATGCCAGTCATGACGAAGAAGTGCTTAGTATCATGGCGGCCATTTAAACATGAAAATAGCAAGACAAATGGAATGGGTGGGTCGGTAGGTTGTATCTCGTACTTCTTCGGGGCAGCTTGAGAGCCTCAAGGACTGGATCAAAAAAAGAATTTGCAGGAGCGTGCTCGGTTAACATACCCAGTCTACTGAGCATATGTAATAGAAAGAGCACCGAAACACGAGGCTATCTGATTTGTACGAGTATTAATCAGATTGCCGAGTGTTTTGGTGTTCTTTCTCTTTTGTATCATAGTCAAACATAAAAGCACGTTCCCTGTTGTCACAATATGAAACCCCGGCAAAAATGAACCAATGAACGAACATCTGAATATGACATTTCTGTCGCTTTCCCTGTCTCTGCCGTCACAATATGTAAACCCCAGCAAAAATGAGCCAATCAATGGGCATGCTCTGGAGTGCCGGTAACTAATACCCGCACTCCAGTTAACGCACTGTGCATGTATATGTATACGATTTAACTCTGACACATTTTCAACAGAAAGGTCTCCAAACTATGATACAAGTGAATGATGCTGACTGACGTTTTGGAGGAGGAGCCAGATGTACATATCATTGCAAAATACGTAACGTGACATATTGTGTAAAAACTAATAGTTTAAACTCAAGCGCTAACACTGAATATTGTCATGATTTATAATAAGGTAGCTTTGTCGCTCAAATGGAACTTTTTTCTGTTTTACCTACATTAATTGCAATGATTAAAATGTTCATTGTTTTAACAAACTTATAATGAAATGTCGATATAAAGTTATAAAAATGCATTAACTTGAAAGTAATAACAACAAGTACGTGTAATAACAAAAAAGTCAGTTTCGAAGACTTAAAATGTAGTACAAAACACACACTGTACCCTTCTTTTCTTTTTTGTTGTTGTTTTTCAAATCAAATAGCGTGAAATGACTTCAAAACCATTTACACATGTCACATAGATCAATATGTCTGTGAGCGGGGTACCTTTGTATACGAATCAAGAATCATCAAAAAACAGCTTCACAAATTACCCTTGTTATTATCCCATATATTTAAAACTCTTGGTCGAGTTAGATTGTTAATGTCTCATAAATCCATTTTATTTGGGATTTTTCAAGTTTTGAAAGTGTGTATGCTTATAATTAGTATCGCGACACAATAATCGGTTGTTAAATATGTACAGTTGTTAACATTTGATGGAAACGTTTTCAGATTTGCAATCATCCGGATAGTTCTCACATAATGAATTAAATCCAGATTCCTTGAGAAGATCAATGTAGAATTTTCCTATGGCATCTTTGTCTCCCTGTTCAGTACAGTTTGAAAATGTAAAGATGTTGTTACTCGCAAACACTTCTAGAAAAGATAGAATTTAGTCTAATTAGATCATACAAAACTAATCTATATTTCTTGCAGTAAAAGACATACTGTCTCTTCTTATGCTTTCTATCTAATTGGTCTATAATGGATGTAAATGCTGTTTAATTAATGGACTCATTTTTTTAAATGAAAAATCGTAGAATTGCTATAGAGTGTAATACTAGCATGAAAATAATTGGGTAAAATGCTACAGAATACTATCAGTTAGGTATCAACCACTTTTATGATTCCTTCTTTAAATTTTAAGTTGCCCTTTCGTTTCAAAAACATTTCAGTACCAATTGAGGACCTTTAAAGAAAAACCAATATTACATTCACAAATATATATCTTGCCTATCACTACAATGCGAAATACTAAGAAGAAACTTTACAATAAAAATATGTCTGAAACAACTCAAGTCGTAAGATAAACTAAATACAATTGAATACAATGACGCCATCATGATATATAATAGTTTGTATCATTCAAGATATAAAAGTGGAGATACTTATTTACTTTTCGAATAACATTTTCCGACGGGTGTCGAGGGGAGCCATTTTCCGGTTGCTCCGCAAATATAGAAATGGTCCGGTTTGGTTCCTATAGGCAGAGTGTAGTCAGCTTTACAAGCAAAGATGCATGCTTTCGTATAATCTGTTCTCCAGTTGTTACACACAACACTCCCGTTAGCTGGTGGCTCCATATCCTGACATGGATGCGCTGGAGAAAAGTAACAACAATAAAATATACAACATGTACATGCATAAAAATAAACAGCTTTTACTGAAGCAAATGACAAAAGTTCACTATTTCTAACTTAAGAGAGAGACTTAATTTATCAGTAAATAAGACAACTGTTCCAATCTGGAAAAATGCATATTGACAATTAGACTGACAGCTGAAAGGTTTGTTTTACCTAGTTTTGTACACATTTTCCTTGTTTTTTTTTATTATTATTTCTTATTTTTAATCTTCTAGTGTCTTCAGCCCAAAACGTATGACAACCTGCGGCACTGCCCGTAAATTGTTATCTAATAAGCGTCCAAATCATTTAAATAGAAAATCTTGATTATACAGGCACTTTTTTAAAACGCCGGTGAATTTTTGAGAAACAAAGTTAATTAACTAGGTTTTGGTTCGATTTAATACATAATTTTGGTCGTTATGGGTTCTAATCTGATAATTCGTTTCTTAGTATAGCTTGCATTTAAGGTATCTTAGTTGCAAATTTAAAGTTGTTATTTTGCTTTATAAGCAGTGAAGTTGAAATAAAATACTTTCTTTGTAAGTGGTTACTTGCGTTTCAAGCAATAAATCAAAATTCTTACGTTTGACTGAAATTTTGAATTTACATTCAGTCCGAAAACCATTTGACGGTTTCACTGCTGTAAAATGTATGTAAAACTCCCCCCATGGAAACTCGTGCGAATTTGTTGGGTAGTTATTCGTGACATGAACAGATGTACCATGAGGATCCTCAAACACGGGCTCGTCCCACGTTTGTAAGCTTGTCATGTTTTCTGTAATTATCATCCTATCTTCAGGACATCCCTTCACGACTGGGGGCTGAATATCTGTAGTGAACAAAATCAATTTGGCAGTATTTAGCTTAATCTATGCCATAAATATCTGATTAGGAAATATGCTTTTTGAAATATATTGAAATAGCTTGTTTAAATCCTCTAAGCCTCCTTATTTTCTATTTACAGTTTTATTTTATCTATAAAGCGTTATATTTTGCAGACGTAAGGTAATACTGACCCCTTAAGGGTCGCTTCACACTTCAGAAAGTTTCCAAAGTTTCACAAGCTTATGATTTGTTTTATTCTTATTTTGATCAAAAGGATATGTTTATCACAACTTACCAATGTCACAGTTTTTTCCGATCCACCCTTTTGTGCACGTGCATGTGTATCCCCCTAATAGATTGGTACAATTTGCTCCATTTTGACAAGGGCCGCTGTTGCAAGAAACAGCATCTGAAGATATAGATAATCAAGTTTTTAAGACTTTTGTTTCTCTGAATATAGTTGAATTAAAATTATTAATACGCCGAAATATATAAGGTATATACTATTCAAAGTTGACATTCCTGAATATCTTATCATTCAGGCAAATGAACTAACCAATAGCGATAAAGTTATATTATTGTGTGGTTAAATTACACGAATCTCGATTTACTTTTTCAGGCAATAGTATCAATCTACGACCAATAATATTCTTTCGAATAGGACATTAACCGAGGTTCCGTGTACTGTTGGAACATTTTAGATACTGGTAAGCAAATTTAAAAAACAGCTGTTACTTCTGGAACAGAAAATCTCTATATCATAAAAAATGATACTACTAACACGTACACAATTACACAAATTTAACTAGCTTTTGCATAGGTTTCAAATCTGTTTAAACATCTTACACAGACAAGTTGGAGAACTCCCACTCCAGTACCCATTTGTAGTGCAGGTTCTTTGATTATTTCCTTTCAACCCGTAACCCGAGTTACATTTATAGGTAACTCTTGCATTGTATGTGTAACTCTTGTCACTCGTTGAGAAAGAGCCGTTTGATATTGAGCTAGGTTGTCCACATGTTACAACTGAAAGATGGAAAATGAAACACAAAACGGAAGATACAAACCAATAATAGGAAATGATATTGAAATCTAAGCCAGTCATATTTGTCATATTTGTATTTCAGAAAAAAAACATGTAAAATCACCCGAGTTGGACAAGTGTTTTGCTTTAAAAGAATAGTTTTTTAAATATTTATTTTATGCATTTATATTAGACTATGTGAGTTACATGTTTATTCTAAATCTTTTTTATTTACTTTTCATTTTGAAAGTCAATAACAAGAAATAATGATAAAATCCAAGCCAATCCTTTGTCTATTTCAGGAATCATCCGTTGGACAAGCAAAATGTGTATGGCTTTATAGGCACTCCACTAAGGATTTTGGCTAAATAAAGCGTTAAACGTTTTAAACTCAAATCGCACCAAACAAAAACCTTAAATCAATTTAATTATGAGTAAATTTCTTTACATATATTTCCTTTTTAAGTGTCCCAGTCGATCTATCTTTAAGTTCTAAATTATATGTATATTTTGTATTTCATTGGTTGCCAATTGTCACACTAAAACTTTATACTTATGACGTCTTTTACTGATTGTGACATCAGACACCCCTCTATGAATGCAAATTGTTTAAACACGTTTGACACGCCAACGCATAATTAATGTTATGCTTTAAATTGACTCAGTTAACGAATAATGTAGAAGTCAAGTGCTAATATACAGAACACAACCAGAAAAAAATGCACATACTTGTGGTTAAACCTAATACATTGAATGTGTTGTCCAATTAGAATACTACCATTAATTCGCTTATTTTAGAATTTGATTAAAACGATTACTCTTACCATCTTTACAACATTGTCCTTTGTATCTGCTTGTGCAAGAACAATATCCATTTCTGTAAGTTCCACCGTTATAACAGTATGTATTACAACTCTCGCTTTCGTCAAAGAACTGACTGTGATAATCATAGTCCATATTACAGTCAGTCATACATGGTCTTATTTCGAGTCCGGCCTTACAACAAAAATACCGGTCTCGCTTCCGGGTCCCCCCTGCGCATGATCTGCTACAATCTGACCATGCACGCCATGGAACCCATTCACATCTATCTACACCTCCCGAACAATCTAATGATACAAATAAAAACAAGTTATACAATATTGTTAATGTTAAAAAAGTTGTTAAACTGACAGAAACCATATTTTGTTCGCTCTAACTAAACTCCAGTTTTGATTTAAACTCGTCTATTCAAAACAGTTGCATATTTTAAACTATCTGGTAAAATAGCATTGAAATATGCAATTACGTTATATGGTGTACCTACATGATCATAATTTAGTTTCCGTGTTAAATTTCGTATGCTTGTCTATGCATGCGTATAATTATTATCTCGTATCTATAGCACAAAAGACATTCATATGGTGCTACATCTTACTATTATTATACGTGATTCTTGGTATAATAAGATACAATATTTTATTTCAATCAAACATATAAATACAAAATGTAAATCAAGTACATAAAAAGGTTTGAATTAAAAGGTTTTTAATGAACTTTCTACTTATCATGGATTTAATGTACTGTTGCTCACGGTCAAACATGGTGTAACTATTGAAAATGTAATTAATCGCCTGGGAAATCAAATCTTAAACCGACATGCACTGTATCGGTGTTTACTCATAAGTGCAGTACTCATCATTGTTTACAAACATATTATACCGAATGTGTACGAAGCTTTGCAGTCGGAGGACAACGAAACGCTACCGATCGCTATTGGAATGTAAAAAACACAATCAGTATTTTGACATTCATCTTTGCGTTTTTCAGTAAATAATTTAAGGATGAAAATGAGAAGTATATCCATTTGGCATCACTCTGTACCTGAAAAATCTATAAATGTTTCATTATTGTTCTTTTTGTAAAGAAAATGTAATGTTTAGGATATTAAATAGCAATTATCTTACCTTTACCTATAAAGAAACATTTAAAGCCTCAATATATATGTGTATTCACCACTTCCATGGTACTTCCCAAGTCAGGCCATTTATTTTGCCTCCGTAGCAGGTATTAATTGAACAAGAAATATCACGTGACCACAAATTTGAACAAACAAAGTACCCTTCACTCCTAAATGTAAACCTTTTTGTGATTTTTATAGAATGAAGTTTTGTATTTCAATTGTCCTAAGCACACCGTACAATTTATATTATCAGCTTTCTATAGGTATATAAGATGGTGTGACCCAGATGTCTTTTCCCTTTTATAATAAAGAACAAAAAGATTTCTTGTTCGTCGATTTAACTTCTAGTGGACACTTTATATAATTTCAACTCAACAGGATACACAATGCATCTCAACATCATAGTCATACATTATAAAACATACATCATCATACATACATGCCCTGAAAATATAAATATTCAACATTCCATACTATCATGAAATATAGAGTTTTATACATATGTAATAGTGGTCAGGTTCTAATGAGAATCAATGCTTTACACGGAGACCAAACGATCACAAATTATGACTGGGCTCAGTAGATTTATAAACAAGTGTCACTATATAAAGATGATGGACTAAACAACAACAACTAGTAAATACAATTTCAATCATTTTTTTTAATATATGAAAAGCCCTAACAAATTTAATAAGAATACTTATCAAATGGTATTTAGTTTTATATTAAGAATAACTATTTATTATTTAAAATTAAGATTATGTTTATGATATATTTTATATGTGGTCGATTACAATAAACGTAAACGTTTGTATTTAGGACTAAGTCCAGTTTAATGTTTCAAGTCTAAGCCTTGTAGTACTGTCCAGAGTAGGTACAGTACCTAACTTAGCTAACATTGTCAAAGTCAGCTTATTTATACAATTCAGTATTCACTGCATGATTGGTTGAGAATAATATTGTATATACCATGCAATAAGTATGAAAGATGGTAACTCACAACTTATAGATTAACTGTTAACTTAGTAGATTACCGTAAATACCCATCCTATTACACATACATAATATCATCAATCTATTCTATCAAGAGATCAGTCTATAGGAATAGTCTATTCATTATATCTCATCTAAATAAATCATGTACACATAAAGTACATATTTAATTGTATTACATCATATTATACCTGCATCTAGTGACCACTTAATCATTTACTTATAAAACAATATACAATATATGCTCAACTTAAAAATATACATGTAGCTCCAAAAATATATAAACAATGACATTTAAATATAATATAACATACCAATTGTGGGTCAGAGTCTGTAACTTTATCTCTGTGAAGCACACTGTGATATTAGACTTTGTACTGCAATTACTGTAAATTACAAACATCAGTGCATAACAAATAGAAACAGTGATTTCTAGGAATAACTATAAGATAAGAACATATGCTGTCATCTTAAATTCTAACACTCAAGAATATTACTAATTTATCAAAATAACTTATATCAAATCCACAACTGTATTTGATTACTATAAGTTTTCATTTAGTTGACATTAGACACTTTTAAGAACAAATGAATAAAACATACAAACACCAATTCCTCAATCCAAATCCTTACTTATTATCATATTATTGTATAGTAAGTAAAACCAACATGTCACAATGACCAACACCTTCTATTACACAAAGAATGACCTCAGGTAACCCTAACTTTAGAAGAGAAACGTTATGGATGAGCAGATAGCAAATTAAGATTAAAATCAAACAAGGTTGACAGAGTTGTCTTTCTTGGAAAATAACAAAACCCTTACAATAGGCCTTTCTCAAATTATATGCATACTTTACATTCCATCACCAGAGAGAGGCTAACAGGGCATGAATGTAAACATATAATGTCTGACCTGATAAGCCCTAGTGTGTTAAACTTACTGGGGAAATCTCATTTTTATTCCACTCTGTTATTCCAATTCTAGATATAATTATACCGTTAATTTTCATAAAATACCTAAGGAAGGAAAGGATTGTGAAAATAAGATGGATGAAAGAACATTTCAAGGTAAAATACCATTGTTCTTTTCTATTTAAACCAAGCTACTTAAGTTGTAATATTACTACTTACATTAATTACTCTCATTTCTCATTGTTTTAAATGTTTCATTTATATAAACATAACAATATGTTTGTTCATAAATTTCATTTAAAATATCACACTTATAATGATAACATTTAAAACATAATTGCTTCAGAATCTAAATCAATACCGTTTTTATACTAAAAAGCAATAACGGTTATTTTATGTACTATTTCAGATCAATATTTTTGCAATGGTTGCTCGTTTTGAAGCATTTCACACAATAAGATTAACAATCATTGACATAAATTCATATATGTCTGAAGAGAACAGATGTACCCTGTAGATGGTTCGACTGGAGTAATAATCAACAGACCAGTAAGATGAACACTAAAGAAGAAGATTTCATTACCAGATGAAAGGTATACACAAGACTTAATTTTCATTTTTTACACATTAACAAAGTTCAGTACCTATAAAAAATGTATGTGCAATTAAAATATAAATTGATATATTCTAGAAATGGCATAATTCTTGTTTCCACTTCTAAATAAAGGTATATATTTTTCAGGAATTCCATTGGTAACAGTAATGAACACAATTGACAACTGGTATTTGAATCGCCTTTAATTGTAATATCTCTTCATAGCAGTGGCAAGAAACTATCAAACAGCTCAAAGAAGAATTACAGAAAACTAAGGAAGAAAACAAACAGTGATATTGAACATCTGATACAAACAAAATTTCAGATGTTGACAGTTGTATATTGTGTAATGTTATACAGGATTTCCAACAAAATTTACTATATATTCATTACAGTTTTCAATAGGAAAAACATTAAGAGCGTTTATTATGATGCAAGCAAAACAATCAGCTTGACTGGCGAAATGTTTTTAGCACATTTTAAAGGACCATTTGTTCAGTCTTTTGCGCCTTGAATTTAAATAAAAACTTTAAAAGAAATCATCGCATTACTTTTGTTTTTAACATTGTGCTTTGTTACATATATGGTGCAGGGAATATGTCAACATGTTTATTACATTTAATATTTTGTCCTCTTATTGCATTATATTGTTGAAAGAATATGTCTTGGAATGTTAAAAGAAGTGCTAAATTTCGATGCTGCCTTTCCTAATACCCTACAACTGCAAGGTATTGCGCAGGTTTTCTGCGAATGTTCAGTCCCTTATGTACATGGAATATTTGGGGTTGGTAAGTCCAAGCAACATCCTCTGGAAGTGCCGTGTTCCCTAATGATTTGTTATATACCAGCCAGTTGAGAATTCCAACAATATGACCACATAACCAAGATGGACCAATTGGACAAGTGCAATAATCTAATCATAGTTCAGCTTCGTCTTAAGATTTGACTGATATTTGCAATCAAATGATTGTATTTCGTTATATACTAAGTATTTTATACTGTAATTAATTAAATGGTTGATAATATATAAGTTTTACGTTCCTTACTTAGTATGAAATGTATTTTTACATTGCTGTAAACAACATCATGTGTTATGATACTGAAAATCCATTGAAATGTATAAGACGGGGGTGTCATGTTTAAACAAAATATCATTTTGGTTTGATAAGGCTGTCTGTAAAATTATTCAGTTTCTAGAGAGTCATCCAGAATTTTTTACTTTAAATACAAAGTGAATTAAACTTTTTTAAACTTTTTTTATTTCAATAGCTAAATTTAGGGGAAGTATGGTACAGAATTCAGCATCCAACTGTTTACATCTATTATCAGTTAATTGCTTAATACACTCTTGACCAACATGTGTTGAGGTTAGCAGTAAAATACTGATAAGGCAGATAATGTCTATTAAAGTTGCAAAGAGTTAACCTCATATATTTATACTGACAAAGAATATTAGAAATTACTTGGAATTATCATAAACTTTAAATGACTTATCTGGTCTTGTATGTCCTTCACTGTCTATAGTGTAAATTAAACCCTTTGTTGATTTATTTATCTCCAGAAGAGATTTATTAATGTTAAATATAGTTCTCAACAAGTATGTAGCAAACAAAACATTATCAAGATTCCCGACACTGTAGAAAAATCTTTCGGCCATATATTCATATATTCGTGATATGTTTACATAGAGCAGATACTGCAGCTTGCCCTGTTAGCCTCGTTCTGAGAAATCTATGAATATGTATGAGGTAATATTAAGAAGGGTCTATGGTTGTAAATATTTGGAAACGGTTGAGTATATTTAAACGTTTGCCGGAATATGGCTAACGTACATATTTTTCTCGCCAATACGCCGTCTCAGACTATATTTGCATGTTGTTTTTGTTTGATGATGAAAATATTTTGCGCCTGATTTATTAAGGGTAACATGGTTAAAGCTAGATCACATGTACTTTTAAATACGGTTTACATATGGTTTCAAGTGAAATCATTCTGTTGTCACTTCGTTATAGCGATCTTATGATTATTGATTCTAGCTCCGATTATATAATTATATTATGTGGTTAAAAATTATGAATTGTACACCTGTTAGTCGTAAACATGTTATTATTGGTGTCATGTATATTCCACCAGAATCTTCAAAATATTTTAATCAAGATGAATTGTTAATTTTTGAAAATGAAATTATTGATATGTGTATTGCAAATGAATATGTGCTCATAACCGATGATGCTCATGCCCATATTGCTGAATTAGAAGATTTCACGGAATCGGATGATTTTTTAACAAACCTTTTTGATTTTGATAATGACTTCGTAAATTTTTTTAATCAAACAGATATTTTAGGCCAGTTAGGGTTGAGCATTCTAAGGACATCTAAAGATCATAAGATCAATAGTATAGGTCGGTCTTTTACGGAAGCACAGAGGGGACATTCCGATTTTAATTTTATTTTCCTATCTCGTGGCCACGAGTTATAACTCAGAAAAAAAACAAAAAACAAAAATTCGCTATCTCGTGGCCACGAGTTATATCTCAGAAAAAAACAAAAAACAAAAATTCGCTATCTCGTGGCCACGAGTTATAACTCAGAAAAAAACAAAAAACAAAAGTTCGCTATCTCGTGGCCACGAGTTATAACTCAGAAAAAAACAAAAAACAAAATTCTCTATCTCGTGGCCACGAGTTAGCCGACCAATCAGATAAACACATCTAAGTCGTGGTAACGAGTTAGCTGACCAATAAAATCGAAGATGCGCTCGTTGATTTCGACGCGAGTAGACATACTTGCCAAGATGGCGGCCCATAGAATGATTTTATGTCAACGAAACAGAATAAAAAGCTTACTGGCCGATTAACTCTTGATAACAAGATAGCGAATTTTTGGGGTTTTTTTTTTTTTTTTTTTTTTTTAAGAATGTCAGAAAGGTGAGGGTTGTGAGATTATAAAACAATTTGTTTTTGTATAGTGCTAATAGTATAATGCTTTCCAGCGTTTTAATTATAGCAGATTGGCTATAAGACTAATTGCAACACTGTTATTCAATCCAATGTTTATTTGACTTAAACAATATGAAAAAAAATTAGTTGCCTGAACAGGGATTTGAACTCAAGACCTCTCGCTTCCTAAGCGAGCGCGCAAACCCCTCGGCCACGGTGAATTAATATGATACGGCCTGAAGAAAAGCATGTTATTCTAAATTAGGGTTTGTAACGACGCTAACTGTTGTTTAACACTTGTGTAAATAATCATTACGCTTACTATAAGCATGTATATCTATAAAGAATAAAACAATATTAGAAATCTTCGACCATTCGGGAATTATTTTGCTTGAAAATTAACGCGCCTGTCACGTGATCATATTTACGCAGTGATCTCCCCTGAATTTTTCGGCCTTAGTGTTACATATAAAGGAAAGTAACCGCTTCAAAAAAGCGGACTACTTTCGGCATTTGCAATTAACAGCATTAGAGTCTGAAATTTCGCTACCATTATTTGTTTGGTCTGACGACCCAAACAAATAAAAATCACATGACTATAGATCATGTATTTACCTTAATTTTTTTGATAGAACTAATGCGTATGAAAAAAGTAAGCATTTTGTAGCTTTTATTGATTTTTCCCGAATTCTTGACAATGTAAATAGAGCCCATCTTTTTCATAAATTGATCGATAATGATATTGATGGCAAATTCCTAAGGATTATTCGCAACATGTACATTAACATTAAGTCATGTGTTCAATCAAATGGGGAAGTTTCCTCCATGTTTTCGTGCGACTGTGGCGTGAGACAAGGGGAAAATCTTTCCCCTCTCTTGTTCTCACTTTTTCTTAATGTTTTACTCGATTTTCTGGAATCTAAATGTAATGACGGAATTTCTCTAGAATGCCAAATTGACAATATTGATAGTTTTTTAAGTATATTAGTGTTACTTTTTGCAGATGACACGGTTCTTATTAAAAAAAACCGCAAGAATTCCAAAAATGTTTAAATGATTTTAACGATTATTGTCAAAGATGGGAATTAAAAATTAATACTAGCAAAGCCAAAGTTATTATCTTTGGTTCTAATACACATGGCGTACGCAATATGTCATTTACGCTAAATGGAAATGCTCTGCAAATAATCGATAGTTATAAATACTTAGGCGTTATGTTTAGTCCTAATGGGAAATTTAAGAAAGCAAGAGATCATTTGATTACACAAGCTAGAAAAGCAATGCACCTTTTGTACAAACGAATTAACAATCTTTGTTTACCTCTTGATTTACAACTCAAACTATTTGATAACACCATTGTTCCAATTTTATTATTTTCATGCGAAATATGGGGAATAGAAAATACTCAAGACATCGAAAAAGTACATATTGAATTTTTGCGTAAAATAACAAATTGCAGAAAAAGTACTCCTGCGTACATGCTCTATGGCGAATTAGGTAGATATCCGCTTGAAATTGTTATCAAAACACGTATTATTAAATTTTGGAAAAATTTAGCGCAAGGTCAACAATATAAATACTCAAATTTTATCTACAAATTTATGTTAAATAGTGATTACACATTCAAATGGCTTGATTATGTTAAAACTACCCTTGATATAACCGGTCACAGTGAAATATTCCTTAATCAAAATTTATGTAACGTTCATTTGTTAATTAAACAAACACTGATTGATCAATTTATTACCGACTGGTTTAGTAGAATGCAACTATCAAATAAAGGCAAACTCTATAACTTGTTTAAATTTCAGTTTGAGCGTGAAGACTATTTGACATCATTGCCAAAACACTTATACTTACCTATTCTCAAGTTTAGGACTGCAAATCATAAATTCCCAGTTGAAACTGGCCGTTGGTTTAATATCCTATATGTTAATAGAAAGTGTCCACTATGCCAAAATGACTTAGGTGATGAATTCCATTATTTGATGGTTTGTAATTATTTCACCGAAAAAAGAAAGCAGCTTATTCCAAATTATTTTCACAGTTATCCAAATATCATTAAATACCAAGAACTTCTTAAAAGTAGTAACAGCGAAATCCTAAAAAATCTTAGCATATTTATAGCGCACATCATGAACAAATTTACACGTTAGTTTTACTTTTTGAAATAGTATTTTACTCAGACAGTCAATGACATTCCATAGTAACAGTAATGAATGACGTAAATAAGTTTTACACGCTTTCCAAGTGCTTCACTTTATCTCCTATAGAAATTAGACAGTTAAATATCGCTGTCCCCTTTCTAGTTGTATTACATGTACTATTTTTCGCTTGATTATCTATCATACTTGACGTAAAACATGTAATTGTTTTCTATTTGATACCCACACATGTATTTATTTACTCGATTATTGTAATGTCTGTTGTTACAAATGTAACCTTGACGATATATATCGTAAAAGAATGTTGTATTATATTGTATTGTATTGATATATAATTAGAATTATTAGAATAATACAAAAGAGTCATCACAATCATTTCATTGTTCTTTAAACGTGTTCCCTTATTTCATACTATTCAATCTTTTGAAAAAAGCTTATAGAGTGTTTCTCCCGGATGGCAGTATGTGTCGTATCTCTTTTGCTAAAGGTTAGTTTACTTTATCACGACTCCAAAAGATGAAGAATATGTTCGTTTACATTTATTTTGTAGTGGCCTGATATTTCGTTTTCATCACCCTTGTTATGTGGATTGCTTGTGTAGTTTAAATTACTTCCTTTTTACCTGACAATTTTTTTTCTTTGTTTTACTATTACAATGCATGAACAAGGGATGGTGTTTTATTCATTCAATTTAAACATTTCTTGGCCACAATTGGTACATTAATAGCTTTTTTCGACATTTGACGGAAAGGGCCGAGCTTCCAATTCTCTTTAATTCATTACGCGCAGAGAATGTCTGTTTTGATACATTTCATATTCACAAAGAGCAAACACACTGTTTCTATTCTATTTTATGCATTTTTTCTAAAATAAAACATCTTTTATTTTGTTTATAATCTGACGCAATTAAAGATGGTGCTAGACGTTCAACGGCAATCAATGCGGTGTCACATTTCAATATAGGTGTTTTAATTTAAAGATCATGTAACACATCTTTTTCATAAATATGATGCTTAAATTAAGATTTGTCAATATTGTAAGTTCCAATAAGCATTATTTATAAAAATATTACCGAATTTAACATTTCCTGTAAATAAAGGGAGGCAATTAGAAATTTTTTTTTATAAATTCTAAGTCAAATATTCCAATAAGAAATGAATGCATATAATTTATTGATTTAAATATAATGTGAACAAATTTTTACAGTACACATTTTACATATTCTTTGATGTTTGAAAATTGTTTTATTTGCATAATTATATACATATATAATTTTTTGCAAGTGTGGTATACACACAGTCATCTTCCGACGTCCCTTCGCGGCGTGCACGTCGCTCGGAAGGCATAGGTCACACCAGATGGGTGACCTAGTTAGTTCAACTAGCTGGTGTGACCTAACCAATGGCGAAGGGTGTGGCCCTAAAGAGAGCTGCTGCTCCCGGAAGAGGTGCCTTTCCTCTATTGTGTACCATCGTTCAGGAAGCGAGGAACTGGGTCCTAGAGAAGATCTACGACGAAAGACGGCATGAAAAGACCTCCGTTAGGGCTCTACGATCGACGACGTTGCAGGCGAAATAAGTCCTCCGTTGCAGGCTCCAGAGGCCGATAGTCTGGGACATATGGGAAACCGGCGCCCAGTTTAAATAAAACTTAAAACACAACTAGAACTCCGCGAGTCGGATGTGTCGCCTTGTGAACAATGTAGTTTAGGAGAAATGACCAGGACAAAAATGAAATATGAAAAATAACAAAGGGCAATAACTAAAAAAATAATAAGTGCAGAGCAGCAGTTTCTGTGCACTGCACTTCTTATCAATAAGATCTATCATTCTATGATGTTTCAAGTCCATAGCTTTCATACTTGAGGAGAAATGACCAGGACAAAAATAAAGTAAGAAAATCAACAAAGGGCAATAACTCAAAAAATAAGAAATGCAGAGTATCAGTTCTTATGCACTGCACTTTTTCTTAATGAGATCTATCATCCTATGAAGTTTCAAGTCCATAACTTTTATACTTTCGGAGAAATGGCCTGGACAAAAAAATTAAGTATGAAAATTAACAAAGGGCCATAACTCAAAAATACCAAGAGTACCGATTTTTGTACACTGCACTTCTTCTTAATGAGATCTATCATCCTATGAAGTTTCAAGTTCATAGCTTTTATATTCAAGGAGAAATGGCCCGGACAAAATTAAAGTATGAAAATAAACAAAGGGCAATAACTCAAAAAATAAGAACTGCAGAGTACCGGTCCTTGTGCACTGCACTTCTTCTTAATGAGACCTATCATCCTATGAAGTTTCAAGTCCATGGCTTTTATACATTAGGAGAAATGGCCCGGACAAAAATAAAGTATGAAAATTAACAAAGGGCAATAACTCAAAAATTAGGAAGTGCAGAGTACCGGTTCTTGTACACTGCACTTCTTCTTAATGAGATCTATCATCCTATGAAGTTTGAGTCCATAGCTTTTATATTTAAGGAGAAATGGCCCGGACAAAATTAAAGTATGAAAATAAACAAAGGGCAATAACTCAAAAAAATAAGAAATGCAGAGTACCTGTTCTTGTGCACTGCACTTTTTCTTAATGAGACCTATCATCCTATGAAGTTTCAAGTCCATGGCTTGTTATACATTAGGAGAAATGGCCCGGACAAAAATATAAAGTATGAAAATTAACAAAGGGCAATAACTCAAAAATTAGGAAGTGCAGAGTACCGGTTTTTGTGCACTGCACTTCTTCTTAATGAGATCTATCATCCTATGAAGTTTCAAGTCCATAGTTTTTTTAGTTGAAGAGAAATGGCCCGGACAAAATTAAAGTATGAAAATTAACAAATGGCAATAACTCAAAAAATAAGAACTGCAGAGTACCGGTCCTTGTGCACTGCACTTCGGGTTATTGAAAGAAGCATGCATACCAAGTTTGAAGTCAATCAGACTTATAGTGACTGAGTTATGTTCCGGACAAGCTTTAGGGGACGCCGACAACGACGCCGACAACGACGCCGCCGACACAGACGCCGCCGACACCGCCGACAAAAGTAACCCCTATATGTCACTTTTCAAGGCGACACAAAAAAGTATACACACAGTAACAATATCAATCACAAAACATACAGGATCTTTAAAAATTGCATGTATATGATTTAAAGAACAACACAAACGCTAATGCACACATGTCAAAGTTTTGAGACTCTGGTTTATTGATAGCAACTGCTATAGCATAAGCACCACTTACCATCGACGTCCCGATATAGCGTCCATGTGCACTCACTGAATGATCGATGTAATCGGATTAGAAATGGGACATAAACAGATATATTGTGCATTTGTATATTTTATCACATTTTATTTATTAAGAAAGCTGTTTGTCTTTGTCTGTTTTTGTCTATTATAGTTGCATTTATTAATAAAATTATACTTTCGCAAAGTTGTTACGTTTATTAACATTTGATGGAAACGTTTTCGGATTTACAATCATTCGGATAGTGCTCACATAATGAATTAAATCCAGATTTCTTGAGAAGAGCAATGTAGAATTTTCCTATGGAATCTCTGTCTCCCTGTTCAGTACACGTTGAATATGTGTTGATGTTGTTGCTGGGAAACACTTCTAGAAAAGATAGAATTTGGTAAAATTAGAACAGAACAGAACAAAATCTTTATTGTAGACTTGAGCTCTACGCTCCTCGTCTATATAAATACAATACATAAAATACAAAAGTCAAATCAATTATAGCATGAGTACAGAGAGAGATAAATAAACTTTCTGAATAACATTTTATGTGTAACAGAAACTAATGCAATTCGTGAGTACAAATCGCCACAGTAACTCTGGCAATTTTTGAATATAACGTATTTAATGTTGTTGTTTTTTAACAAATGTCACTAGTGAAGGTTATACAAAACATAAAATTACAGCAGTTCGTTGGATCTGATTTTTAAAGCACAATTAAGATAACATGCTAATTTGTTTAAAACATCTATGTTTGTGACTGACATTAATTCAAGAAATTTTAACATGCTAGGTCGTTCATAATAATAATTGTCTATGTAACGTTTCCTAATCCATTTATACTTGGGACACATAATAACAAAATGGAACTCATCTTCAATATCAGAAAAATTACATATTTCACGACGTCTTTCAGTTCTTTCAATTCTATTTTGTCCATACCTTCCTGTTTCGATGCGTAATTTGTGATTTTAGATCATACAAAACTAATCTATATTTCGTACAGTGAAAGACATACTATCACTTAGAACTAACATACTATGCATTCTATCTTTTATCCAATGAGTCCATAATGAAGATAAATATAGTTATTTATGAATTTGTCCCATTTGTGTTTTTAAAATGACAAAGTATTGAATCACAGTACGAAACATTATAGCAAGAGGGTGACTAGTCTGAATTACCTGCCCCTAAATGCTTACACAGAGGGCCAGTCACACGCTAAAAATGGCTTCCACTATTTGAATGCTTAAGTTAAGGGGACTTTATTATATATCGATCATCTTGAAAACACATGTTTTTCAATCAAAGCTCCATGTCATTGTTTTTATTAATGTTATGGTTTATACGATAATCGGATTGAATTACAGTCAATGAAGGGAAATAATTTAGGATACTAGTAAAACAGACGTAAAGGTAATTTCGGATAAAAGGACATTTAAAAATCGTTTCATGCAAGATGTTTTCTTCTCGGAAACGATATGTATAAATATGAAATTGTAGATAAATAATAAAACAGACAGTGAAACTATATTTTAGAAAGATCATCATCGTAAATTAAGAAAGACTAAAAAAGAAGCGCCTATGCAGAGTATTCATGCATTTACTTCTTTAGGGACTAAAATTCCAGCAACAAAACAACATGTCACATTTAGAATCATACTACTCAAACATGGTCCTTATTCCTGGTCGCTTAAAATTACTTTATATAGACCTACGCCACAAAAAAGAGAATAAAAAACGGGGCTTCAAATGTGGTAAAGCGGGCGGATGTAAGCAAGATAGCACACATATTTGTATTCATTTAACTTACATTCAAATTTGTTAATGCCAATGATCTTTACTTATTTACTTTAATATAATTCAAATAATGACATAATTATGTAGATACAAATGTACCTATTAGAAGTCATCTAAACAAAAATGATTAAATATGTATGCAAAGATTTAATATTTTGTAAATTAAAGTTTTTCTATAAAGTTTTTTTCCTTGGACCTTTTTTTCTCTTTTCTGTTTTACCATCAACATGACCGTTGGTGGCAAGTGATCACTAAAATCGATAATTGAGTTTCAACTATAAATATTTTCTAGCAAAATATCTATCCCCTTTTGTCTGAAATAAAAGAAACGGTTAATAAACAATTTCCGTACATTAAGTTTAGGCCTGTTCCTGATATTTTATATGCATATATTGATTAAGAAATATTCAAAAGGAACGATTTCATATCGGCTTATAAGAAGATCTCAAGATCAGTTAAAATGAATGAAATATCACAAGAAATTAAAATTGAACCGCTGAAACAGTTGTTAGTAAAGAGGATTCGTGAACGTTGCGAGAGTTAAGAAAAGAAATCATCATTGTGGTGTAGCTTTTTACAATTATAGTGAAGTTATGATATATGTTTGATTCATTTTATGAGGAGCAAAGAACAAAATGAATTACTCACGGATAGGATTGACAAATGTCTCAATGTTTTGAAATTTAGGAAAAATGTACCTTCAATACTTAGTGACTCCATCTAGAAATTTTATATCGTACACATGAAGGTCTGCTTCAAACAAAAGTACTAACATCGGGGGAAAATAATGAAAGAAATGCAACTTAATTAATATTTGCTAGGTAAATTGTCCGTTGTTTCATGGTTGAAATGTGATGACTGCCAGGTTTGAGGATAAAATGTACACTATACATAACATGTACATTAATTTGTAATAGATTGATTAATTCGTTCAACTATGTAAATACATTTTCCAGATTTATGTATATAAAAAAACACATCCATATAACTATATGAATGAATATAGATATTTTAGCTTTTTGTTGTTACGTGAGATATCATAAGAATAATGACTGACGACTGACTATCATCACATATCCGGATTTGTTTTCAAAATTTATGTTCAGTTTAAATCATACACAAAGCTGCGTAATCTGATAATTCATTAATTATTTCATATGATTTTAATTGTATTTACTGCCTACAAAAATCTAAACATTTTTACACATGATCAATTTTATTAAAATCTTTAATACTTCAAACATCGCATAAGGGATGACCATTATTGGCGTGTGCCAGGCTCATTATACACCAAGCAAGAGAATAACTTGGTAAAATTGTACAGACAAATCGTACAATTGGAAAGCAAACCACTACAAAGATTCTCCTTTAAATTTTATGTTGCCCGTTCGTTTACAAACATTTTAGTAATGATTGAGGGCCAATCTAACGATAATATCTCACCTGTCAGTGGAATAATGACATGATGAAACACTTACAATTTATTTTACAAGCAAAAAAAATGTTCGAAATAACTCAAATCTTAAGATAAACTAAACAGTTAAGTCACAAATGAATACAATGACTCAATCATGATATAATATTTACATGTAAATATATTATAAATAAAATCTTATAGTGAAGATACTTATTTACTTTTTGAATAACATTTCTTGACGGGCGTTGAGGGCAGCCAATTTCCGGTTGCTCCGCAGATATAGAAATGGTCCGGTTTAGATCCTGGTGGCAGAGTGTAGTCAGCTTTACAAACAAAGACACATGCTCTGGTATAATCTGTTGTCCAGTTGTTACACACAACAATACCGTTAGCTGGAGGCTCCATATCCTTACACGGTCGCGCTTAAAAAAAAAACACACACAACAAAATATACATGTATGGAAATTATGAATATAATATACTTTGATTTGAAATTTATAAGAAAGCACAAAAGCTGTTCAGCTAAGGAGACAATGTGAAAGCTGATAATAAAAATTGGGGGCATGTTAAGGATGAGCAGGTTGAAATATAAAGAAAAAAATGAATTAATTGTAAATTAATTAATTGTTCAATTATGTAAAAATTTAATTTTGTTATAACAAAATCCAATCAATAATAATAATGAATAAGTCATTTTAGACTTTTTGTTGTTACGGAATATTTGATGTAATGATACGAAATATAATATTGGAATGTTTTCAAAATTATCCTTAAAAAGTAAAGGGAATTGTAATTATTAATTATTTAAAGAAAAATTGTATTTAACGCACAAAAATCTGTAAATTTCTTCAAAGTATGAATTTATAAAATATAACTTCATCGATAAGGAATAGTATTTTGGTTTGAGCAGGCTCATTATAAAAAAGAATAATTTAAAAAAAACATCTTACAGTTAAAAAAATCTAAAGATTCTCGCATGTAAATTTTCAATTTGCGCTAGTTTAAAACCTTTAGCATAAGATTGGAATGATAACGATAAATCTACTTCTGAATATGAGTTGATCCTTAGAAATAAAGAAAAAACAGTCAGAAATAACTTTTAAGGGAAAACTAAAGTTAAGTCAGCAGAATAAAATCAACTGAAAATATTATGTAAGTTAATAACTAATCATATAAAAACTATTCTGTTTGAAATAACATTATTTGAAGTTTGAAGGAGCCTTTCTTAAAGAAATGGACCAGTTTTATAGTGGCAAGTGTTATCACTTTAGCAACAAAACAATCTAAAATCTGATCTCCGGACCCGCCGACGCGGGGCGCACCGTGGAAAAAAAAAAGCTATCATTATAAATTTCGTAATAGTCGATGCTTAAAAAAAACTAATCGTCTTGACAGTCAGATTCTAACGTTTATCTATTATTCGTTGAAACCGAAAGTGGAACCAGGCAAGCCTACAAGTCCGAGCTAACTAACAAGATTCTGTGCTGTTGGCCAACTTACTTAATGCGCACCTTGATATCACCAAAATTGATAAATAAGACAGGTTATTAAGTCCATTTAAAAATCCTGGAGATTTAGAGTTAAAGACAGACTAGATTGTACTGATAAATAAACCAAGCATTTCCGGTTAGATATTGTGTTTAAATGTTTAAAGCGCGTGCTTCTTTTCAATTTAAAATGGATTTGTTTTTGTAATAGGTAAGTTGTAATGGATAATCTTAAGCTGTCAATTTGGATCCTATGTGTAAAACTCTAATTCTAGCTTGCATTTTTAGGATCTTAGTTATTACTTGGGTTTTAAGTTGTAATTTTGGCTTTTCAGCATTTAAGTTTGAATGATGAAGCCTTTTTAAAAGTGGGTACTCGCGTTTCATGAAGTGAATCAAAATTCTTACGTTTAACTGAAATTTTGAATTTACATTCAGTCCGATAACCATTTGACGGTTTCACTGCTGCAAAATGTATGTAAAACTCTCCCCATGGAAACTCGTGCGAATTTGTTTGATAATTCTTCGTGATATGAACAGGTGTACCGTGAGGGTCCTCAAACACGGGTTCATGCCATGTTTGTAAGCTTGTCATATTTTCTGTAATTATCATCCTGTCTCCAGGACATCGCATAACGACTGGGGGCTGAATATCTAAAGTATTTAGACGATGTATAAATAAGTGTACATTTACCAATATCTATGTCTTCAAAACTTCTGAATACACTGATGTGGAGTTTACACAATTGTTTGCATATAGACTATTCACAATTTGTTTGTAACTGGAATTTCAGCTCGGGTAACCTAGCTTTGATATAAAAACATAATATAGTTTACAATAATACAGTAATATTTACCCTGATCAGAGCGACATAATTTTATGTATCAAACATTTAAGCTTATTGTAGCCTATCTATATGTTCTATGCAAAATGATGTAAATCAAGTTCTTATATTACGTTTGAATGTTTTATTTCAAATGTTTTTCTAGTCGTTGATATGTTTTTGTTTTTAAGTCATATATAATTATTCATTTAAACATTTCTAGTTCAAAGTAAAGAATTTTATGAACAAAACGGTTTTTGTTTTGTTTAATCTTTAACTTCTGATTTGTTTTAAATATTTGAAATAGCTCGTTTAAATCCAACAAGCCTCGTCACTTTTCTTAAAATTATCTGCAAAGCGGTAAAGTTTTATGGCATTAATCAAGGTTATACTGGAACTTAAAATTTCGCTTAAAAGTACGGAAAATGACGATCTTTTCCGAAGTTTAACGAGCTTATGATTGATTTTATTCTTTAATTTGATCAAAATATATGTAAATCCTAACTTTACCAACGTCACAAATGTTTCCAGTCCACCCTTTACCGCACACACACTTGTAACCGCCTAACATATTAGTACATGTTGCTCCGTTCTTACAAGGGCTACTATTACAAGATACCGCATCTGAAAAAAAAATATCTACACCTATTCAACTATGTTGTACAAAATAACGATTTAAGGAAAAATCGTTGAAAGTTGAAATTCCTAGATAGGCAAATGTAATATCAAATCACAAGATAATCACACTCTTAAGCTATGATGTCATTATCATGCTTAAAACTGACAACATCTAGTGTAAGAACCAAGAGTTTTTACGTGTTTCCGACGACGAACTAGTTAGTGCCAGGATTTTAAATGTTTTTAATATCTTACACAGACAAGTTGGAGAACTCCCAGACCAGGATCCATATCTAGTGCAGGTTCTTTGATAATTTCCTTTCAAACCATAACGCGGCAGACATTTATAGGTAACTCTTGCATTGTAAGTATACCTGTCGTCATTCGTTGAGAAATCGCCGTTTAAAATGGAGCTAGGCCGTCCACATTTTACCTCTGAAATATGAAAGATAAAAACGGAAACGGAAGTTTAAAAACAATAACCATAATAATATTGAAATCTAGGTCAACCTTTTTTCTATTTCAGAAATTTAATCTGCAAAATTTTTACGAGTTGGACAAGTGCTATGCTTTAAAATATCTTGGGGTTTTTGTAATATTTTATTGTGCATTTATAATAAAATATGTGTGTGAAAAAATTTATTTAAATTAGAATGATGTAACAGAATAGCCTAGGGGATAAAAAGCAAAAAGACAAGGAAGTTTAAAAATGTATTAAATATTATTATTACTTATAAGCCCTTTATGTTGTTGTTGTTTTTGTTGTGTTGTTTTTTGTGGCTTTTGTATTTAGAAATATAAAGAATTTAAAGTATGTTTAGACTTAAGCCATAATTTTGGTTTCGCTTTTTTAGAAATAATGTTTAATATTTGGTTAACTATGTCAAATTAATAGACAGTGAGAGAATCCCTTGAAAATCCCGTTTTTCATCTGGCAATTTTATTTTGCCTGATAAAATATATGTTTTGAAAATTAAATAAAAGCTTAAAAAATGGATTAAACTTTTATATATTTTTGTCTGAGAATTTGTAAGAATTTCAAATTTATTATGCCTAGCCCTTTGGACCTCAAAGCCTTAAGGAGCTCCTTTAAAGCCTTTTAATAATTTGTAAAATATAGAATATGAAGGCCCACTATTACTTTAATACTACACTAATTTTTTTCTTAACTGTGTTTGTATTTTTTTGGATCGGAATTGTCTTAACAGTTTAATAAAAGTCGTCCGAGATATTAAACTATACATGCATTTGATTGATTTTAAGTAACACAGACACCCTGTGACCAACCCTGGACATGTACAAAAACCCCACCTCATCTAATTTATAAGAATTATCACTATTTTTGGGATTACGCAATGACCACTACACCCTTCCCTGCCCTATCGTCCAGATAGAGCTTTCAAGTATTTTATCTGGCAGTCTATGCAAGCATATAGAGTGGCTACTTAAATTCCTACGCGTATTTGCATAGCACTATATGCCGGTATTTCCTCAAGCAAAGAGGGTGTAAAACTGCAGCTTAGATTTAATTTTGCTTCACTAAAGGTTTTCTTATTACTGTTAAACAACCCTATCCTCCCATTTATGCACTGGTTCCAAGTCAGATGTCAGTGACAGTATGAGGTTTGTTTTGAGACTCCTGCATCATCTACATAAACATCTATACATATCTACTAGCTGAATTGCATGAGCATCTAGAGGACTTTTTATCCCAATTAAAAGGCTCTATCCAGCGACTTACAAATTCTTTTATTGACACATAAGCAACAACATTAGGAAAAAGCTCTGTTACTATGATGTCAATAATTAGAGTTTGTTTTCATAATGGCATTGTTATAAAGCCAAAGGATTCAATCTTAACAATCAAGCTCAAGCAATAACAAGACCATTATAAAAAACGTTAGTTATTGACATTTTTGTGTGGCGTTAGCTTCATAATGGCCATGCATGTCTGAATCTTATAAAGGCCGACTTTTCTCGTGATGGATGTATTTTTTATAATGGCCGCGTTTTCTATCCATAATGTCAGGGTGAAAAGTATCAGCTCTAAATTTGAAGTGGTAATGTGTCAATATTGGACACTTAATTAATAATGCATATTATAAAACTCATATTGAATCATAAACCTCCGAACACTAGGCCAGACTGAGACGAAAGATAAAAGTGTTTTATCGCTTTATCGCCCTGTCACTTTGTCATCGAATAAGATGCAATGGTCATGACTCCAAACTCTGGTAAATGCTAGTTTCATTTTATTTACAGGAAACCCTAAGCCACGCACTTTCTGAATAATTAACATAAAAAGCAAAAAAAAAAAAACTATTATATTATGCAAACGCTTCGGCTTAAAAAGTTATAACAGTAACTTTTAATTGAAGCCGGTACAAAGTAGAAAACGGTCAAACTGTTCTACTGAACAGATAAGCTACAACATGTACATCAAGGCTAAAATTGCTCAAGAGTTTTGTATTTGTAACTCATTAACACACTACTACTACTACATGAAATTGTATGAATATACGTACTAAATTCAAATGAAAAAAGTTTGCTTTGTATTAACACACTTGTGCTTTATTCATTTTAAAACAAATAAAGGTGTTTGAATATTCAGTTAAATATTTCATATTTGCATAGGTTTTGTGATCCAGATACTTTCCAATTTCTTAATATTACACAAAATAGCTAGGCCTTTGCAATTTTGAAATGAGAATAGAAAGTAATCAAAAGTAATCACGGTTGCCGATGATTAAATGCATGTACAAATAATGTTATTTAGTCAATCCCTGAAGAAAATTTATCCATTGTAAATGTTTAAGAATAAGGATTCTTGCATATCAGACTGATGTTTCCGTGAGTTTGACCCATGCCGGAAATTTCATCTTGCATAGGGGGGTGGGGGGGGGGTGGGGGTGCCAGATGAGTCGCGTGCTGTACAATGGCGCGCTCAGGATGACGTCATTTTACCGTTATGAATGAATTTGTAATTCATACGCTGTTGTAAGAAAGCAGTTACGGTTGTAATTATATAAATTTTCATTGAAATTATAGATAAAGAATTCAAAATATAATTGAATATGGTAGAATATGCAAGAAAAAATATCTGACATATGTTTGCGGTTCGGATCGGAATATCCGTCCCTCGGTCACCCACCCATGGGCGGGTCACCTCGGGACGGATATTCCGATCCGAACCGCAAAATACATGTATGACAGATATTATTAATAATAACGACTTAATGACTTACTTTTTTAAGTAATTTGCACAAGGTCTGATTATGGCTACTAAAACCCATAAGCTGTGGTAAAGTTGAGTGATATGTTTCTACAAGTAATGATCCAAGACACAACTAGGTACACTTATATAATTAAGGCACCGCTTGTCTTGCAGTTATCCTTACTCCCAACATTACTAAATGTTCAGAGACTGAGTCTCCGTTAAACTTCTCTTCCCCGACCATTACTTAATAGGACATAGCCCTTCCTTTAACTACCATTACCACCACTATTACTAGCTGGTAGAGGCAGAACCTAAGTCCCCAAGACATTCATCATCAACGTCAACATTATTTAATCTGAGAGCGAACTTCCCATACAAAACGTTATAGCCTCAGGCGCATGATCAATGGGCAGAATTGTAGAAGAGTTATCGTATGACTGGTATGATTGCTTATCAGTTCTTACCACCACTACTTCTCCACCACTACTTCTCCACCACTACTCCCTAATCTACTTATTTTTTTCTGTATTTATCACCCCCCTAAAAATGTATGGACCAATAATTCTACTGGTATTTACAGACAGATGATTTGACTTCTTGGATACTGTTGGGATCACTAATGTTAATTTCAAGCCCCTCCTAACATGCCTAATATTCCTCCAAACCTGACTTGTTATAAAACTAGCCACGCTAATAAACGCTAAGGACTTTTTCAGCTCAGGCATATAACTTGTTTGCCGAAAAACGTTCAATATTCACCAGTTTTTCAATTGCGTTTCAGCTGGTTCTTGTGGGATTTGAAAATGATAGTGCCGTGTTAGCTTTTTATAGAATTAAACTACTTTCTTCATATACGAACCGCAAAGCCAGTGTGTGGGCTTCTACAGGGTAAACAATGTATGATATATTTCTCAACTGTCAGTGTTTAAAACTGCAAAATTTAACTTATTGGTAAGAATTGACCGTTGATACATAAAGAAAGGACAGCTTAATAAATAATGTTTTTCGGTGCCTAAATCATCTAGGTCACAAAGTGTGCACTTTCTGTCATTGAATACTGTTCCGTCCCACCTGCCGGTTTCAACAGGAAATTTATGATTAGAAGACCGAAATTTAAACAAATTTAATGCGTCACTATGCGGCAATAAGTTGAAATATGATTCAAATTCTTATGTGGATTTAAATGAATTATATATTTTGCCTTTATTAGAAGATTGCAAATTCCCGTACCATTGTTGCTTGTATACTGATCTATTAACGTGAGTTTTACCAATGCACGTGTATTTAACGGTATATTTGTAACCACAGGTATGAACGGCCAGCTAAATCAAGTATTCTCTTAACGTACGAGGTCCATTTAAAAGTTGCGGTTTGACGATTTACCATATATGTATAAAGTTTAAACGATAACTTGTTATGGTCACCAGATAGTAAGCGTGTCCAAAATCCTATCATCCTGCTTTTAACTACAACTGAGATAGGATACCTTCCCAATTCACCGTGTAATATATAAATAGGTGTACCTATAGGAGTAACAATAACCATATTTGATATTAAAGGCGTGGCTTAATCTATCTTGTAGACTTGCTTACTATATAGATACGTAGACTTAGTCTCTTAATTGGTTGTCCAATTTAAATACTACCATTCATTCACTCATTTTAGAATTTGATAAAAGCAATTACACTTACCATCTTTACAACATTGTCCTTTGTATCTGTTTGTGCAAGAACAATATCCATTTAATATGTAAGTTCCACCGTTATAACAGTATGTATTACAGCTCTCGCTTTCGTCAAAGAATTGACTGTGATAATCATAGTCCATATTGCAGTCAGCCATACATAGTCTCATTTCATGGACGAGTTCGGCATTACAACAAAACAGCCGGTCTCGCTTACGAGTCCCCCCTGCGCATGAGCGGCTACAATCTGACCATGCATTCCATGGAAACCATTCACATCTACTGATATGTGAAGGACAATCTACAGCAAAGGATAAAGATAAAACGTTATATAATAATACTAATGTTAAAAAAGTTGTAAAACTAACAGATACCATATTTTTGTCCTATATAACTCAAGTCCACTTTTGGTTTAAAGTCGTCTATTCAAAGCTGAAATTATCTATAAAATAGTATTAAATAGGTCAATCAGATTATATGGTGTACCTAGAGAAACATTATGTAACATCCTTGTCTTATTTTATTGGGATGAGTTATCTTGAGTGTCTTTATATGCGGATTTAATGTATATCAATTTTCCTACCGTATATCAATAGCACCTAAGACATTCATAGGGTACTATAGTTTACTAAAATAATTTGCGATTCGTGGTCTAATAAGATATAACTTTTATTTCAATAAAACATGTACACGTACACAATGTAAAAACAATAAAATTCAAGAAAAGGATTGAGTAGAAAACTAAACTAAAAGTAAAACTCTTTTTTCCAGAAACACGCGGTAAAGCCAAAACAAAATTAACAGAACCTCTCTCTCCGTATTAACAGTTAAACATTTTCTAACTGTTAAACATTTTTCTATAATCATTCAAAAATAACTGGACAGAGGAGTGCAGTCCTCATCATTGTTTGCGTTGCAGAGTGACTAAACACACGCTATATATATTGATTTAATACACTTGTTACTATATATAGTAACAAAATTGCCTGTGATTTCAACTGATTATGAGTGTCACGTGACCTATTTAATTATGAGTTTGCGGCCCGGGGCCGAGAACTAGTTATCAGCCCGCAGAACATGTGCACGTGCACAAACTGAAACAATGACGTCATATTTTACGTCATGAAACAGTTAACGTAGGTTGACAGCACATCGTATTTAGTACAAACACATTTTTGTTAAGTACTGTTGAAATTTGAAGAAATAATACGACAAATTCAATCCGAAAAAAAAAATGAAAATAAAACTTGCTTCTTTGAACACACAAACAGTTAACATCTCCGTACAGAACACAAGAATTTCAACCAAAGAACTTCAAAGTAGATTTCTATTTGTTGTTGTTGTTTTTTTTGTTTTTTTTTCTTTTTTAAAAATGCTACTATTAGATCTACCAAGTGTATTAAAGACATTAATACACGTCAGAGTAGGGCCGGAAGGTGATAATCGGCCCTGAATGAATAATGGCCCTCGGGCTAAAGCCCTCGGGTCCATTATTCATTTTGCGGGCCGATTATCACCTTCCGGCCCTCTCCTGCCGTGTGTTAACCCCTTAATATTACTGACAGACTTGGTGGAATATCTCAATCAACACAATCAGTTATTTAACATACAGGTCGAATTCGCTATTCCTTTCATTATCTGTTTACATCAATATTGACAAATAGGGGTGTCGATAATTCTTACACAAAATCATACTATTTATCGCTTTAATATTCAATTACTCATTTCTTATCTGTTCAGAGTAATAGCGTAGTGATAGAGTGTTCTCTTTGTGATAGTAGAGACCCTGGTTCGAATTCTTGAAAAGGCATTTTTTCTTTTCAACACTTTTGTTTTTAAATCTTTTAACAACGAACCACATTTCAGTTCTCCTGAATTTCATCCACATAATCCTATTTGAGAACATGTACTTTTACACAAATTCGCATTCAGCAGGTTAAGTTACAGACAACATAGTCGTGATGAGGGTGATAAATGAACAATTAATAGAAGAAAAAATAAATTGAGCAAAATTTTTTAAATATGGCGAATGGAATTCAGACTTTCAAACAGAATAAAATTCTTAATTATGTCAATCTTTTTAAATGTTCGTGAAGTTGCTAATCTGCCTAGCAGATTAGCAGCCACGAACATTCTTACATTCTTTTATACCGTCAAATTTCCAAACTTAAAAGCGCTGCGCATTTTGCACACGTCAAAGCTGGGGCCACATAATCGGATAGCTTCGTTCATAGCCGTCTGGTCCATTGAATTTATCGAAACATTTTTCGTTGGAAAAAAACGGCGATAATATTGATGTTTATTTCGGCTGTTGCGTTGTTTATATTACCGTTGAAGTTTAAAATTGACCATTATCGTGAAGAATTATATCTTCTGTGTCGATGGACCAAAGGATTATGTGAAAATATTGGAAATGGAATAAAATACATGGTGATTATGACGGTAGGGGTGCGGATTTTTTCCGGCGAACATTTTTATCTTGTGTATTATTATAAATTTGAAATATGAAATTTTTTCAAAACGGCTTTTATTAAGTTTTTTTGATATATATGATCAGTACATGTGCTGGGATTGACAAATATGCATTTTATTTGGATTTTAAAGGCGTTTTGAGCTCCAAACCCCACATGTCTGTGATGTAGTTTACCTGCCGGCTTTATGGACAACGACCTACTTGTTCTTGAAATTGTGAATCAGTATTGCTTTTCAAGCGGTAAAAAATCTGCATTGCTCAAAATTGTGAAAGTTCGCCGCTGAGTGACTGTTTAAACGGTGACGAGAAGGTGAGCCTCCTATTAGAGTAAGTGGTTGCAACGGTTGTCCGTGGTCGCTAAGAACAGTCACTGGTTGCTATGTAAGTCATTGGTCGGTAGGAAAAGTCAATGGTTGCTATGGAAGTCATTGGTTGCTAAGGTGGTTCACTGGTTGCTATGCAAAGCCAGCGGTCGCTATGGAGAGATTATGACTGTTGTGGAAGGTCGGCGGTCGCTAGGGGAAGTCAGTGGTTGCTGTGGTAAGTCACTGATAGTGACGGACAGTCACTGGGTGCTTAAGAAGTCTATGGTGGCCATGGGAAGTCACTGCTTGCTATGCGAGACACTGGTCGCTGTGGGGAGACAGTGGTTGCAACGGTTGTCCGTGGTCGCTAGGAACAGGCACTGGTTGCTATGGAAGTCATTGGTTGGTAGGAAAAGTCAATGGTTGCTATGGAAGTCATTGGTTGCTAAGGTGGTTCACTGGTTGCTATGCAAAGCCAGCGGTCGCTATGGAGAGGTTATGGCTGTTGTGGAAGGTCGGCAGTCGCTAGGGGAAGTCAGTGGTTGCTGTGGAAAGTCACTGATAGTGACGGACAGTCACTGGGTGCTTAAGAAGTCTATGGTGGCCATGGTAAGTCACTGCTTGCTATGCGAGACACTGGTCGCTGTGGGGAGTCAGTGGTTGCAACGGTTGTCCGTGGTCGCTAGGAACAGTCACTTGTTGCTATGGAAGTCATTGGTTGGTAGGAAAAGTCTATGGTTGCTATAGAAGTCATTGGCTGCTAAGGTGGTTCACTGGTTGCTTTGCAAAGCCAGCAGTGGCTATGGAGAGGTAATGGCTGTTGTGGAAGGTCGGCGGTCGCTAGGGGAAGTCAGTGGTTGCTTTGGGAAGTCACTGATAGTGACGGACAATCACTGGGTGCTTAAGAAGTCTATGGTGGTCATGGGAAGTCACTGCTTGCTATGCGAGAAACTGGTCGCTGTGGGGAGTCAGTGGTTGCAACGGTTGTCCGTGGTCGCTAGGAACAGTCAGTGGTTGCTATGGAAGTCATTGGTTGGTAGGAAAAGTCAGTGGTTGCTAAGGTGGTTCACTTGTTGCTATGCAAAGACAGCGGTCGCTATGGACAGGTTATGGCTGTTGTGGAAGGTCGGCGGTCGCTAGGGGAAGTCAGTGGTTGCTGTGGGAAGTCACTGATAGTGACGGACAGTCACTGGATGCTTAAGAAGTCTATGGTGGCCATGGGAAGTCACTGCTTGCTATGCGAGACACTGGTCGCTGTGGGGAGTCAGTGGTTGCAACGGTTGTCCGTGGTCGCTAGGAACAGTCACTGGTTGGTATGGAAAACATTGATTGCTAAGGTGGTTCACTGGTTGCTAAGCAAAGCCAGCGATGGAGAGATAATGGCTGTTGTGGAAGGTCGGCGGTCGCTGGGGGAAGTCAGTGGTTGCTTTGGGAAGTCACTGATATTAACGGACAGTCACTGGTTTCTTAATAAGTCTATGGTGGCCATGGGAAGTCACTGCTTGCTATGCGAGACACTGGTCGCTGTGGGGAGTCAGTGGTTGCAACGGTTGTCCGTGGTCGCTAGGAAAAGTCAATGGTTGCTGTGGAAGTCATTGGTTGCTAAGGTGGTTCACTGGTTGCTATGCAAAGCCAGCGGTCGCTATGGAGAGGTTATGGCTGTTGTGGAAGGTCGGCGGTCGCTAGGGGAAGTCAATGGTTGCTGTGGGAAGTCACTGATAGTGACGGACAGTCACTGGGTGCTTAAGAAGTCTATGGTGACCATGGGAAGTCACTGCTTGCTATGCGAGACACTGGTCGCTGTGGAGAGTCAGTGGTTGCATCGGTTGTCCGTGGTCGCAAGGAACAGTCACTGGTTGCTATGGAAGTCATTGGTTGGTAGGAAAAGTCAATGGTTGCTATGGAAGTCAGTGGCTGCTAAGGTGGTTCACTGGTTGCTATGCAAAGCCAGCGGTCGCTATGGAGAGGTTATGGCTGTTGTGGAAGGTCGGCGGTCGCATATTTCGTGGCTTATTTGAAAATAATGACCGTTACGTTTTGGTTTTTTTTATATTGTGCATTGATCTTTTATACTGCTCCATACTTGTGTAATAAAATATGAAAAGAGGCTCTTTCGCACTTCTTTTTTTTTCACTATTCAGATTGTCCCTCATACCTTTTAAATTCAAGAGCAAATTTCGTAAACGAAACATGCATTAATATATCACAGGTTATCTCTCAAAGTATATAATATAAAGGAACATCACATTTTTCCCAATTATTTTAAAGGCGATTGTAACTGCAGAAACTTGAAATATAGCATGCAATTATATTTAGAAGCTCAAATATCTAATTTAATTTCAGATCCGAAACTAATGCTCCAAAACTATATTCAATTGTAGTACAAATGATTATATGATTAAAAGGGAGATAACTTTGTTACTCAGATATAACAAAGCCAAGCAACACGCCAGTGGATCATCATTGAATAGAACATTCACTATGCCCATACATTAAATTACTCAAACTAAATAACGATGAATAAAAAGAGACTGCTTTAAGTAAGCAGGCAATTTTCAAGAACATTTTTATATTCCTATTGTACTTATTCAAACCGCCCAGCTATCCGAGGTAAATTCTTTTTCAGTATAATTTCGGATATTTT